CGATGGCCTGCCACCCAGCTTCGTAGGCACTTCTTCGCAGAGCTGGAAGTCATTCCTTGAGAAGCGATGTTTGTCGTCGGGACTAGCAAGGTTGGTCCAACGAAAACCTCTCCATATCGTAGCCCACTTGATGTCTGACGTGGAGTGTTGGAACCATTGATGATGGCTACCTTGAGGTGTATTTGGCACTGTTTGCATCTGAGGAACGGTGCGAAGTTTTAGGTGTTGACGAGAATCGTCGATCTCGGCGTCTTCGTATTGTCGACGAGAGGAAGAATGGGTTTGTCACAACTGTTTCTCGAAGTTGGTGAACGCATGCTTTCCTTGAGCAATCTTCATGGTGAGGAATAGGTTGAGGGTACTAAAGCTATTGTGTTTTTTAACAAAATGCACTCGTAAAAGCTAGTGTAAAGATCTTTCGAGTGTTTGTGTTTGAGAGAATGAAAGTTATGAGAGGATTAAAAAGCTATGAAAACTAATCAACGAGAGAGATCACAATCAAGGATCGTAGATCTGGTCTCCGCGGGAGACTATAAAGTGTGATAGAGTAGGTTGCGGTAGTAACCTACGTATCTCCACGATCCTAAAACGGAACGCGTGGAAGATTCGTCTAGCATGGATCTAGTAGCGTGGAAGTACTCACGCTGGCTAAATATTAGCGATGTTTCATCATCAACTAGTATGACTAGAGGGCATTGAGAACCCTGTCTCAATAACTATATTCACGAGAGACTCAGTCATGAGTCGAACTCAAACCCTATCTAGGATCGAGTCGCGAATAAGGCTAAGAGCCGTGTATTGCAACACCTCCCGTACTTCCTGGGCAACAGACGCTATGGGACCTTATCATGGTGAAGGAGAATGGGATCAAAGCTCGCGTCGGAACACGTAGAAGGAGATAGACATAAGGTGAGGACGCTTTATCGTTGTGCTCTTTGGCGTTTGTTCCTATGAGATCTCACCGGTTAGTACCTTCTTTTTTGAATCTTCGAAGGCTTAATAGGTCACTTTTTGAACCAAGTTTTTTCATTCTACACAGGTGCTGGTACATCGCCATCGTATGTACATCCAGTATACCCTCTACCTACCTCATCGATACTTCTCTCTTCCAATGAAGAAACTCCCAAATCAGGCCTCCCGATGGATCCTTTCTTTGCAGCAGACACTAGCTCCATGGTGGTGTCCACATATGACCCCTTGCAGCGTTCACATCTGACAAAGGCACCACTACTAGTACGATCAACATCTATGATCACTCCCTTTGATGTTGCCTCACCTTCACCTGCTCCGCCACCAGATGGAATCATGCGCCGGCCATTCACACATATACCCAAGCCTACACCGATGAAGGAACGTCTCTCAATTGATCTCGAGGTCACCGCTCGAAACATTGATATCCAGGAACCATCCATTAAAGCAGCTACATCGGTAGCTACATATGACCCCTTTCCCGCAGACACCAAGCACAATCTGCCGATCTTTCAGCCCTTTTACGTCCTCAGCCTTTTTAACCAAGCTCTTTTTAGCACAGGGGTGAGTTTTATTCTCTGGATTTTGACTTTGCCAATCCACCAATTGCGCACCAGACGAACCTGCTGATCCACAAGGCATCCTTTAGACATCACAAGATGTGTTCCCAACCTGTTCTGAACTCTAAGAGTGTGACTCGTGGGAAGTATACAACAATTAACAACCATTGGGGGAGGTTCCGGACAAGCACTGGTGGGTGTGACGACCATTTACCTCCAGGCTCAATGACATCGATATCGATATCGTTCTTAGAAGATTAGACAACCATTTGTTTTGTCTTTGCCATTTCTGTCAGGGCAAGTCGACAAGAGTGTGTTGGAAGTTCACATGTGATTCCATTCCCTTATTCTGTATATTATTATTAATATTATTATTATTATTATGTGGGGGTCATCAGCAGCAGAACTACTCACTCTCTTCAATAAACTCAACTAGATAGCTGTTTGTCTTAGCCGTACGTAGTCTTTGTGTTATTCGCCCAACACACACGTCTTCTGTTGGATCTGTTGAGCTCTGTGGAGAGTTCTGGTGCCATTGGAGGTATGTGGGGGTCATCAGCAGCAGAACTACTCACTCTCTTCAATAAACTCAACTAGATAGCTGTTTGTCTTAGCCGTGCGTAGTCTTTGTGTTGTTCGCCCAACACACACGTCTTCTGTTGGATCTGTTGAGCTCTGTGGAGAGTTCTGGTGCCATTGGAAGGGAAAGACCCCACAAGTATATCGTTCGGATAGCAGGATAGAAGTATGATATATATCATACTTCTATCCTGCTATCCACCTCCACAGCCAGGTGGGCCACTAGCTAGCAGCATGTGGGACGCCAGAACGACAGAGTGGAATCTACAGCTTTTAAAAGCACAAACCTCACAACTATAGAACTCATATCTGTTTGCTGCTCTAGCTAGCTACGGTAGCTAGCTATCTAGGCAATTCCCACCGCGAGGTTTATCAAAAGGGGGGGTTTAGTTTAGGTAGATTATCGACGGAAGCCAGTGAGGGCCAGGCTTAAGCAAAGAAGAGGCAGAATTCAGGACTGGGTTCTGTGGGATCGGGGTGATAAATTGAGGGGCCAAAGGGTTTAGCTTTTTGGGAACGATGGAGACATAAATGGGTAGCTTTTACAAGGGCAATAGAGATGTGGGTCTGTATGCAGAACATCATCTGAGAGTAGGAGAACTGAGTTTTGTCAGCAGCAACAGCTGCAAGGTGTGCGTCCTAAAAGAACTTGGCTTGGGGTGCAATGCTGGTTGCTCCGGCACGCCATAGCCTCGTTGAGCCAGCCCATTGTCATTGTTTGGAGGTCTGTGTAAAATTGTTAGTCTAGCTAGGTTCCACAAATTTGGTCTCCCAGACCACGCTCCTTTTGGTTTCCCCCTCAGTTGCACTCTGAAATCGATTGGCTCGCGTTTACTGTGTAAATTAGTGTACCCGCACTTCAGTTGCAGAATCAACGGTCATGTGTATCGTTAAGTAACAAGTTTCCTTTCGAAATTTTTAGATTGATTCGTGGAATAAAAGTGTGTTATTATTGAAGGCGCAGCACTGACTTCTCTCCCTCATTGTATTCCTATGGTAAACAGGAGGTAAATCCAACCTTGCCTGACAAGAGTGGAGTTGGATCGATCGAACGACTGGTACGGGGTAAGCCTATTATCAAGAGTGTTATTGAAGGTGTAGATTCGAAAGCCATCCATCATTCAATTTCTATGGACCGCGGGAAGGCAGTCAGATCTCGGCCGTCAACAGGTGAGTTGTTCTTTAATTATTCGAATCGTATTATCTCTGTTATCCAAGCCTCACTCAAGCCGGTTGACTCTGGTACAGAAGCGAAAGCCATCCCTCATTGAATCCTATGGACCATGGGATGGCAGTCAGTTCTCGGCCCATGACGGCCAAGTTGGTGCAATTTGAGAACAAGAGTAAGTCACCGGTATTCTTCAGTTGAGCACAGAACACAAAACTCATATCTATTTGTTGTTTTCTCTGCTGCACTGCTGACGGCCGATGAACTACCATTGTTGAGTCCTTTTCGAACCAACAAAAAGGACTCAAGAAAGGCAACAGCCACCGGAAGAGGCAACAACACACAAGAGAGTGGATCCTCCTACCGGATTCATCCCTTCTTGTTATTTCCTACTGTTTTGGTGGTGATTCCTGTGTCGGTACCCATTTTCCTGTATGCGCAAGTCAAGTACTGTTGCCACTAGCTATACGGCTATACGGCAGCTGGCTACAATGGCTGGATTGACAATATTCGGTTGTGTGTGTATTCGTCATAAAGATCCAATGCGAGGTAACCGAGTGCAGCGAGCAAAGTCGAACCTGAGTGTGTTCGGTACGTTGCCGCTGTCACCGATCGATGAACTCTACGATAGCTGGCTACGATGGCTGGATTGACAATTTTCGGTTGTGTATGTATTCGTCATAAGGATCCAATGCAAGGTACCGGTAACGGAGTGTAGCCAGTAAAACGGAACCTGAGTGTGTTCGGTACTGTTGCTACTGTCACCGATTGATGTAACTCTATGGTAACTGGCTACAATGGCTGGATTGACAATATTCTGTGGTGCATGTATTCGTCATAAGGATCCAATGTGAGGGACCGGTAACCGTAGCGAGCAAAGCCGAACTTTCGGTACTGTTGCCACTGTCGTCGATGTAGCTATACCGCAGCCGGCAACAATGGGTGGATTCATAATGTTCGGTTGTGCATGTAGTCTATTCGTCATAAGGATCCAATGCAAGACACCGGCAACCGAGTGTAGCCTGCAAAACAGAACCTGAGTGTGTTCGGTACTGTTGACACTGTCGCCGATGTAACTGTACGGTAGCGGACTACAATGGCTGGATTAACAATAGTCGGTTTTGTGCATGTATTCGTCATAGGGATCCAATGCGAGGTAACCGAGTGCAGCGACCTGAGTGTGAGTGTGTTCGGTACTGTTGCCACTGTCACTGATTGATGAACTCTACTGTAACTGGCTACGATGGCTGGATTGACAATGTTCGGTTGTGCATGTATTCGTCATAAGGATCCAATGCAAGGTACCGGTAACGGAGTGTAGCCAGTAAAGCGGAACCTGAGTGTGTTCGGTACTGTTGCCACTGTCACGGATCGATGTAACTCTCTGCCTACGGTACCGTAGCTGGCTATACAATGGCTGGATTGCATCTATTCGTCATAGTGAGCAAACTGAGGAAACAGGAGACCAACGCTGAAAAAAAGCCGAATGTCATCAAACTCACACGGTTCCGGTACTGGTACCGTCACTCACATACGTTGTCACGATTATTATCAAAAGATGTTAACGTCAAAATAAGGTTAAGGTTAGAGATAACTTTACCTTTTACCTCTGTTTACTCGAAAAGCAAGTCAAGCCGCACACCATCGAACATCGATCGTTCTGTTCGACTGTCTGCTCAGCAAAGCACTTCTTTCTGTTCGAGGTGGGTGCGGTTTGGATGACCATGGCGGTCCTGTCGGTCGGTGTTGCCTTGTCTGTCAAATAAGTAATTGCTCACACGTCTTGCTCTCTCGCTTTGCTTCTCTACTGTTCAGATCTGTCTTTCCCAGTCTCCCTTTTTCTTTCTTTTCAAGACACAACAATTCAAAATGGGCAAGCGCACCAAGAAGGTCGGCATCACTGGAAAGTACGGAACTCGCTACGGTTCGACTCTGCGTAAACTGCTGCGTAAGATTGAAGTCAGTCAGCACTCTACCTACCGATGTGTCTTTTGCGGTAAAGACAGCGTCAAGCGCAAGTGTGCGGGAATCTGGGACTGCCGAAGCTGTGGAAAGGTGATTGCCGGAGGATGTTACACCCTCAGTACTGCCAGTGCCGTTACGGTTCGGTCTACCATTGGACGTCTTCGTCGTCTTCAAGTGGAAGCTAGCTAGACATTTTATTAAGTTAGTTGGTTAGATTTGCTGGTAGGAAAAACTGATTGTGAAAATTGTAGAAAATGGTATCCAGGGCGGCTGGCGAATAGATGTAGCTTTTATATGGCTGGTTGAGCGCTGTTGCGTTATATAGCCCTCACATCAGGTGCTTTCACAGAAGCAGACGGCCCAGTGGTCAAATGTTTTGCGTGCAGGGATGTACATGTGTGATCAGCAGTGCATCTTCTCCAGATTGTTCCTGCCGCAGCCATTGATAGCGGTGCGTAGGTCTGGATAGTATTGAACTACCATCTGCTGTGAAAGTTGCTGATCATCGTCTACAAAGAGAGCACACTGTTCTGATTTGAGGAATTTGATTGATTCATTCCTTGTGGGCTGAAGCAGCCATCGCTTCTTAGTAAACAGACGTCCTGGTCTTTGGCAATTCACCACGAAACCAAGGGACTTTGTATAGCTAGGAAACAGACATCAGGCGCTTTTAGAGATTGTGCTTCTGATAGTGACCCCAGCCATGTTCCTAAAAAGAGGAGGACTGAAGCTCGCTGAGGGGTATGCATAGGGGGGGAAGAGGAAACCGCCACCACGCCACCACGTTGTGTGATAGCTGGAGGAGAAGGTGAGCTGCGTTGTTTTCGTCACGAGAAGGCATAGGTACAGGTCGAAATAGCTAGAGCTAGCCAGAGAGACCGGTGGCGGTACCATGCCGTACCCGACGGCATTGGGAGCACGCAACATGAATGTTTTGTTGGCTGAGTTAGCGGTCCGAACGTTACGTTATAGTCCAGCAATCTTTCGGTTTATGTACTTATTTTTATACTAAAACCAGACCGATTTTGTTACATTCCGAAAGTTTGGCTACCGTACTGTCCGTAGTAACTGGAAAGGAATCGAATCGAATCAGAATCATTGAATGATTAATTGTGTTGGACGCGCACTTGCCATTCACCTGTGTTCCCCTGTGCGAAACCTTGGAGACCGTGGAAAGACTCAACTGGCCTTCCACGCCACTGGGCCTTCATTTCAAAGCACAACTTTGTTCCAAAGCGGCGTCGTATCAAGTCTCTCCTGCATTCCTTGGTGGACCAAATGCTGTTGCAACACATAAAAATCTGGACTATGCAGTGCTATTTCTTACATGTGGCTGTCATAATATAGATTCGATTCAATTGCTACAGCTATTGCTACCAATCAGCAATCTAGGGACTACAGCTGGCTCGTGGTGCTTCAACACTCCACACTTGTTCCAATATTCGGACCAGAGCTGGCTCCATCAAATTTTGCCAAATACCCCTTGACAATCTCTGGCCCTTTGATGACCCATTCGTGTCTATTTGCTTCGGCGTATGAAAGGTACTCGTGGCTAGAGACACCAAAAACACCGCAAGTCTCTAACTTCTTGGCGAGAGGAATGATGTAGAAGTCAAAGAAGCCGATCTCACCTTCGTACCAGTTGTCGGAAGGATCTTTTTCGAGACGCCCGTCTAGGTAGGCTTGATACATCTCATGGAATAGTTTCTGAGATGGCAAGGCGAATTGGAAAGGAGTTAGAAAGTCAGCTCTTGAGGAATCAAGCGACTGTCGGGGTGAATTCTTCGGGTGCTTGACAAAGGACTTACTTCGTTCCACTTCTGAAAGACATGCCAGTGTTGCATGGTGTGAGCCACTGTTGTGACGACGAAGGAAAAAGGAGTCACGTCCGGGGGGTGAGCAAAACTGCTGTGTGGAAGACGTAGAGACCTTTTTTCAACTGGGCGGAAAACGGTTGACTTACCGTCGCTGGCCTGAATAATGTGTTCCAAGACGATAGTTGCTTTTCTGTTGACAACAGTGTGGTTGTCTTCACCAGAATCATCACTCTCGTCAAGCAACGAGACAGCATCCTTGTTGAATGCCTTGGACCATCGTTCCTTGCGCAGGGCCCCAAGCTCCCGATCCATAATATCAGTTGCAAGCACAAGGTTGATGATGGTGCTGCAGGAAGAGATGGTTCAAGCAGAATCGACGAAGGTAAGTCAACCTAAAGACACACCGGGCACTGTACGAATGCGCATAATCATACCTTCGGAATCGATTGAATTCATCCTTGTTTGTATAGATACAATTTCTCAAGTCGACGAATTCTGGCAGATCTAGCAACCCAAGGGCCAGGTCCACCGAGTTCTAGCGATACCAGTGAGGCGCAAGAAGGGCGGCGGTTCGATTGAGATACCTGGAGTCGTACCAGATGCTACACGATCGTCGCCTAATTGTAACGTACCTGTTCCGCAACGCTCTTGTCCTTGTACTTGAGTGCCATTGGATCCTTTTCTTCGACGAGGACAGAATTGGTAACGCCCGGATGTCCTGCGTCATGGATCAGGGCCGATAGGACCACGGCGAATTGCGTCAAAGGGTCTGGGAGATGCAGAGGAGAGCAATCTGTGAGCGGCGTGTTGCCATTGTGATGCAGTAGTGTGGGAGTCGCGACATGTTATAGTCTACTTGACTTACCTGAGGTGATGCCGAACGTGTGACTGCGGGTTTGTTTTTAGCTTGCTGTTAGTACACGGAGCTAATAGCTAGGATGGCAGATCGTTTCAAACACTGTGCTTGACTTACTCATGCAGCTGGACTGCGGTCTTGGCTTGCTTCCCAGTCTCGGATAGTAGATCGTTCGGTCTGGAGTAATAAATGCGGCGAGAAAGCAACCGGAGTGTGAGTATTGGTGCATGTGAGAACAGAAAGGATGCTGCCATGGTACGGAAAAAGCTTACCTCACGATTCTACTGAGCAGCTTCTGGACACTCATAGTGACATGGGCGGCATGTTCTGAAGAGCAAAGGTGTGTGTGAGCAAGCCCGGATGGATTTCAAAAAATGCAGTTTTGCAGTCACTACACTCTCACTTACCGAAGCAATGGAAAGAATTGTCGTGATAGGTGGCAGCAACCTTTTCAACGAAGGCAGACAGTTGAAGCACCACCTCTGGAGGCAAGGTGATGGATGCTGGATTCACTTGGTTGCGGTGCGCTTTAGCATCGAATTGAGCCAGTGCCAGTATTTCTTTCACTTCATCAAGCATTGGACCGCCATGTTCGGCAAGTTTCGCATCGACTGGTCCAGCTGAGTTGTCCCTGTTTCTTTCCGAGGCTCTTCTTGCCACTACCGACAGAAGAATGCTCGATAGAAGTTGGACGTTCCATTCCACAAGACGATTGATTTTGGCTGAGTATTCCTTTTTGCTTCTTGCGCTTCTATGGTGAGATGACGGACCGGGGAATGTCAATCCGTTGGCGGAACCCCCTAGATCAGACAGAACCTCATCACCAGCAATGGAACTGGTCCCGGCACTTGTTCCTTCTTCGCGAGTACGCAGCCAATAAGTTTTCATGATTCCCTTGCCTTTAATCTCGGGAGTATCCTCTCGCAAGTTGAGCCACTCAGCAAAGCCAGCTTCCTTGAGTTTATCTGCACAAGTGCCAGAAACGTGGATCATTCCAGCCTTTCCGCTGCTTTCCATTCTGCTGCATACATTCATTGTGTCTCCAAACAGCTGGGAGGTGCAGGGGATACCAATCTGTGAGCGACGCGCTGTCATCATGATTGGTGTAGAGACTTTGCAAATACTTTGCAATTCCTTCTCGCTTACCTGAAACCTGGACTTCTCACCACTGCAGAAATGAAATGTTGGGAAGTCAACGAGTTGAGAACGGACGAAACCAAAGGTGGAACGTTTCAAAATAGGCATTTTGACTCACCGCAACACGCCCGCTGTCACGGGCCCACTGACGAATCAATACGAAGAAGGATGACACATGAGAACCACAATCCCTAATCAAACCTTCTACACAGACATGAAGCACTCACCTGTGCACTCCAACGCGAATGTCCAAGTCAGCTGTGGACGGACCAAGCGTCTTCTCGAGATCCTTGAGCAATATTTTCATCTGACGAACAATCGAACGTGCAAAAACAGCCCCCACAACCGCATGGTCCTCCCTTGGAGTGGGTAGCCCGACCACCGCGACGTAGCAATCACCTGGACAATCACAACATGAAGTGAGTGACCGTTTGAAATCTCCCGTGGGAGTCCAGTCCAGTCATTGGGTCGAGTCCTACCTATTGTTTCAACCTGGAGATCGGCAAGTTAAAGAAAGAGGTTAGACCTTGCATGACCAAGCAGGGGAAGGAAGAACCCTGCATGCTGCTTACCTTGAAGACACCAAGGCGTTTGGCGGCTTGATCAAAGTCTGCAAAAGTTCGTTCAAGTAGTCTGAAAACCTGTTCGAGGATGAGAGGACGGAGTATGTGAGAATGGCCACAGAAAGATACTACAACCCAAAGCGCAAACAGTCCAAGCCCATTCCGCGCACCTGTGGAGGCTCTCTTTCCGAACTCCAAGCTGTAAATCCAGCAATGTCAGCAAAGATGCATGTACCTGACAATCAAAACAGGAGCCGCAATGCAAGGTGAGATGATTCGTCGCGCATGCTTGCTAGTCTGCAACAGTCCAGCTGTGATATGCTTACACTCGGGGAAAAGATCCGCAATGGGGTCCGAATCTAATGGCGATGCTTTTTTGGCCTTGTTGGCACTACCGGATTGGGGCAAGCGAAGTCCACTCTTTTGTTGGGGCACCTTAATGTCGGCGCCAATCAGCTTGTCTCGTACTCCGGCCGGGAAGAGACTGGCGACAATGGCATTGGTTCTCATGGCCCGTTTGGTGATGATGCTTTGCCTTCTGCTGACGAGACAGTCATAGATGATGAAGAGGGAAGATGTGAACATGAAGATAAAGATAACGGCAAAGCAGAACAGAAGGGCCTCGTTGGTAAGATGCTCTTCGATGAGCTCTTGATTCGGGTACAGGATGAGACTGTAAAAGCATTGCTGTCCATGCTCGGACAAGGCAACTTCATCCAGGTCGAATGCATCGTGGTCCTCCGACCCTTCTCGAAAGCTGCGAAAGTCAAAGGCGAACTCTTCAAAGTTGGTTCCCCAGTTCAAATGATCAAAGTTTGGGTCGTGGGCATCTCCTTCCTGCACAAACTTGATGGAGCCTTGTAAAATAAAGAAGAATCAGAAAAAGGAAAAGGTAAGTCAATGATGTCCAGACGAGTGTTTGTTGGGGCATTGGCATTGCGCCGTACTTACTCTCGTCAATGCTGGTGGTAAAGACTTGTCCACATGTATTTTCGAGAATGGCATCGACTTCGTCGGTATCAAAGACGTCTTCTGCGTAGTTGAGTTCTTCTCCACCTTCGACGAGCAAGTAGCCACTGAGGAAGTCACTCCAGAGCAGTTCCAAGGAAACAGACCCCACAATGTGGGTGTGCGTATCATCCTCAAACACGGGGAAGAAGAGTGTCATGGCACGTTCTTTTCCATCGCCAGCATCGTCACTGGAGTCTGAATCCGAGCTGCTATCCAAGCGACGACGGCCATCGTGGTCATCCTCTGATTCATGCTGTTCCACCTCGTCCTCTGATTCGTGGTCTTCTTCCGATGACGATGCCTCGTCTTCACTCTTGGACTCGTCTTCACTTTCGCTGCCGTCTTCCGAGTCGTCATCCTGGATGGGTCCAAGCTCGTAGACCCGTGACATGACGGGCCCTTTGGTGTCGATCATGGCCTGGATGGCATCGCTAAAGATGGGATTCGCCATGAGATCGTAAAAGAGTGCGTTGTGTCCTTTGCCAAACGACGGAGATGCTTGCCAGACCGGGGAGGAAAAGTTACTGTAATGATCATCGGGAGTTAGTAGTCTGGCCAAACGGCGTGCCGCATCGTCGTTGTTGTTGACGTCTTCGGACTCGTCGTCACTGTCTTGTTGGTCCAACGAATCCAACGATTGGTTCGTTCCAGCCGCAGCAACAATGTGATCATGATGACCTGCGCTAGCATAGGCTAGAAAGCTATCCCTGTCTTGCTGATCATAGAGGAGGGGAGACCATTTGACAGTTCCCGCAGGAGCGAGCTTGATGGCGGACAGCACAATCGCATCAAACGCAGGAATGGTAATGTTGGGTGCCACATCTTGTTGTGCCTGGATCATACCACTGACGGTACTGGCTAGATTCTTGGCGGCCCATAGTTTCTGAAGGATATCGTTTCGGAACAAGTCAATGATGCGCGTGGAAATAGCCCGGTACTCTTCGAGAAAGGAGTCGTACTCCTTGTCCTTGAACGTGCTGTACACAATGGAAGACGTGACAAAGGCTGCCACCAAGAGCACCACAATGACAATGACCCGGAGGGTATGCACCATGCGAGTTTCCTTCTTGACCAGACCCTTGACTTCGGCATCGACTTTTTGCCGCTCTTTCTCTTCGGCGGCTTCGTGCTGTCCGCTCCCACTCATGTGACCCCACGAAGAGTCCATGGCGCCGATCTTGTTCTCCGTGGCGGTAAAGGTGGGATCCACTTGGTCCAGATCATCATCCATGGAGGCGTCCATCATGCTGGAAGCAGCGGATGCAGACTTGAATTGCCAGTTGTTCTTCATGGCTTGTGTTGACCTTGCTTGCTGGATGGCTTTGATAGACTTGTCTGATATATACCGTAGCTTAAGAGAGATTCTGGCTAGGGAGTAGTAGCTAGAAGTGGTTAGTTGGTTGGTGTTTCACACTTTTGTTTTCTGGAGATTATGACCTGAGCTGGGCTGACCTTACCTGAGCTTTCCAACCTTACCTGTGGTGTCTTGTCTTGCAAGTCTGATCTGATGTTTGTTCTTCAAGTTTCAGGCTTCAGGCAGTATGGACAAGTACTGGTGGCAACCAAACCGCAATCACCTCAACTCAAATCTGACGGTTAGACTACCTTTACTAGTAGTCGAGTAGGATATTACCAGAAGTGAGTGCAATCACCTCAAAGCTATTTGGCTGGAATGTGGTTACTAGTAGCAGAAGTTGTAGAAGTCAAATAAATGTGAACTGGTAGTAGAATTTGTGAACTTTCAACAGAAGGCAACAAGGGGCGGCATCTGTTTCTTCCTTCTGAAGGCTTCAAAAGTGCTTTTCTTTCTTGGGGAAGCAATGACATTGGCATAGAGCATTCAACTGTTCGTATGGAGCACAAGAGATATTTGGATCCCTCTGCAGGGATCAACGCTTCCGTTCCAGCAATACAGCAAAGCTTACAGCGCAATCAGTGACTTGCTCCAAAAGGTTCGTTTTGGATCCAAATTGTGACCGCAAAACTCATCTACAAGAGACACTGGCCTAGAACATCACAATGACCCCTTGAGGTGTTAAAGGGAAAGATGTCGCTTAACCGCCACCTTGAAGGAACAAGAAATAATTGACAATGTGCAGTCAAACTGTTTACTAGTAGAAACCAACTGTTCTCATTTTGAACTTTATATGCTCTTTCAGTACACGTAAATAGTTCCATCCACGAACCGTATCGAAAACTAACAGCAAACAGGACTGGTCAAAAGGTCAAAAGGCCAGCTCTCCGAATTCAGGATAAGCTCACGATGACTGCTTGAGCTGTGAAGGAAAGATGCCCCTAAGTTAAAACTGTCATTGGAACATTTTACAAATGCAGGAATGATGGAACGACAATGCAAGAACTAGAAGAAATCATGCTGTAGAGAATGATTTCGTTCTACTGAGTACTTTTTGCATTCTTGGGGCCATTACTATGCTCCTTCAGTAGTACTAGCTAGCCCACACTGTCCCACAACCGAGCCCCAGCAGAACAGCTCACATGTACAGAAGAGGGTGGAGTTGCGGGGAATGGACTTTTGGAGTACTTCCTTTTGGGGGCAACTGCTGGTTTATGTCAATCTTCCACTTTGAGTCATGCTACGAAATTGCAGCAATCTTCCAGATTCCATCTTTCTTCCAGATTACGTCACCCAGTACTAATTTCTACGCGATTTTACGTGGAGCCTTCCAGATTGCGTCATTCTTCCACATTGAGTCATTCTTCCATTTTGAGTCATTCTTCCGGATTGCATCATTCTTCCAAAAGCAAGAAATTGAACATTGTCAAACACGCGAAAACAGGTATTCCCGCAACTCCGGTAGCTACATGTACATGTACCGGTAGCTCGCGGTACATGAGCTCTACATGTACCTGGTACTGGTACCTCACATTGTAGTCTAGACTTCTCGTACATGTAACTCCTTGTAGCTGGCTCTTGTGCCTGCAGCAACAGTACCAGGTACTGCTTGCAACAGTTCTTGGAACCCCACCCCACCACCCACACGCCGATAGCATAGCTATAGCATGTACCGTCGACGACTACATGTAGTCGCAGCTTTGTCGGCTGCGCAGCTACATGTACATAGTGCCCTGGTCTTGCACAACATGTTGTGGCTGCAGACATTGGGTACCATACATGGGAGTGATGTACAGTGGTTGTAGTTGGGTTTAATTATACAGGACACGAGGACACTTCTGGCTAGCTCAACCGCCAGGGCAATGGGAAGAGCCGTGGAAACCATAAGGAATGGTGGAAAGAATGCTGTGGGACACTCCTCCAATCATGTCGCCTACGCTGTGTATTCGCTTTGCCCCAACCGATCAAGTAAGTAACTCATAGAGGATCCATCAGCACATACATTTATTCACCTCTAGAGCTAGTTCGCCACCAATACCCTGAAAGAACCAACCAGCGATGATGCCGCCAAGATTGGTGGAAACCATACCTACATACCTACGCGTGGTGGCAAGATCAAGATCTATGTGCCCTCCTTGTGGAGACAGCCACGGAGGCAACTGGGGACTGGAAAACCAGTGATGGTTGCAAGACTGAATTATTGGTGGAAACTACAGAGGCACGGGGCACTGGGGACAGGACAGGCATCGCACGAGCAATGACACTGATAAAGAGGAATAAATGTGGGTTTATTCGCCACAAAGATGACTACCTCAAACCCACTACTAGCCTACTAGACTATTAGTACCCGAATACAATGTCATGTATGTAGAAACAATTATCGAATTAAAAGTCGCACCGCCCCACCTCTTGGACAGTCTACTAGAACAGTGCGTCATCATTACAATACAGTTAGTGATTCCATTGGCATTTTGGAGGTGCCACTGATTTCTTCAAAACCCATTGCTTTGATAGATTATCTTTTTGATTTCTTGGCGGGACTGGTCGATGGCCTTTCCCTGACACTCTTTCTTGATTTGTCAGGTAAGCTCAACATTGCTCCGCTATGCTCTTGCCTTCCGTTATTGTGCAGTTTCAAAATCTCAGTGTGTATCTTGTCCAATCCTTCTCTCAATATTCTATATTCATCCACAGAAGTGACTGCTTTTGCCACGTCTGAATATTTGGGTAGTAAAGCCTTGTAAGCACCACGTGCTTTTATAGACATTTCAATTTCCACATCACTGTCAACGTAGTCATCCGTAAGTGGAAAATCTTCGCTCTGTTGTAACTCTGACATCTGGCTCTCTTCTGTGCCAAGATGAGTACTTAACACTTTCACTTGTGCCTCTTCCAGTTGTACATGGCCACGATGAAGCTTGTTGCCTGTCTGGAACTTGGGTAGATACCATCGTCTGTGTTCCTGGCTATATAGAACATTGAAAGAGAATGGACATTTGACACCCTCCCCCTCAACAGGAAGCTGAGTCTGGGTGGTTTTGTTGCTCTCCTTTTCGGACCTTTGTTTGTAAAAACGACTCCTTGGACAACATATGGTAATGTGATTCCGCCTCTTATCGAATCCCTTGTTTTTGATACGGAATCCAGCAGTCTTGCAAGGAAGTACAAAGTATGGCATCAAAACTTCTTTAATATGCGCCGAATCACAAGATTCATACATCGAAGGTAGCCAATACACCGTCGATTTCTCCATTCGATAATTATCGAACCCCAGAGTATCCATAATGTTTATCTCCTTTGGTGTATCATCAGTTAGTGAGGTTGCTACATTCACAATGATTGAAGCAGGAGTCCATTCTTCATCATTGATATTGTGTCTAGCAACATGGGAGAGTTCAGATGGGTAAGAGTCCATTTTACTTGATAAGCTGTCAGGTATTATGGCCTGCAACAGTGCATCTTCCTCTCTGCCTCCCAAACACCTAGCAAAACACCTGGCAGAAAAACTTCGCAAAAATTCGTCACTATGTATTATACGTATAACACGTACAACACATAATACATGTAATACGTATAATATTTTTCCACTTTTGTTACTTGTGTTGTACGTATGACTTGTCTAATACATATTAAAAAGGTTATACGTGTAATACGTATGACCTGTAGAATACATAGTGAAAATGTTATACGTATAAATCAACCGCGTGCGTTTCAGGGGCTCTCAAATAAACACCTGGTACAAAAGTACAAACACCTACTTAGAAACAGCGTTCCTTCACATCCTCGAGATTTATCTGTGATTTTTCGTTTTAAGGAATTTGGTTGATGTAGGCAGCTGAGGCATATCTCTCTTCCTACACTCAGCGACTTTTTGGGAACGATTGGATTTAAAGCGTAGGTGGGTAGTCTGTAAATTATTTCTCCATCCTCCATCCTTCTGGTCGCTAAGGCGCAAATCACCTGTTGTAAACTGGAACCATGCTCCAATTATTTTGGACGCGTTGTGCAGCTTCTAGTAGTGATTCTACACAAAGTTGAAGTTGAGATTAATTCAGGTCTGATTTTACTATCGAAATTTCAGTACTCAATCCTTCCTCGCAAATTTGGACAAAGAAGCTGGAACGAAGCATATTTTACCACGGTACTGTACGGTTCGTATCAACAGCAACAACAACAACGATTGCAAGTGGATGAGTCGACAGGTTACGACTGTACTTCATGCTCTGATACCACTACCACTACCACCACTACTACTACTACTACTACTACCTACTACTGGTGTGGTCACTCAAACGTCATGAGTCTTGTCATCTTGTCGCTCGCCGCGAGGGCTTGTTGTCGGGTTGTCGTGTTGTCGCTCAAACGCTGCGAGGGCTTGTCGCTAACGAACTACTCTTTGCTTATGCGTGTGGTCGCTCAAACGCCGCGAGGGCTTGTTGTTGTGGGAGATCGATCGCTTCGTTGTTGTTGCCATTGGTGTGGACTGTTGTCACCGTTGGTTGCTTGGTGTGGCTGTGGCTGCTTGCAAGAGCATCAAATAGCGTGTTTTCTTTTTTGGGTGGTTTTGCCGAAGTTGAAATGAAGCTTGTCGCAGGTGACATGTAAACGCTCACAATTTACTTACTTAGCATATGCCGTTTAGTTTCCTTAACCGCCGTTAAGTTACTTAGCGTGAAATTGTCACATGGTTCCAGAAGATACGCCCTCCCCCCCCTGTGCTCACCTGTCACGAGAGCTCGCCCGGCCGGCTTCGACCTAAATGTCAATCCGTGGAAATCAGGTCTCATCCGGCCGGGCTCGCTCTCGTTCCAGGTTCGCACTTGTTGGTGGAAGGGCGTTCCTCTACAGATTCGCGCTCACAATCTAAGCGATTACACCATCGAGTCATTGAATTCGTGATCTTGGTCCGGAGCGATCGATCAAAAACACCAAACTGAACTCGCACGACCACGAAGAGCTTGTTTCGAAGAACTAGACTATCTAAAAGTAGCAGCACCACCAACTCCGTGACACTTTTAAAAATTGGTCAGTGGGTAAATCAACTTGAATTTCGGGACGCTTTCTGTGAAAATTCATTTTGCTCAAGTAGTTTGCTTCCACTCTGGCAGTTTTCCCACCAACCAAGCCACTTCCGAGCACAACAGCAATACAGGAGACAAATTTCCAGTGTGTGCAACCATTCCACCTTATTCAAGTACATAAAAATTGATTTCATTGGCCCCTATGAAAGTCCCTGGGAGTCTCTTTTGTGTATTCCTAGCTACAGTCCTGCGAGCCATAGTTTTACTGCTCCAACAGCTGTATTCATGTGTCTCCGCACCTGGTCTCCACAGCACACTCTCCCTTGGCAGAAATAACACCAAAATTAGGCAACGATCGACAGCTGCATTCTTTGTCTCAAACAACAAGAGCAGGGTCGTCAGGGCTCCACGTGCCTGTTGGCAATCTCCATGCTTTTCACGACCTTCCTCCTTCTTCCGACGAGCCAGATCGTGGGGAGCTGCCTGCCATTCATCCTTCACGGGTCACAGCTAACAGCAAACAGCTATCCAGCCAATGCTACTCCCTTGGATGCTTCTATGCAACCATTTGCCCATGCTGGTGCTCCCAATGACACGGTTCCTCAGCTCCGCCCGTGAGGCAGCCCCCCCCTTGCCACAACCTCCAAAAGCCCGGAATCAGAATCGCCCATGGACTCAGTCGGTCTTGTAGCTCCGACAGTGCACAAAGAATATCATGGAGCCAACCTGACACCGAGCTTGCGGAAAGCAACTTGTTTCAAGTTGGATCTACAACGTATCATCCTCATCACATCACAGGCATACCAAACCTCCTAGTATGTTTTAAATGAATCATGAAAGGGATGCCGCAAATGCAGCGGACATCTCTCTAGCTACGGTAGCTAGCCAACGGTACATGTGACCACCAATCACAATCATAACAAGGCTGGAAGTGGGGCACAGTTTTGCCAATAGAAAATCAAGATATAACACACACAAAAACCCTATATATTTAAAAGCTAAACTAATGAACATTCTGCCAATGCTCATCCATGAGCTGCACGATATCCTTTCTCCCATTTTGTATGCTTGTTGGCACCAAGGGCAGCCCTGGGTTATAGCCCACTCAACCACATGGAAATGCCCATTACGAGCAGCCAACAAACAGACTTGTTCGTTCCACAGGCATCCATTCTTACGGGCCCATTTCAAAAGATCGAAATGTCCATTCTCTGCAGCATTAGTGCATGTATCAGCATTCTTCTTCGTCCCATGGGCATCCATTTTCTCGAAGCCAGATAAGAATATGGAGGTGCCCACCTTCCGCAGCGGCGGCACAAGTGTCTTGACCGATGGCACATCCACCATCGACAAGCCACTTGAGAATGTCAAAATGACCACCTTTTGCGGCAGCACCCTAGGGAGTGCCGTTCCAGTCACATCCGTTGGCCCGTGCCCATTTCAAAAGATCGAAATGACCATTCGCAGCAGCGTTCGTGCATGTATCTGATATCCCAATCACATCCATTTTCCCGAGCAAACTGGAGCATTTCCAAATTTCCATGTTTGGCAGCCTTGGCAGCACAGGTCCTTTCATCCCACGGAAGCCCCTTGTTGTGGGCCCACTCAAGCACTTTGACAGTCCCATGTCCAGCAATAGCTGTGCATACATGAAAACCAGGAGGACCCTTATCCTTGGAACCACTGCTAAGCCAATGCTCGGCACATGCTTCGTTGTAGAATGTCGCACTGGAGATTGTGGAAGTGCTGGTTGCCGGGCGCTCATCAAAAAACAGTAGGGGTAATTTCAGGGATCTTCTCTGGATTGCTTCAAATAGATTACCAGAGAGCCAGGGTACTAGTACTATTAATATGGCGGCGCTCTCATCGCCCATGCCCAAGCAGAGCTCTTCGTCAGCCTTGCAACGTGTAGTCACCTCTGCTCTTCTGCCACCTCTTCTGCGCGCTTGGCTCCCAGGACGTTCCAATGTTTTACCAAAGGAGGATGCTCCACTGAGTCACATCACAGTACTCCTTGTAGAGTTGATTGAATTTTTGGTTGACGGCTCCCACAAAGGCATAGTGGCCCATGCCGACAAAGGAATAGATATCGTCACGCCAGATCTCGGGTTGATTGGACAATGAGGATCGGGTGGCTTTTTGTATGGCTTTCTGTTTGGTTTCTAGCTTTTTGGCGGGTTGCTGTTTGCCTTCTTTTTGACAGCTTGCTCGGCTTCTAGCTTGGTCTTCTTTCTGGTGGTTAGCTAGCTAGCTAGCTAGCTAGTACTGTACATGTAGTCGTTCTTGGTATGGTTTGAGTGACAACCAAAGGGCGGCAGAAGCACTGTGCGACCTTTGATCGAAATGGAAGACCGTAGAAGATTCGATTCGACACCATTCCATAAACCCAAGAATAGAATAGAATAGAAACCAATCGAAAAAGAATCTTCTCTGACGCATTCTTGCCACAAATTCAAGCTCCACCATGCACCACCATGGCAGTCAGTCAGTGAGGCAGTCAGTGAGGCAACCGCATGCATGCATGCATGCAGAATCGAATCTGATGTAAGTAAGAACAAGGACAGGAGGTGTAGCTTCCGGAATACTCATAATCTTCCGCAAGATTCTTTGGATACAGTCGGTTAGTGAACACACCATGCAGCCACGAAGAGGACTACTACTATCAGCAGTGCTGTTACTACAAAGTGCAGTTGGTTGTCATGGCTTTTCCAGCCGCAGCAGTGTTTCCTTTGCCACGACAAGCCTCCGTCATGGCAGTCGACACAGTACGAGCAGTACGAGCAGTACACGACGAAGTGTCTATTTTGACAGGAAAACCCAATCGATGAGTGATGCTGGCTTTAGCAGTGATAGCGACAGTGACAGTGACAGTGACAATTCAAGTCTGAAACAAGACGCCACCATGATGGTGGAGACACAGGGAATGCCGGATTTGGAACGAGACTTGGAAATGGCGGCTGGCATGGCACAAGCCGAAGTGTCGTTGGAGAAGTTCCTCTTGCCACTGGGCATGGCAGCGGTCGCACTGGGAGGATCTGCCGCGTGCCACTACGCTGGAATTGATGTGGGTAGCACACTCAGTGCCTTTCGAGAAGATCCGCAAGCCTTTTTGCAAACCTATCTCGATGGTCTCGGTCCACTGGCGGTTGTCTACTTTGGTGGATTGTACGTGGCTGCCGAGTTATTGGCGATTCCTGCGACGCCTCTGACCCTCAGTGCCGGATATCTCTTTGGATTCACCGAGGGATCTCTGGTAGTGCTGGCGGCAGGAACTCTGAGTGCTTGCATCGGATTTTTCATTGGCAAGACACTACTACGACAATGGGTCGAATCGGTACTGGAAGAGAATCCTCAAATGAAAAAACTCGACAATGCCATTGGTTCGGAAGGATTCAAACTGCTGGTACTAGTTCGACTCTCTCCCATTTTCCCCTTTTCACTCCTCAACTACACATACGGTGCTTCCTCGATCAGTTTTCCCACCTTTGTCACGGGAACACTGCTGGGATTCACACCCAGTACGTTGGGATATGTCTACACCGGATTGGCCGGTAAGGAACTCTTGTTGGGAGAAGGAACGCAACCGTGGTATGTCTACGCATGTGCCTTGACAGTCCTACTGGGATTCCTCAAGTTGGTTACCGATGTCGCCACGGATATCGTGGGAGCCATGGATGAGGAGCCAGAAAGTATACTGTAGAAGAATCATTGTAGAATATAATAAATAATCATAACAATAATAAAAGTAATCACTTGCATAAAGAACAAGATAAAGTGTCATTGATTATTAATAGAATGATTGTTACTTAATCATCATCATCATCGTCATCACTCCGCTGCGCAATTCTGGCAAAGTCACACACTTCCTTTTGTAAATCGCGGACTTGTTGGTTGTGTTTGGCTCTCGTGTCGGCGGCCGCCATGGTCAGTTCCACAATCTTGTGTTGCAAATCCTGTAACTGTTGGCGATAGGCAGAATCTCGTTGTTCCAATTCCTGTCTATGACGGCGTTGGATTGCTTGTACAATCATGGCATTGTCATCATCTGGAGCAGAAATAATGATAGCTCCATCTCTCGCTTCCACTTTTGGACCAGTGCTACAAAGACTGTAGTCTTTGGTAAGCCACAGTTGATGATGGGATGGTGCCACTGTAGTATGAGTAGAAGTAGTATTAGAGGTGACAGAAGAAGATTGTTGGGGTTCGTACACACGTGGTTTTCTGAGAAACCCTTGTGGCGTCGCACTATTATTGCTGTGGTTGGTAGGATTGGCCGCATGCAGTAATTGGACATTGTATCCATCGACACTGTGCTGTACCACCACATTGGTCAACACTGCCAACCACTGCATCAAAGTAGCTTGATCTTCAAAGCACAACTTCCATTTGGTCTGCTCGTGCGAGATACCCACCACAATCGACAGACAAAAGGGACTGGGAGCGCCGGATGGATGTCCCAACGATGCATGCACCAGTGCCTTTTCTTCGGAAAAATCAAGGTGTCCCCTCGGTCCTTCTTGGTCCTTGCCTTCAATAGTAGCATTAGTTGTATCCTCCTCGTATTCCCCTTCTTTCTCGATAGTGCCCTCATCATCCCCACCACCATAATAGAGCAACGTGCTTCCCCTCAACTCAAAATACCGGAGTTCCCAGGCACGCGTACGACTCTTGGCTCCCATCCCACTGCGACGCTTCCAAAACTGACCCTCTAGTATCACAGGGTGAAGAAGGTATTTGTCATAATTGACTACCACTCTCGTTTTTTGCAGTTGCTCTTCGGCTTTGGAAGCCGCTTTTCCCAAGTGCTCACCTGCTCTGGAACTCACATTCGATAAGGACTGGCGAGTTTTCTTTTGGACCTTCTTTAACAGAGATGCCATGGTCAAATGCAAGCTAGACAAAGATGGATGGGCTCAATGCTGATGAGATCGAGACAGTGGTGCGCCAAGAGTGCGTGTTGGATGCAAAAAATGAGATGCTGTTTAGCTCTATCCCTAATTTGTTTGTCACTTTCGCCGCTTTTGCTACGACTGTATTTGCTCCGTCAAGCTGTGAAGGGCGAGGATCTCTCCTCCAGACGAGTTTCCACGCAAAGGCAATGGCTAACTACCAGAGCTAGATGGCTCAGAGACACTTGCTGTGATGGACACAAAGCAAGCCTAGTTCCATCCGATTTACTCAGGTGGGAGGGAAGGGTTAAACGAAAACGAGACTAGTAGGGCTGATTCAATGCGACTCAGACAAGTCAATGGCTCTTGCGCCACCTCCAAGGCTCCTCCCCACAAAGAATGCTTGCCACCTACCGTAGGCTGTCACATAGCCCAATGCAGCACCATCTTAGGTTTCATTGGATTGGACATTGGTTTCTCAGTCCTTGTGTCAGCATGTCTGCCTCCCTTGGCGTTGTTACCTCGTATGTAGTCCCATCACTTTAGCAAGTTTGTAGAATCCATTCATTCCATGTTCCAGAACATTCTCGTTTGCTGAGGTTTTAGGTGAACTTGTTCTTCAACCTCTGGTGCATCTTCAGGCAGCACTCCAGGACATGTCTTTTGTTGGTTTTCTCAGACTGCACACCCGGTCCACCTCTACCGTAGTATCCCTGGCCGGGACAAATACCTACGTGGTCCACCACTTGGATGAATTACATTTTGGATGAGGCTGCGAAGCGAAATGGCACAATGCGCTCCGAACTGTGAAACACTCCCGTGTTTTGACTGGCAGCAGTGGTTCGATGGGGCTGGGCTGAAGCAAACAAACAGAAGTTGCGTTACTAAAAATTTGCACTTCTATTGATGAATAAACCACATTGTGTGCACCCTTGATCTGCTGTCGGAAGCGAGCAATTTTCGTCTGGAGATACCGTACGGCAGCTGACGATGCAACGCACCATTAGACTTCTAAAGCTCTTCTACCAGGTACCAGTACCATAGCTAGTAGCTACATGTAGTGTCTACATGTTTGTGCTGATCACTACTGGGTAGCGGTAGCTGGCAAATTCTTCCTTCACGCAGGTGGGTTGGGTGCAACCACACAGCTTTGCGCGCTTATTGCAGCATCGAGAAGAACTCTTCGGAATGTCACCGAAGAGATTTCGACGGCCAGACGGAAGATCCAAGCTCCAAGGTTCGCCACAATGAGGAAAAGCGACGGCTTGCCACAACAACAACAAACAGTGTAGAGTAGAGTAACTCGTTTATTGACTGATCCACCATGTCCTACGATCGTGCCATTACCGTATTCAGTCCAGACGGCCACTTGCTGCAAGTGGAGTACTCCATGGAGGTAAGCAAAAGGAAAAGCCGACAGCATGACTTTGCAGTGGTGGCGTCGCGCCACTCACTTCTCGCCCTTTTCTCTTCTGGTGTAGGCCGTCCGTCGTGGAAGCACTGTTGTAGGCGTCCAAGGCAAAGACTGCGTTGTCCTTGCCGTCGAGAAAAAGGCCATTGCCAAGTGAGTGTCTTTGTCGTCTCGTCTATGTGTTATTCCCTTATCTCTAACCCTAAACCTCTATTGAACAGGTTGCAAGATGCCCGCACCATCCGCAAGATTGTGTCTGTGGATGAACGTACCGTGCTTGCCTTTGCTGGTTTGACGGCCGATGCTCGTGTCTTGATCAACAAGGTCCGCGTCGAAGCCCAATCCTACCGTCTCACCATGGAAGACGATCCCTCCGTCGACTACATTGGACGCTATCTAGCCCGGGTCCAGCAGCAGTACACCCAGCAGGGTGGAGTCCGTCCCTTTGGTGTCGCCAGTCTGTTGGCTGGAGTGGCCGGGGACCAATCCGATCCGGACAAGCCACTCCTTTACCAAACAGATCCGGCCGGAACCCATTCTCGTTGGAAGGCACAGGTCGTCGGTGGACGCAATGCCAAGTCACTCCGGGAGTTTCTGGAGAAACAGTATCACGAAGACCTGACCGAGGAGGCATGCGTTCGATTGGCCATTCAAGCTCTGCTCGAAGTTGTCGATAGTGGTGCCAAGACTATGGAAATCTGTGTCATTCAACGGGGTGGAAAGAAAGTCAACATCTCCGAGGCTCAAGTGGATGCTGTCGTCAAGGAAATTGAAGCCGAACAACAGGAAGAAAAGGGACGTGGAACTGGTGCCGCCGCGACTAGCTAGATCGCAAGCAAACAAACAACAAAAAGTGCGGCCGAGTGATACCGTACGATCGAGCAAAGCAAACCATCATTACCAAGTGCGACAATCCAGTGATTTGGTACCCTGAGCCGCAACCATTCTAAATTCAATCAACCTAGACAGTAGCATCGTGTCTTTTTCTCTCTTAGCATCGTTCCAGCTTATACATTGTACGTGTTTTGGAAAGAAGTAGCATCGTGTCGCCTCGTCCTATCGTCGTGAACATCACTCGATAGACGGAACTGTTGTTTGCTGATCAAGCGTTTGGCATCCGGTGGGGCAGACAATCCGAAGCCTTGCCGAGCCAGCTCCGGCCATTGGACTAAAAGTGTTGGTGAAAAGCACTGGAGTGACATTCCCTCCGTTTGTAGGACCAGTGGTTGGTGCCAGCGAACGGCCATGCCGTGCTCGTAGAGAAAGTAGCATTGAGCGCAAACCAAGCATTGCCGCAACCATCGTCAATGCAATCAACTACATGGAACAAGTTAGTGTTTGGTAATCCTGCTAGTAGAAAGGCTATGATAGAAGATGCAAGCGATTCTGTAGGACTTGATGCTTCTCCGTACACAACCAATGTACCCAACAAATGGGCATAAGACAAACATTTAGTGAGCGCTAAGCTCCCCCGTAATGACGACCAATGGGACCAGCCATCCACGATTTTACATGGAATAGTAGTTCGGATCACTGATCAATCATTCTGTCGTGTCAATCAATAATCCAAACAAACATGGTAACAGCTACTGCTTGTTCGTGTCACTCAAGTGTTGATGACTGCCAAATCCGCAATGCGAGAATGATTGCCTGTGATTCTATCAAACCATCTCAAGTTTCGCCCCACAAGTCCTTCCACATACTCCATCCAATATTCCTCAAAGACCAGGTGGCGATCCACAGGATTGGCATCGTCCATGGGCAACGTCTTTTCCAAATATTCTAAGTCCCAGTTTTGATTGTTGTACACCACGGCCCCGTTCAAATGCGAGTGCACCATGGGATGCAACTGGGTAATGGGTTTGGTTCCCAGACCAATGGCTTCGTAATGACGATAACACTCGGGTCGATCACCATTGGGTGAAACAATGTATCGATAGTCGGCCATGTTCTGGTAGTATTCGGATTGCGGCAATTTGGCAGTATTCGTTCCAGCAATATTTGCTTTGGATCGTTGTCCCGCACTGTCGCCCAAATGTCCAGCATAGATTGTTTTGGTTTTTTGTGGATTCTGAATCCTCTCGGTAAAGACGGGTTGATAGTGTCGCACAGCACTCTCATCTCGCAAACCATATGGAAACGGGCTCAGCTGTTCATATGTTGGTGACATCGGAAGGTGACAAAAAAGTGTGAAATTCAAGTCAACTCAGCCAATATCAAACAGGTCTCAAGCCACGCAGCAAACAAAACCAAGAGTTACCGGTACGGTGCAACCCTTATTACAAAAGCCCACATGATCCGTATTGTGCGAGAACCAATGCAGAACATTGGGATTGGAGGAGATTGTGGTGGATGTGTAAAACTTTTCCTTCCTGGTATTTCTCTCGGGAAACCGATTCCATTTTTGTCCCGTAATGAGGACTAGATCCTGTACTCTGGTGTTGCGCACCAAGAACTTTTGCACAAAGTCTGCGAGATCCATGAATTGAACATAAATGGTATCATTGGGACGCAAATCTTCAGACGCAAGCAGCTGTTCAGCCGTTTGCTTCTTCCAATGCCCATCGTACATGGAACAATCAAGATACTTTTTGCGGTTTTTGGAGTTCAAGTCACCATGATCCACATGATAGATCCAAGCGGCCATGTGACAACCACTCTTGGTGTAAATAATATTGAGTCCTCGTTGCACATGGGCTGTAAAGTCATTGGGGGTGGAGAAGCGTGTAGATTTTTGGAATCCTTCTGTTCCAACAGAAGGAGATGTTTGTGCTGCTGGCTCAGGCAGTGATTGTGGCTCAGGCTGAGGTTCAGCAGGCTGAGGTTGCGGTTCAGGCTGTGGCGCTTGGGTTGGTTTTGGTGTTTGTGGTTCAGGTGTTTGAGTTGGTCTTGGCGTCATTGGTATGATTGGTTCAGGTTCAGGTTCAGGTTGTGGCTGTGGCTCAGATGGTGTCTTCTCATCAGATTGTTGCGCCGGATTTTCCACGGCTCCATCCACGCTATCCCTAGAGATAGGGTCTTGTGCTCCTTCGTTTGGACTTGGTACTGGTATCCGTGCCGTTGTATTTGTATTTGTCCTCTCCTTCCGACTGACCTCCTTTTCTATTTCAATGGGGTTTAACTTGCCCAGGAAAAAGGTTCGAATATCCACACACAGCAAGACTATCAGTACCAACATTACTTGCAAAAATCTCCGATGGCATGTACTGCAGCCACCTTCAGCATCAGCAGGAATACCGGTACCCTGTTTGTCAGCAGTAGGAGTCAGCATTGGAGCTGCTTCTTCATCATCATTCAACGTCATGGTCAAACAAATAAATGAAGGCCACAATCATAACAACGGCTGAATGCTCATCAAATAAATGTGGTGCCGTTCCTACAGCGAACCACGTACATGTACCGCTTCATTGGAGTTCGGAATGGAATGGTACCGCGCTTCGGTTCCGCATGAAGGTTGGGGTTCATTTCATCAAGTTGCACACTACCACAATCCTCCATGTTCCACGCCACGGTACGCATACGAGTACAAACTAGCTAGCTAGCTAGATGACAAGCATGCACCAACAACGAGGGATGAAATCTAGCTAGCTAGCTAGCTAGGGAGGCCTGGAAACAGGCCACCTTCGCAACTGACCCGAAAAGGCACCTGAATCTACATACAGGTACACTCAATCCATCTTAGTTCAGTCACTTTTTGCTAGAATCGTATGCCTCAATCCATCTATTGCTCGTGCGGCGGGGTTTGCTGCAGTATCCAAGGAGAGGCATGACGACGAGTACACCTTGGTTTGATGAAGCGTCCGAGAATAGCTAGCTAGATAGCTAGACTACCGTACCGCTGTTTTTCGAGCGCCAGAAGAATCGCTCGCTGGCTTGACCGGACAAAATGGTTGTTTGTTGATCAGGCTTCGGTAGCCCGGGGCCGGCAAAACTGAGGGCTGAGGTCGGAAGGGTCAGCTGCCTAACCAGCCTAAAAGTCAAGCTAGGCAACGAACTAAAAGTGTTGGTAAGGCACGGGTGTAGCACTAAGCTACCCCGTCATGATGACGGGCACATGAGACCAGCCATCCACGATTGTACATTGATTAGTAGTTCGGATCATGGAAGCATGCAGTCATGTCAATCGTCCACACAAAAGATGGTAACTGCTGCTGTTTGTGCTCAAGTGCTCAAGTGTTTATCACTGCCAAATCCGCAATAAGAGAATGATTGCCCGTGACTCGATCAAACCATCGCAAGTTCCGTCCCACAAGTCCTTCGACATACTCCATCCAATATTCCTCAAAGACCAAGTGACGATCCACAGGATGCACATCATCCATGGGCAGCGTCTTTTCGAGATATTCCAAATCCCAGTTTTGATTGTCGTACACCACGGCCCCGTTCAAATGCGAGTGCACTGTAGGACTCAACTGAGTAATGGGTTTGGTTCCCAATCCAATTGCTTCGTAATGGCGATAACACTCGGGTCGATCACCATTGGGCGAAACAATGTATCGATAGTCGGCCATTTTCTGGTAGTACTCGGATTCAGGCAATTTGGCAGTATTCGTTCCCGTAATATTTGCTTTGGATCGTAGTTTCCCGCTGTCGCCCAAATGCCCGGCATAGATAGTTTTGTTTTTTTGTGGATTCTGAATCCTCTCCAAAAAGACTGGTTGATAGTGTCGCACAGCACTCTCCTCCCGCAAACCATATGGAAACGGGCTCAGCTGTTCATGGGTTGGCAAACAATAATGGGAAGGAATCAACAAACGAGTGTGAAATTCAATTCAAGTCAACAAGTCAAGCAAGAGCAAATAGGCATAAAGTCATGCAATGTAACAAACAAAACCATACAACACTTACAGGTACGGTGCACCCCTTATTGCAAAAGCCCACACGATCCGTATTGTGTGAGAACCAATGTAGAACATTGGGATTGGAGGAGATGGTCGTGGATGTATAATACCCTTCCCTTCTTGAATTTCGTTGGGCAAAGCGATTATACCTTTGTCCCGTAATGAGGACTAGATCCTTGGCTCTGGTGTTGTGCACCAAGAACTTTTGCACAAAGTCTGCCAAATCAATGAATTGGACGTAAATGGTATCGTTGGGACACAAATTTGTAGTATTGAGCAGCTGCTCGGCCGATTGTTTCTTCCAATGCCCATCGTACATGGAACAATCCAGAAATTTTTGTCGGGCTTTGGAGTTCATGTCTCCATGATCCACATGATAGATCCAAGCAGCCATGTGACAGCCACTCTTGGTGTAAATAATGTTCAGCCCTCGTTGCATGTGGGCCGTAAAGTCATTTGGGGTGGAGAAGCGCGTAGATTTTTTGAAAGAAGAAGAGGTCTGAGGTTCAGGTTGAGGTTCAGGCTGTTGTTGTGGCTGTGGTTCAGGCTGTGGTTCAGGTTGTGGATGTGGCTGGGTTGCAGTTGCAGTTGCTTGAGGTTGAGTAGTGGTTGAGTTAGTAAATTCTAATTCAATGGGACTTGACTTGCCCATGAAAAAGGTTCGAATATCCACACACAGCAAGACTATCAGTAACAACATTACTTGCAAAAATCTCCGATGGCATGTACTGCAGTCACCATCAGCGTCAGCAGGACAGGTACTGGTGCCCTGTTTGTCAGCAGTACCAGTACTAGTAGGCATCAGCATTGGAGCTGCTTCTTCATCATCATTCAACTTCATGGTCATGTTGAAATGAACTGGTGCCGAAAATAAAAAATAAAACGTAGACTACTATGGCAGTAATAGTACTGGAGTACTTGATAGTATCTTTGTACCTTACCGTTTTACATACCGGTACTGGGGCAACTGTGATTGGCTTACCCCACCTTCCTCAAAGCTTTGCCACTTGCAACCAACCATCAACCGCGCTGAACCGAGCGCCTTTTCCAGCCCGTTTACCGACCACTTTCCATCGAATACGTCTTCTTGTTTGATCATCCATGCAAATAGGTGGTTGAGAGAAAATGAAGTCAATGGAAATTGGTTTGAGGCACCCCCCTGTGACATGGGATGGTGAATTAAAATTTGCTGTGCCAGTTCAAGTTTGAGGTGCCAGTTCGTTTACGTACTAGTATGCCAGCGGTACCGCGCTTCTTTGGAGCATCAAGGTTGGGGTTTATTTTGACAGTCGCCACGTTCCAAGCCACAATCCACGCCACGGTAACTATCTTGCCATGCATCAACATCCGATCCTGAACCAACTCCAGGATGTCCTATGTAAACCTGCTACTTCTCACAGCTACTGGTACGGTACTACTCAGGTACTACACAAGGACCTAGCCATCTCGCTTCAAGCTCCACACCTCCCCTCCACCCTCTTCAGGTCCCACAATAGCTCTTGCAAGGAGGAAGCCCGGGACCGTCGTGAGTCAGCGGCCAAGATTGAGGATCCCTAGCTATCTGTAGCTATACCGTAGCAAACCAAACTAGCAACGCCGCCCCAGATTCTTCCCCAGGTGATTCTAAACAAGAAATCGAATGGAATCGAATCAGCCATCGAGCTGGGAAAACCAACTTTTACTTCGTGGAAGTTACGCACTGGGCACTGGGCTGGCAAGGCTAGCTAGCTAGATCGAACAGCAGCAAGTGGCTGCAACAGCCCCCGAGAGTTGTGTTTTTCTTTGATGAGTAGCAAGAGAGCCGCCTCCATGTGGTTTCCTCCAGATTGCCTAAGAAATGCAGACGGTCAAGGTTGCTATACCGAGTTTGGTTCTTCCAGGCTTTTCTTGCTGCCTCTCTGGAGCTACTAGTAGCCAGCGGTTGCTCGATGTCAAGCATCAATGAAGAGGATCTACGGTACCGTCTGCTATGGCTTCGGCTCCTAATAATCGAACCTGTGCCGTGCTCGGATGGCACATGTACTTTGATTAAGCAGCACATGAAAGGTTGGTACGACTGCCATGTTTGATAAGAAGCTGATAAGACCGGTTCCAAACAGAGTCATAAAGTGGTCTCCCAGTGGACTTGAAGTTAAATCATTCATCATCGCTATTCTTGTACCGCTGTTCCGGTGAAGATGCTTTGAAAGCAAGTTTTACGGATTAGTACTCTTGCGGCCATACAGTTCTTCCGCGATTCAGCCAGTTGTTACGTGGCTTTCGTGATCTGTGTACCGGTGAAGTGCTTCATCCCATGAGCGCTTGGGTAGCTTGGGTGATGCTCACAAATTCAGCACCAACTCGGTTGTCTCACAAATTCAGCTCTAACGGCACAGCCGAGCGGCCACCCTTCAAAAGCATCAGGTGCCTTATGCTAGCTATTAATTAATAGCTATCTGGAAGTCCTACCATGTCCAAGGAGAATCGTGTAGAGAAATCCAAATCAGCACTTCGAAGTGTTGCCAACATGATCAAGATGCCCTCGACGTCAACTTCCTTTTCTGGGTCCACCGATGCCTCCAAGAAGCAGATTGACGATGTGCCTCTGAACGCAAAAGTGAGCAAAAAAGCTTCTTCGTCCAAATCCAAGACAAAGGTATCTCCCGTGCAATCTACTACGGTCGCGGGCAACAAGGACCTCAAGCTCAAAGTGTCACACAATGACGCGGGAAGGGTGATCATCTCGCTTTCCAACCCGGATAGAGTGCTGATACAAGTACAAGTAGACGAATCAGTACTCAAGAAACGAGTTCTCAAAAAAACCAAGAGAGTCTCGGATGAGAAAGAACGACCCAAAAAGAAAGTTACCGTCACAAAGACCAAAACTAGATCATCCGGCACTACTACCAAAGTGGCAGCCGTAGAAGTCGGCAAACCCAAAAAGAAGTCAACGCACAAGAAAAAGCCTGAAAAGCCAAGAGACTTGCCAGAGGAAGAAACCAGAAAATCCAAGCACAAGAGGACGAGCAGCAAGAGTCACGACGAAAACACAAGACCTGAACATGCTACTAGTAAAAGCCGACACGACAACAATATTTTTGCAGTGCCGCAACAAGCACCACTTGTCCCCATGGATATGGATTCGGTGGCATCGCATCACTCGTCGTACTCGGACGATGATTCCACACGAAGTCCCAAGGATATTAACCGTCACTCTGCCTTGAGTTTGACCGCGCCCAAAACCCCCAAGCCATCCATCACTAGTAGTATGGCGCAAGTCAACAATACTCCCGAACCATCCAATGTCGTCCCGGACAATGCCTCTGTCGTAACCCCATCCTTGGACCGACGAAAGCAAGCACTCATGCAATTCAAACGACAAAGCAGTGGCTATTTCAGTGCGGCACCCCCCACAATTGGACCAGAGGACGACAGCCTTGATCGTACGGCTCTAAACGACTTTATGAATACCGACGGCACGGAAGCCAAACTCGAAGAGACGGCCAGCAACGATGGTGGCGCCATGTCCACCGAATCGGGCGGTGGTGTCTTTGCATCTCCCTTTCAGCAACGACGGCTCATGCAACGACAACGGCGACTCGAACGACAACGATCGTCCGAGAACGAGGGTGCCTTTCGATCGACACGATCCATCCGCAGTGGACTGTCGTCACAAGTGGACCAACAATCGTCGTCCCAAGATACCACGTCATCCGGAGTTGGACAGTTTGGCATGGTGGTGGAAACGAAACGAACCAGTCATCATGCTCAACAACAACAACAGCAAAGACGACGAAACAGCACCAACAGTGATGGCAACAAAGCCAAGCATACACGCACCATTCTCTCCCCGGACGATGAAGACAGTGAAGCGGTAACAGCATCCAATCGGATCCGAGCCACGTTGGCAGAAGTTCGTAAAGTCGAGTTGACCAACAAGGGGGATGCCCGTTCGGGGCGCTCTTCCTTTCAAGGAAGCTATCCACGTAACCGAGGAGACGACACTGACAATGAGCATTTGGTTTCCGATCAAGGAGGTGAAATATCGTCGGCCAAAAAGTGGGTGACGAAAATCTGCGATAAGGTATGCAACAATAAACGAATGAGGAAAGACCATCAGAAATTACCATGAGGTACCAAAAAGAATAATCGAAACACCCAGTAAAACAGCAACGTCAAATGTTTTGTGTCCTGTAGAGTTAGGTTTGAGTGTACCGGTACACGAGAAGTGGCATAATAATGAAGCTCTAGAATAATACAATGTTATTAGCTACGTAACGGATAAAAAATAGGTGCCGGTGCCGTACTCTTTGCTGCGAATCGATCTGGTGTTGGCCGGAGTCATGACGACAATAGTCATGACACAACGAAACTGTCTTAGTCACCTCTTGGACACCCGTTGTCCTCAACATACTTCTTGATGTCGCCTCCAGTGCTAAGAGCGCATCGGTACGTTGTCTGATTCCAGGGACAGCCATTTTTATGTGCGTACTTGAGCACATCGAGATGTCCATTGGGAGCAGCATTACTGGTTGTCTTTTCATTCCAAGGACATCCATGTTCATGAGCCCACTTGAGGATCTTCATGTGCCCACCCATGGCAGCAGCAGCACATGTGTCTCCATCCCAGGGACAGCCATTCTCGTGAGCCCATTTCACAACATGGAGGTGGCCCCCCAAAGCAGCTTTCCAGCAGGTTGCTGCGTTCCAGGGACATCCATTCTCATGAGCCCATTTCACAACATCAAGGTGGCCGCCCTCTGCAGCTGCCCAGCAGGTTGCTGCGTTCCAGGGACAGCCATTCTCGTGTGCCCATATCACAACATGGAGGTGGCCTTCCTTAGCAGCTTTCCAGCAGGTTGCTGCGTTCCAAGGGATGCCATTCAGTCGCAACAATTGTAGAATGCCCAAATGACCACCTTCAGCAGCTTCCGTGCACATCATCACTGTGAAAACATCATTATTTCCACGCCATTCCAAAAGACCTTTTTCGTGTGCGTGCTCCACAATGCCCTGATGCCCATTTTGAACAGCGAGAAAGATTGGCAGTGTGGTCATTTTCTTGCCATTTTCATGCGCATATTTCAAAACTGCCAGATGACCTCGCTTGGCAGCTTTGTCACATGTGCCCATGTGCCATGTGGAATGATTCCATGGACAGCCGTTTTCGTGTGCCCATTGGAGCATTTCCAAGTCACCACGTTCGGCAGCGGCATCAATGGCAGTGGGTGTAAAAAAATTGGCATCGGGATCGGGATCGCCCGAGGGGTCAACAAGTGGAGGATGCCATGGATATCCTATCTCTTCAGATCTAGCTAGCCCACTGAAGCACCCGAAGGTTTCCATGCTTGGCAATCGCTGTGCATACTCCTGTATAGAGTGGATTCTTGCGCCTGGAACCATCGCTGTGCCAATGCTCGGCGCAGGCTTCATTGAAGAATGCAGCGCTGTAGTAGGTGTCGGTGCTGATTGTTGGGCGTTGCTCGAAGATTGCTTTTACCAAAGGAGGATGCTCCACTGAGTCACAAAAGTCTTTGTAGATTTTGTTCATTTTCTTGCTGACGGCTCCCACAAAGGCATAGTGGCCCATGCCAAGAAAGGAAAAGATATTGTCGCGAATTTTTCCGTGATTGTCATGCAAGACAAGAGGAGAGCATTTGTCATAGAGCTGCTTCGTCTGGTGATTGATTGCGGGCGACCAATCAAAGAACACGCGAGTAGAAAAGGGGTAGAAAGCTAAAACGAAAGATTATGGTACAGAATGGTTGCCTTATACGTTGTGGCATAGGTTGAGGCGACGACCAAGGCAAGAGAGGACATTCATCATACCAGGTAGAGATGGAAGAGACTGGAGCAATAAGCAACACGCCAAACAGGAGAACTGACTCTATGTGCAACGAGGACGATCGAACCAAACCACAGAGGAAACATCGCAGGACAACACCTAACTAAAACAGAATGGAAACAAATGGTTAGACTTGAGCTGCTGAGAGCAAAAGCAAAGCAAGGCCAAATGCATGCATTCGGCTCGAGCAAGAAGAGCAAAGCAAGGCCGTACCGTATGCATGCATGCCACGTTTGGTCAGCAAAGACGGCGAGGGACACACTCCCAGAGCCCCCGGGCATGCCAATGATTGACTCCGAAGAGCAAAGAACTACTAAGTAAGTGGCATGCAGGCAGCGAATGTTCAGTTGTAAGTTAGGGCTGGCTGCTCTTGGATCGACTCACTCGAAGGTTGCTGGTCTCGGTTCTACCTACGGTGCCGGGTACGCCAAAAAGGACCCAACCCAAGAGCACAAGAGTCAAAAGAGATACCATGCGGTCGGTGAGACGCGAGAGACCCGCAAACAGCAACTATATCGTGCATGAGGACGAACTACTATCCCATCAGGAACCACCGCCAGACGACACCTTACCAGCGAATTGACCAAAGGGGCGTAACGGCAAGATAATTCCGCGGGGATCCAAAGGAACCACATGCCCAAGGAGCAGCTGCAAGAGCACTGGGTCATGTAGGAGCCATCGTCGTCCATGTCTTCGAGAGGAAGAAGAAGGCGGAAGAGGGTGATGCTGAGTGAAAAAGCTTGCTTGAGGCAACGGCGTCACAAGTCAAGGCGAGAATGAGCGAGACGCGAGCGACCCGCAAACAGAAGAACCGACTTCACGTGAAGCAACGAGGACGAACGAGGAAACAAAACAGAAGAACACCAAAACCAAGGAGGGCGTGAAACCAACGACCATGCATCATTGATTCATGACGAAAGGAGAAAAAGCAGGAATAAGGGTTGACTCAGAAACAATGGAGGAAATGGTACCGGTACGTACCACTTTCCGGTGTAGAGTGAACGGAACGCACTCATGAAAATGGCCGCCCATTCACTCTTCTTATAGGCTCGAAGCAGCTGCAAGCAGCACCGGAAAATGGCACCAGGTACCATTGTGAGAGTCGTTGAGAGAAGAATGTGAACTGACCTTGGCCGTTTTCGAAACTAGAATGGACTCGACTCTGATCGTCTTTTGAGACTTGGTGCGAACGCGAAGGACCAACCCCAACGGCACCATGTCAAATGACAAAGGAGAACAAACAGAAACAGGAAGGTTAGCGACTTGTTGCAACGACAAAAGAAAAGCGAAAAACTGTTTAGGCGCCATGTTTCCGGTGGAGAATAAATGGAACGACCTCACGCAGAGAGGCCGCCCACTCACACTCCTTTCACAGGCTCGAAGCAGCTGCAAGCAGCACCGGAAAATGGCACCATTGTGAGAGTCTGTGAGAGGAATTGAACTGACCTTGTTTGCATGGATGAGACGACTCTGAATCGTCTTTGAGACTCGAACACGAACCAACCAACGACCAATCCTTGTCAATGACGTAAAGAGGAAAAGCAGAAGGTTAGTAAGGCTTGACTCGGAAATAATAGAGGAAATGAAGGGACGGTTGGTACCATGTTCCAGCGAATGACGGGGGCGAAGCCAGCGAGTCATTCCACAAGGGCCCCCGAAGGAGCGGCTGCAAGCAGCACCGGAACATGGCACCATTGTGAGATTCTGTGATGGGAGTGTGAACTGACCTTGTTGTGGATCGATGAGACTCGAGCCAAAACGGCCGATGATTGTCAACGGCCAACGTGCATTGAGCAGATCTACCGTACTGTACTGGTACAGTACCTACGAGGAAGAGACAAGGGTTGAGGCGCCACAGTTTGCTTACTTCTCTGAAACGAGCACTGAATGAAAGACAGAAGTACCGACTTTACCTTGCACGAGGACGAACCACCCCAACAAAGGACTGGAAGAGGAACGGCCACGGCGCCATTGTCAACATTGAGCAGACCTACTTTGGGAACTAAAGAGGATGAGGCTGCAACGATTGGTCGACGACCGTGAAAAAGCAATGGCACAGAAGACAGGAACAAGTGGACTTTACCTTGCACGAGGACGAACCATCCCCACAAAGGAACCACCGCAAGATGACTCTGGATCCGTTCAACCACACAGCGGTCCGCCGAGGGTTCATCAAAGAAGAACATCTCGAGGTACGTGAACGTGGGACTCTCAATACCATCATTGTCATCGTCATGCATGTCTTCAAAGAAGAAGTTGTTGCACGTTGTGTGCTGCGAGAAAAAGAGCTCTGTTTGAGGCACGCAACGGCGTTTCATGATTTTTGGCAAGACCAACTCAAACTCAAACTCAAAATCAAAAAGAAGAAACCAAGACCGGAAGGTGTCAACATCAAAAATAAATCAAAATGGTGGCGTCATTTGATTGCCGTTTCATTTCAAAATGGATACGGCCGTCGGCAAAAGGTGCGATCGAGTGGTGGTTGATTGTTGCCACCGATATGGGCCACATTCTCAGTACCGGTACTGTACGGTACTTCGAAGATCTCTTGCTTTGTTGTCCCACTCCCACTGCCGGTAGTGCCATGATGTTCTTGTTTCGACCGCCTTTTGTGGTCTCTCCTTAGTTGACGTCCCGATGTTAAATGCTACTAATCATTGTGTGAAACAGAAAATGTTCTTGTTTCGACCGGACATCATGACATCATCGTCGTGGTCAAGGCGACAGGCGAGAGACTACGGCCTGAGCTGCCTCTGCATCTACTGTGCCGGTACCGTACTACCTAGCTGGAGATTCTCCATAGTGAGTTAAAAGTTGCTGCCAAAGTCGTCAATGAGCTGAGTGAATGACGATCCATAACGCAAAAGATTGGATGACCTCATCACTATGGCAAAAAAGGATCTTGCGGCGATAAAATAATATTGCGAGTGCTATCTGGAATTCATTAGCTAGTCTAGCTGGCTATTACTGTAGGCAACAAGCAACAGGGGGTTGTTTCTGAGCTGTCTCAGAAAAAAAATCCATGTTCAGCCACTTTTTGCCATATGATTGCATGACACAGCTGCAGGGTTCCACTCAAGCTATGCATAGCTAGCGCACTCAATGAAAGAAAGCTATGAAAGATTATGGTACAGATTTGTTGGGTTGCCTTCTTGGAAACTAGATGTGAGCAGATCATTTCCTGGGCTCATGGCTGCGCGAGGCTCATGTCAAGGCAAAGCCCTTGGCCAAGATCCGATGATGATTGAATTGAATCGAATCCTTCAATCATTTTCCACCACCTCCAGCTCCATCTTACGGTAAATCGTCCGTTTCCTCTTCTGGGACCTCTTCCTCTGCTTCAGCCTCTGCTTCATCTACTGTTCCTCCTCTTCTCGTCACCGTATTGTACATGGTTCCAACGAACCTTGCCAGTGATTGAATCGACTCCGCGGCAAATCCCGTAGCCGTTGCCAAGAGCGGACAAGCCGCCAAACACCGAGCCTCGGCAATTTCACAAGCCACTTGAAGGATAAAGTTGGAATATGCGGCCACACGCAGGACAATGGCATTCTCGATCCCAGCACCACACAATCCCGGTTGTCCCATGTAGATTCCGTAAAATGCCTGGTACCCGAGCTTATTGTCTCCAAACACAATCGGAGCTCCTTCGTCGCCGGCGCAAAAGGCAACGTCTTCCTCGTCGAGCGCAAAATCGGTCGTATTGAGACAGAAATAGCCGGTATTGTCGGGGATATTACAGTTGGTGCCTCGTCGGACCACGGTAAAGTTGGCAAACATGAGTTTCTCCGTGACAATGTTTTTGCCCGCACTCAAGAGCGGACTGGCACCGTATCCCATCCCGGTCACTGTCGTCCCGGCAGAGGGAATGGATGTATCCGAGTTGATCGCTCCAATATCGTATTCAGGGAACAGCTTGACGCCACTGATCTTAATAATGGCAACATTATTGATGAGACTGGGATACCTGTGATCGGGATTGGGCCGTATGACCTCCCAGGTTCGGTAGATTCCCTCTCCAACTCGGACATTGTTTTCTCGTTTGATAATGGCAAAACTCTGTAATCGATCGGCAAAGTTTCCATTGAGATCGTAGAGACAGTTGGCGGCCGTGACTACCAAGTCTCCTGAAATCATGGCACCACCACACCGGCGTGCATTGGCGGCATCGCCATTGTCGGGAAATGCAAAGAGTTCGACGAACCACGGGAAATACCCTGCTGTGGCTTCATCACCACCGCGGATTGTATTCGAGGGTACAATCAGTTCATCGAATTCCTCCACATCCCCAAATGTTCGGAGTTCATCCAATTCTCGTCGAAGCATGTATTTCTTGGCGGCTCGTTCGGCTTCTTGTTCCCGCTGCATCGTCTCGTAGAGAGCGGCAGAAACGGAACCAAGCTGGAAGGTTGGCCATATTACTGTTAGGATTGTTGTTATTGTTGTGGAGAACGATAGGAGTGGAGACTTCTTCATGGTGGCTGGATGCAATGATAGATCTGTTCGATGTTGGTAGCCGTTAGTCAGTCAAGGTGGATGCAGAGATGGATGAGGGGCGAACTGTGGGGAGCGCTTCCGCGACGGCAAAGATCCCGTGGGAGTCCGGCCAGCTGCATTATTTTGCAGTTTTTCCCTAACCAACAAAACCGACTTGTCTAAGCAGCCAACACGACGACCTAAGTACAAACAAGTATACCATCCTAATGCGTTGAATCTGGCTAAGTATCCATAGAGCAGCGAACAACAGAACAATCGTTCAAGGTCGTTGACCAATCTTGGATGTGTATTGGAACTTTCTCGCGGAAAACCAAAAAACGAACAACGCAAAAAAGATACCGAATCAAAAACTACAGTCGTACCACAGAACACCTCGAGATCCTCATTATTTCTCCCCATCTCGCTTCCATCTTTACGATACCATAGCTAGCTAGTTATTCAACAACCCACCCAACCAACTATTATAATCATGCCACAAATGTTTTCATTCCAGCTCCTTCTCGTGGTTCTTGCCACAACAGTTCTTTCCGTTGCCGCCGAGGCTCCGGTGTACCAACCTGCCAGTGGATTCTATAGCTGCCCCAAAGTCGGCATGGTTTGCAACGTCGAAGGCTGCGGCTTTGGCGACTCGGATAGCTGCAGTACCATTGCCAATGGATTCGATGTTCACCTTGTGGGCGAAATTGCCGTCTACACGAGCAACACCGACGGCGCCGATCTTTCCATTACCGGTGGGGACGATACTCGAATTACGTGCGACGACGATTGCACTTGCCAATTCGTTACCGCAGGTGTAGGGTGCGCCATTGCCACGGCAAGCGATGCATCCACTGGTACCGGAATCGTAAACATGAATGGAGAGGAATACAAGGACGTGGAGATCAACGCCGCCGTCACCGAAGACACCACAGATTCGGCGGCAACCACGACAACCCTCATGGCAGGAACCCTGCTATCCTTCCTTGTGGTGGCCGCGCTCTAACTGAAGCAGCCATGACGAGATGTTGATGCGAGAGACACGAAAGTCTCCTCGTTTTGTTGTTGAACTATCTTTAGAATCAATCACTCATTTCATTTCATTTCATTTTGCCATCCATACGGTTACTGTACGGTATACAAGAGATCGAATCGAATCAAATCAATCAATCAATCAATCATTTGCGCAGGGGGTGCTCAGATGGGAGACTGCCGAGGAGGAACCCAAGAGAATGGACCTGTTCTACGTTTAGCATAACTTATGTACTTAGGACTGACCAAAAACTAGTTTGTCTCTAGAGCTAGCGCTACCGGTATAATTAGCTAGCTACGCTGCCCTGTGAGCTGCTTGTTGCGCCTCCAGTGAGCCCCCTTTTTTTGTTCGTGTCCTCCCTTCTGATCATTTGGTTAATTTAGGGGAACTTCATTGTTGACGGAGAAAGCCTGAGATGCGACACGCTCCAAGCGTCATCCCACTGTTGCTCTCTCTCAGCCGGAAACAGTCCTTCCCGGCCCCTTTCGAACCATTCTTTGGAAACTGCACAGCAGGATCTATCAACTCTGATTATGTAGAATGTTATCACAGAAACGCATTGACTGACATCAAAGTACAACACAAGGTCTTCACAAATTAAATGTAGCACCACAGCACATGCATCGACGTATACACCTCTCTAGCTCTAAATCCATCCATCCATGCACAATGCATTCGACAAAAAGACAATAATCATACAGAATTCCGCGAGGAGATTCATTTCTCCATGGTGGCCCGAAATCGACGACAGTTACCCTCAATTCCGTAGCATCTCATTCCCTCGAGCACGCAGCCATGGTGTCATGACTGGCAAAGCAAAACGCAGACCTTGACCACACAACATCACTTTCATCATGGGTCACATGGACAAAAATCGTCGCAACCACAAAGCTCTTGCGTGCCACAGCCCATTTTAAACGCGAATCGCTTCGAACAAAAGTCTTGCGGTACAGTACCCGTGAATTCGTTCCGTTCCAACCAAATACGCAGGTCATCTTTATAGACATCGGGATCGTTTTGCTTGCGCTCTACCAGAGCCTCGCCGAGTTCGTCTGGTAAAGACCCGATGAAGCCGTTATCTTCGAGCCGTAACTCTTTCAAGTCAAACTTCAAAAGATTCCCAACTTCCGAAGGTAGAGACCCACTCATCTCATTATTATTGACCCACAGTTCCTTCAGGTAACTCATGTGTCCGAACTCAGAGGGCAAATTTCCCGTGAGACTGTTATCGCCGCCCACATCAAAAACCGTAAGGTCGGTCAATCTCCCCAGTTCGGTTGGGATGGACCCCTGGGCTCGGTTGCTGCCGTGCTTGAAAACGATCAGGTTGGTCAGGAGTCCCAATTCGGTCGGTAACGCTTGGCTTGTCTGTCTCAGATTATTCCCACCAACGTTGATGTTCTTGAGGTGGGTCAAGAACGAAATTTCGGGCGGCAAGTATCCAGCTAGGCCATGGTTCGCCAGATCGATCGATTCGTAGTGACCGTCCGTAGTGCACCGCTGAATGGGAAACGGTGCCATGTCCGCATGAACCCAATCAAGACATTCATCGGCCGAATGACTCAACCAATTCACATTGTCGTACCAAGCCACTTCGTCCTCTGTGTCACTCGTCGCAATGTTGGTGGCATAGTAGAGAGTCGCCAGTGCATATCTCTGCAGGACTTTCCATTCGGGCATGTCTGTGTTAAGCTTCCTATCTTTCAGAATCCAATCATAGGCTCGTTGTTGGGGACTGCCAGGCGAGTTGTAGATAGCGTCTACAGTGAACTGCGGCAAGTTCGGCAGAAATTCTTGCGCATTGGGCGTGGGTGCACTAGTGGGCGAGAGTGTTGTAGCCAAGATGGTTGGCGGCGGTGTAGAGGGCGCAAAGCTTGGAGAATTCGATATCTGGTCATCATCTGAGAATAAGCCAACAAGATTGAATATCTTTTCCAGCAACAGGAAGGATACAACACACATCACAGCCGCAATGAAGAATCCGCCAAACACGTAGTTGGAGGTGGACTTTTGTTCGGTCGGGTTGGCCTCCTGTTGCGTTGTAGGGATCGTGCTGTCGTTGTTATTATTATTGTCGTTCTCATCGTGCTGACGGTCTGATTCCGACGGTGATGGTAACATGTGTATTTGCAAAGCAATGGGGAAATTCTCGGGTATCGCCAATGGGCTGGGTTCTTGTGCACAGGAAGCGCTCGGATGATGCCTGGTACCGGTAGCTTCATCGCTGAAGTTCGTTTGTGGCGTGATGGTAGATTGATCGGACGTTGCCGATGGTTGTGGGTCAATGACGGCCGGGGGCCTCGAGTATCCTGCACTATGGGATAGATGATCACTGGGATGAGGCCCCTCCTCCACGGGCGCTTTGACATGATAGGCCCCGATATAATCGTGCAATTCTACTTTGTGGTCAACAAAGTGGTCGGAGGTGTTGTTGAGTCCAGACTTGGATCGAAAAATACTTGCTGGCAATGGCGGGGCTTTTTCAATGTCAATGCTATTGTTCCGTGGCACACCTGCTCGTGAGTTCGTCGTTGTTGAAGCCCCGTTAGACTTAGTATATTTTGCCAGTTCCATTGCTTGGTTAGCCAAAACCCAGTCATGTTGCTCTTGTGAGAGTGACGCGGCGGGCGAAACCGATGGAGGCTGGAGTGCCGCTCGCTTAGAAGGACTGAGTTGATGATCTGATCCTACCAGGGTTCTATTAGAACCACCCGTGGGAGTTTGCAAATGAGCTTGCTGGCAATCATTAGAGAGTTCCTGTTGTGAACGCCAGGCTTTCTTCAAGACCTCAGGGTCTCTCCGAAAACTGGTCTGAGAGTCTGACATATCATCACCAACAGTAGCTACGGTGGCATGGGTTAGAGAGGCAACTGACCCATCCTTTCGTTGTTTCTGAAGCTGTTCCCGTGCAATCTGCTCATAGATAAGCTTCTGCGACTGAATAGCAAGTTCCTGCTGACTGACACTAGTGCCAGCTGTATTCTGTAGGTTTTGGGGGGTCATGGTCACCTCTTGCCAAGCCTAAGTCCAAAGTAGCTGAGCTTATAAGCCACCTGAAGACGACCTAAGCGAACCAAATTTCCCAATAGAGGACTTAGCTCAGTTCAGTTCAGTTCAGATCACTGACTTGTCCTCTCCTCCTTGGCCCACCAAACGAGATCAGGAAAGGCGCGATCAGGAAAGGCGCGATCAGGAAAGAAGCCTTCTGGTTCACCTCTTCTCTCGCGACCCTTGGCCTGGCCTGACTTAGCCTACCGGTACGGTACAGCAGCTTAGCCAACCAAAGGATCTCTGGGACGGCCTAAGACAGGTAGACCAGCTCAGTGAAACTCCACTTGTCTTATCTTTGTCTTGTCTTGTTTGTCCCACCCAAAAAAGAAGAAGAACGAATCACCGCGTAAAAACACCGCGGTGAAATCACGTCAATCTTCTGTCAAGTCGAAAATGCGTTCTTCGACCTGATGAACCGTAGTAAGCGGCACACTGGCAACTCAAGTAGAGCTCTAATCAACCCTAGCTTTGCAAAGTCTAAAATTCGATAAGCCTGTCGAGATCTTCAAGTCCAAGTCGGGGCCATCCACACCATTGTTTCCAATTCCTTTTGCTTTTTTGTTGGGCATCCCGCCCGTGCTCAGCATCCTTTCGCGGAGCTTCGAGATCACCAAAAATTTCGCTGTTAGCCTCAACAGTACTATTAACAGTACCAATCCATTGTCACACCACCACTCACAAACAGTCACTAAATAGGTGCGCGCGCAGGCATCTATCTCTTTCCTCGATACTCGACCTTCTCCAAGACCCTTTCACCATGTGCTGCACGTCCTAGAAATGCATTCCAACAGAAAGCCATTATATCTTAGAGAGATAACCGGTGTCTTCACCAAATTTGCTAAGTCTTCGGCAATAGCCAGTCCTGAATGTGCGAAAAATCGGTCACATCATCGATCAGTTTATCCAAACCAGGGAACCGTTCCTGGATGACCCACCGAAGGCTGTTGAAAACGAGTTGCCAGTGAGTGACAAGCAAGAAATCAAAAAATTGGCGGCAACCGGGAGGCATGGGGCTTCAACAGTCTTTTGCACTTTGATGGATGTTTGCTGCTTGGGACACACTTCGCGGTCCCAATTGAACTAGCTAGCTAGCTAGTAGGGGAAATAGTAATGAAGATACCTTTACAGTACGAGTATGTAGTTGCTCTAGCTAGCTCGTGGCAAAAGTGGAAGCCCCTTGCTTTGCCAGACAGCCAGGCTTGGCTAGCTAGCCACGTACTGTAGTAGGACCTCACTTTTTTGATTGGATGATTGTAGGATCTCTCCTCGTCTCCGTTGTGGTCCGAGTCAAGTCGAGGCAACTCTTGCAATTTGCAATCTCGTACTCGTAGGGCACTTGCTCTTCTGCCTTCACCTGGTAGTTTCTTCTTGGGGGGATCTTCTGGCTGGATACTACTAACAAGCAATGCACGAGCTGCCTGTGTGCATGGAATTGCATTCTTGGCTGGCTGCCTGATGCTATGTTTCAGAAACTACTATGCGAGAGCATAAAGACGCCACGACACGGACAAAAAGCCTTGCATCCAGCCTTGCTTGGTTTCGCTTCATGTATCTATGGATCTGCAGCCAGCCACCAAGAATGCAGGGCCCAGCCAGAGGCTAATGGTACGATGTACCGCGATCTGGCAATGGGAAGCAACTTTAAAAAGGAGGCAGTGGCACTGGCGTGCAGGAGATAGCTAGAAAGTAGAGAAAGAGACGAGCTGGACCTAGCCAGGATGGCGTTGGCCGTGGCTAGCAGCATGCCATGGTCATCCCGCTGGGCTGTTTTGCCTCTTCTATGATGTCTGCTGTATGGCTGTATGGCATCATCATCCTATCTATATAGTCTATCTACTTCCACTTCCAATCTTGAGATCTTGAATGGTTTTTGAAGAATCCTTCATCCTTTTGAAGCAGTCACAGCATTCGATCCAATCAACTATTTACGAGCACTGGCATGGTAGATGTACTGTACTGTATTCCCACAGTTATAGTATGTACATACCGGTTACCATGGAGTACTCAATAGTCTATAGTTCCTCAGTAATGGATTCATGCATCATGGTATTCTGTTTTCTGTATGTGTGCAGAAGAGTACCTGATTTTCAACAAATTAAATATGAGAGAAGTAAAAGAAAATGTGGACACTAAGTCTTTTGTAAAAAGAAGAGAGCGAGGTTAGTTCTGTGACTCCAGAGTTTAATATTTAAAAAAGAGTGGTCATCATCAATTTGCTATTATTAATACATAAAACGTCTACGGGAAACGCGAAACATTCTATGTACGCTCCAAACTAGTCAATGTACTAGTATGCGAAAGCGAGCCCTGAGCTTTTAGAAAATGTTAAGAAACCATCCACCCTGTATTTCCATGTGGCTGTAAGAAAACCTCCCAGTATTGAAACCTCAAGACATAAGAAATGCTACTAGCTAGTTTGACACCATAAAAATGCTTCAGATTTGTTTCTACATGTAATTCTGCAAAATTTTCTATTTGATCGAAACCAAACTTACGAGTCCTGAGCAAGTTGGACCAAAAGGCCCAGGTGCTCTGGGTGTATCCAAACACAAACTGTTTGTCCATAAGCTCAGCAAGAAAGTCTTCTATGCTGAATTTGGCTTGTTTGGTGAGTAGAAACAATCTGAGGGTCCAAAATGGTGCAGCACTATAAGAAAGCCCCAGGACAGCTGTCTAGTTAGAATTGTCTTATAAATGAGTTTGGAGTGTAATGAGTATCCTGTACTAGTACGAGGATGTGAGTATGCAGTCTGAACGACTTGCACCTTTGACGCGTGACTATGACATAGAAGCCGCGCGAATGGAGAGTAGACCAATGTAGTTATGTAGTTATTTACAGAAGCCGGGGATGTACTTCGGCAACCGATTTCGATTTCGTTCATACCAGTACAAATATAAATATGCAACGGTAGTCTATCTCAGGAGCATGCCTCAAGATGCCGGTGGATCCATGGATGGATGGTAAGGTAGGTACCGGCACACACAGGGACTTGTAGCAAGCTCTGACTTTGCGGGTCAATTAGACTATTTCAATTACTAACGTAAGGTGTAGACGATAGAAAATGGAGAAGAGGACTGTGCTAGTGTTGGTGGCAATTGTCGCCATTGTGGCCATTACTCTTGCGATTGTGATTCCCGTGGTGGTTGTCAAGGGGAACAGCGCTTCTACTAGCACAAGAGAAGGAGATCATTCAACGGGTGGGCCGTTGCCAGAAAAGTATCAATCTGCATTGAACTTTCTTTTGGAAAACCTGCCAGAGGATCTTCAGGAGGAACTTGCTGTTGCTGCTGATCAGGAGCAACAACAACAGGAACCAGATTCCTTCCCGCCTCAGCTGCAAGCATTGAACTGGCTGGCTTACGAAGATACCTATAGTACACCGGATCTTGCCTTTTCCTTGGACACTAACAAGACCCTCCAGCGGTATGCACTGGCCACATTTTACTTTGCCATGGGAGGCGACAACTGGAGAGATTGTCCGGGAAGATCAATGCAGTACTGTGAATGGACCATTCCAGGACAAGCAAAATGGTTGTCCCCAGTAGACGAGTGTGAATGGGCCTTTCTCACATGCAATGAAAATGCTACACTAGAGGAGATACGGGTCGAAAAGGGTGGTACGTATAAACCGTAGTATCTTCGATTCAGACCGGTGCGCACTGGACTCAATTCTTTTTGATGTTTCTCTTCACGCAACTCGTATATACTGGTAGATGGAGGCCTATATGGAAACAGTGTGATTGGTACTCTTCCCAAAGAAATGTCTCTTCTTTCGAACCTCAAGACATTTGATGTTGCCACTAACCTCATGATGGGAGGTCTAGGCACGGCATTCTCAAGTACCACGTCTTTGATTGTCTTGCGTGCTCCCGAAAACCAACTCACGGGGGACTTTCCCAATCAGATCCTACCCAACAACCCAAACCTGGAAGTATTGGACCTGATGAACAACAAGGGTGTTCAGGGATACATACAGTTATTATTAGACCATCCCTCTTTGATCCATGTGAACGTGGCTGGCACGGGAGTCGATGGGTTCGTGGTGACTAATACTAGTAGCAGCAGCAGCAGCGTCCTTCAAGTACTGGATTTGAGCAGAACCAACATCTCAGGCACGCTTCCTACAGGACTTGCCAGTCTCTCCAATCTCCAGGAATTGTCGCTGGATTATACACCTATATCAGGAACGTTGCCGTCATGGATCTCCAGTCTCTCCAATCTACAAGTATTGTCCATGGATCACGCCAACCTGCAGGGTTCTTTGCCAGAGGAGCTCTTCAACCTGACACATCTAAAGATACTGCAGCTTCCCATGGCTGGTTTTTCTGGTAGTATCCCTCCATACGTCATTGCCAAGCTTACCGACCTGGAGCGCCTCGACTTGAATGGTAACAACTTTACAGGGACCATTCCAGAAGCCATCCGGGCATGCAGTCTTCTCATCGATCTGGTACTGTCTAACAATGAACTTACCGGGTCCATCCCGGAGGCATTGGACCATCTAACCCATCTTGGTAAGTACGAGAGTAGTATGCATGCTTTGTGGTTTGTCAATTCTTCCAAAATGTCTTTTTTCCACACGTATGTATCGCTCCTATCATCATTCATTTCAAAACCTAATTTTGTTCGAAACTTTCCCCACCGTGTCCATCCCATTTTCAGAAACGCTGGTTCTCGAGGGCAACCATCTGACTGGTACCATATCTTCCACGTTGTGCCATGGTCTCGGTTATAGACAATACCAGCTTGAAACTATTGCTGTGGACTGTGTGGTCGAGTGCGCTTGCTGTGTTTCTTGTCGAAGTGACTGAGAATTCACCGGAAGCAACCAGCCAAGTATTGTCAGGTGGCTGGAGGAGACCATGTATGTCCTGCATGCGTCTATTGGTAGAATATGCATTATACTTTGTTGACCAACGAGGTAATGGACTTTGTCTAAAGTAGTTTATAAAGTATTGAATGTTGTGTCATTATTTTGTACATAGTTTTGGCAAGAGAAGCAACGCCCGTGTCTTCAGGCGAAAACTTGAGAGAGCAAAGCCGTGAATAGAATAGATTCTTCTGTAGGTGGTATGGTGAGGAACGGAAAGTAGTACACAATGATATGGTCAAGGGGAGTTTGCTTCGCATGACGTCGTCGCTTCATTGCTCCTCGCAGGAGGAGTTTGCGGCCGGCAGGCAGTTAAGCTGTAAGCTTTATGAAAGGCAAGTTGCCTGCCTGCATTACTTTGGCAGCCAGGTCAGATAGATCAGCGTGGGAACGGATTCGGCTCCAAGGGGTCCGCGTCTTGATCTGATGCATCGTCGGGAATGGCCGCCTCGAGAATCCCGAAAAAGTTTTGCAGTCGAAGCGCTTCATGAATTTGGCCATCCTGGTGCATGATGGCGGTACGCCCCGCCGCTGCTGCTGGTGAGTGAGTTCTGCTGGCCGCGGCATGCGAGTGTTGGCTGGTGCCACTGATACTTGCCACGGAAGAAGAGGGATGGTCGTTGGGCGGAAAGACGGGATTGGGCTCGAGATCGTGCGAGGACAAGGCGGCAGCTACGGATGCGGCCGAAAAGGCAGAGGGTGGACTGAACCTCGCTCCTGCTGGGGCTGCCGCCACAGTACTATTATTGACATTGCTGTGGTGGGGCATGGTGTTGTTGGAGGTGGCCTGTTGATCGATTCTTCTTCGTTTGGCCGCTGGGCTCCCGTCTTGTTGTTCTGATGATTTATGGAGCGCGGCCGTTTGTTTGGCCACGTATTGTTGTAGAAAGTTTTGGTTGAGCAGGTTGGTGGCACTGTTCCTCTCTCCTGACGACAACGAAGTATCCGTACCTGCCTTGCCCCACGAGACTGCTACATCCTGCATGATTTCGAGAATCTTTTTCCGGGCTTGATGGTCCGGGACACGGATCCATCTACCTGATCTGTGGTCGACCCGTACAAAGCCGCCCGTGAGAGTATTGGTCGTCTTGACGGTGGATAGAATCCGGTTGACCATGGTTGCCTTTTCTTCGCGGGTAAATGACAAGGACGATTTCTTTTTCTTTTTACTGGTACTGGCTCGTTTCTTGGTACTATTCTTAGCTTGTTCCCAGAACTGCTGAAGCTCCACCTCAATGAGACGACGGCACCATTCATTGCCACTGTGTTGCTTGGCAGCTTTGCCACAAATAATGTCTCGATTGCCCGGGACAAAGCCAGGAGGAATAATAACGCCAAAGCTGCTGGTAAAGAGATTGGCATCGATCTGGTTGCCGTCGCTGCCTTGGTTATTATTGGAGTTGTTATTGCTGTTGCTGTTGCTGTTGTTGTTGCTAGTGAAGCTCATGGGAAGTTGCAAGTACATGGAAAAGGAAGTATGAGATTGTGGAACAAGAAGCAAGCTTAGTTGCTAGCACTACCTGGTACAGTATTGGGTAGCTAAGCTATTCTGACTTCTGATCAGTTCGTGGCTTCCTTGCAGTTTGACTTTTTGGAATGCAACCAAGAAATTATGTGACAGTCTCTGGAGTTTCTCAACTAACTTTGCTGATTGAATCGCTTGTCTCACTCCCCAAGTACATGTAAGTAAAAGAGTAAAAGCAGCAATGAGACATGCGATGCGAGCTGACTCAAACGTCCAATGCTTCTTTTAAGGAGGTATTAATAGAAAGGTACTCGTAGCTGAAAGGTGAACTTATGGTGACTGGAGTGGCTTTGCTTGGAAGGAGTATGATGATGTGGACTCTGGATCGCAGCTTCCAGTCCCCTCTGCTATGCTCCGTGCTCTTGCTCCTGGCCCGTTGAAACTAGTTTATGGTTTGGCCTCAACCAATTCTTGTGCATACCATTGCCTTCCTGCTTGTGGATCGCACCCACACAGAATGACAGTCCCACGGGCAAAATGTGAGGAGCCTTGAGCTGGAGCCTTCAATTGCCACATTCTCTTTCACCACCTTTGGAAGGTACCGGCAAGGCAAAGCTGTTCCAAGGGGTGTTGAAACACTAATCATGTAGAAAGTTTCTACTCGGAATGTTGGACAGTGGCGAGTGGGTCGCCACTTCAGGCATCTTTTTATATCACGAAATGATTACGGAATGCTAAAACAATTATTAGTTCCTTTCCCCTACACTCAGCAGAATGTCGTCCTTATTGAAAAGAAGCAAAAATCGTGCTGACGGATGCAAGAACAAGAATAGAAGGGAAGTGCCTCTGTAGAGGCACATGGTCGCTGCCAGTCGCTGCAGTCACTGTCAACAAAAACGTCAGCAAAAGATACGCGGTTCGCTTCTTTGTGCCCGACAAGGCTTCTTTTAGACAGTATGAACATCCCCCAAAACAGCTGTCAAAGACTTCTCTTTTAGATACCGGTACCAATAAGTACCAAGAGCTGTTGTTGGTAGCCAAAGGGCACGATACGGACTCTTGGTACTGTACAACCACTGTCGCACCTCCGTAGACTCTCCTAAGCCTGGTATATGTGGCTTGGTACTCTTTTCGTCACAGTAAAATAGGCAAAAATTTCGCCTCACATTTTGGATTCAAACCCAAACTCGAGGTTTTGGTTTGTACCTTTTTATTTATTTATTTACTCACCACCAGATAATGAGGCAAACAACAACAACAACAACAACAACAACAAAAGCCTGCTGCTGTCGAGGTCGAGATAACAAGGTCCTGATTGAAGGTAGAGGACCGACGCAGAGGCAACCTCCATCAATACCCATAGGACACCCTCTCCGAGCCGGTCCTGTAAATTCAGCCGACAACCATGCCTACCAATGAAGCGATAGAGAGAGCTTTTGTTGTTGTGGCGACAAATGAGTGTGTTAAAGGAGAGTGGATTCCAATGAGCTATTGGGTCCACAAGATAACCAGGGCATTCAACAATGAAGAAACACTTACCGTGAAAGCTCTCAAAGGTGCTCTGCTCGAAAGGCATGCAATTCGTAGAGAGTTTTTGAGTCAGGAAGACCAGCTTCGATATGGAAGCATCACTTACATTAACTTTGATGAGAGGAAGATACGGGTTGAAGGCAAAAGGAAGAAGATTGCCTTCCTCTGTGTTTCATTTGAGGGTATCGAAACTGAAGATCTCACACGATGGAATCAAACCGAAGTGCACGCCTTGTTGACTGGCAGATGGGAAACCTACTGTAGGAGGAAGAGCTTCCTCGCCAACACTCTTGTGGTCGATACAAAGCAGCCCACTCGAGCAGCACCGGCAACTGTAACACCAACCAACGAAGATCCCCCAAGGACGGCAAAGAATGATATAAAGCACGAGAGTAATAGAGACATTTGGGACTTGCTAGAAACAATTCTTGATCCGGAGCAACTTGATAATCCAAAGCTACTTAAATTCGACATCGACTTAGGTAAATTTAGATCTGAGATACAACAAATGGGTAGAGGTCTGCAGAAGGAGGCAAACGAAGCAAGAAATAAGCTGTTTGCCGGCAATGATGATGACTTGACCAACAGAATCGACCTGGGAAAATACTCACCTTTCCTTGATAAACATTGCTGTCCACTGCGCCGGTCCTCGATCCAGAGCTTTTTGCATATCGCACTTCAAATCAATGAAGAATTACCGTCAGCCAGCATCCTTCAGCTGGAGAAGTACGGTGGAAGCAGGGGACTTGGTCTGCATCTGGTTCCCGTCATTCCAGCCGATTCGCCACAGTCTTTCATTAAGAATGCGAGGAAGTACTTGCCGGCGGTGTATGGGGCCATGGTCTACGGAGATAGTTTCCCAAGGAGAGCCCTCTGCTTCCATCTGACCAGATTGCATCAAGAGCACGAGCCAGAAGCATTTGAAGATATCATTCAAACCTCAAATATTCGAGTGCCAAAGATGGACCCACACCGGCAAATCGCTATGTGTCAGCAGCTCAATTTAACCTATGCAAAAATGAGAGAAATGAGAACTTTCTTTTTGGCAGAAGGATGCAATCCTCTCAACCCGGAGTGGCAAATAAGGAAACTGGAAGCAAAGGTCACCGTTCAACCTACCTTGCTTCGGTTTCGCGAAGAGAAGACCAATCGAACTGGCTGGGTTCGATCGGCTGAGGATGTTGTCAGGAATGAAATCAAATCGGAGGCTTCACGTTGTTCTTTCTGCGGATCATGGCCAAGGAGCGTTTCGTGTTCACATTTCAATCCTTTTCATTTCAGGCAAGAGAGTCCGCAAAGAGTCCCATGAACTGATTGGAATGATCAACTGCAGGAAAGACACACGGGAAGTGCTTCTATCCAGCGGAATTTCACAGGCCGTCAACGAATCCTTGAAGAGCCTCATGGAAAATCCTGGCGGCCTTCCAATCGAGCTGTTTGTTACTGGAGACTTGGCCTTTTATGCTCTTGCTCTTGGCAAGGAAAATATGTCTGGCCAACACTGCTGGGAGTGTCAGTTGATGCGAAGTCAATTCCAAGTCGATCCTACAAAGAAAGGCAGAGCATGGACACTGAGGCTGATGAGGAAAAGATACAACAAACTGGAGAAGAAAGAGCTGAAGCGCACAAACCCGTTCCAGCAGAAGGGCATCAAGACCTTACCTCTCTTTGACTGCATCGAGCCAACAAACTACCTGCCGCCACCGCTCCACTCTGTCGTTCTATTGGTCAATACTCCATATGACTACCTGCAGAAGATTGTCTGGTATCGGCTTGAGAATGTGCCGGTGAATTTGATGGAAGCCAGATTTGCCAGAGCGGATGCTGAACTCGAGGTTGGTCGGCTGTGGAAGGACTTGGTTGACGCAGAGGAACACTGGAATGAAATGTACAACGTGATGACGGAGCTTGTGGGAAATCCAGACACCCAATTCGAAGATACAGACCATGAGCAAGACTACGTCCGACATGAGGAGCATCTCAACCTAGCAAAAGCGTGGTTTGAAGAAGCACACAAGGCGCATTCGAAAGCTTCCGATCAGCTGAAGGCAAAAAAGAAAGCGTTGAAAAAGTTAGAGGACAATAAGAAGGAATACGGCAGGACAGCACAAGACCTGTGGATGGTCATCCAACGGAAGCTTGACAAGCACTACAATGTGCATATATCCTCTTACCATGGAGGAGCAATGGAAGGAAATGAGTGTAGGAGGTTGCTCCGAGAAGCGGTACCAATAATGGATGACATTCACCAAATTTTGCTGGAGCATCTAAACAGTTTGTCGGAGGAAGAGAGGAAGCTGTTCAAAGCTGACCCTGCCGAAGTGGAGCTCTTTTGCGAAGGATTCAAAAGGCTCTTCCAGTACATGGACGTGATAGCCCATTATTGTTACCAACCGTACGGAAGCATGAGTGATGAGGACGTTATCGACGCTCACAAGGCAATCGATTTGGCAACCGCCTGTGGCTTCGATTGATGCCGACGATTCCAATCAAAGTTCACGCATGGCAACATCTCAAGGACGCATTGGAGAGACTCAGAGGAATGAAGAGTCACATGGAAGAAGTCATGGAGAGGTGCCACCAACAAGGCAAGCGCGACAACACAAGGCTGAGGTGCTATCGCGATGATTTCAAAAAGGCTCTCAATATCCTCCGACACGCTGCCACAGGCAAGAAGAAGGAAGTCCAGCAGAAGCTAGAGGAGACGCTGGAAGCGAATAAACAGAGAGGCCACAAGAGGAAGAAGTCGGAGCTTGACCAGGAGATTGCCAAAGAGCGTCGGTCAGTGTATCTCAAATCAATCACATCGTTGCCTCCTTTGGAGAAGGAATACCCAAGGCTGCCAGAGTTACTGAAGCTTTATCGTAGTGGGCAACCGCAACAACAAGGACAAGATGAAGAGGAGGATGTGCCTGAAGAGGAAGAAGAAGCAACCGTCACGGATTGAATATGCCATCGTCATGGTGGAGGAGTTACGGTGGCTGGAGGAGTTACGGTGGCTGGAGCGAGGAGTTTATTGGATCGATCGATCTATCTCCACGGAGGACAAGAGGAGGATGTGCCTGAGGAAGAAGATTGAATGCCATCGTCGAGGAGTGAGGAGTTTATCTTATGCAGATATCAATAACACGGCGAGAGGAGGTGCGAGCCACAAAACGGAGGAATAAATAAATAAATAGGAATAAATAAATAAATAGGATTTTTACTGACGTACGTGTTAACTTCAACCCTAAACCGATTCGAACGGTAATCCTGGATTTAAGTGGCAAATTCCTGTAGTTTCTACGTGAGCTGAGGTGCGTAGCCTCTTGTGCGACAGTGAACGTACTCCTGGTTTTTAGTTGTCAAACTTCGAGCAATAGATGATTTAAGATCTGTAGCTGAATTGCACAAGTGCTTTATCCAGATGATTCCAGATAGATGATGATCTCCAGATCCAGATGCCAAGATTCATAGCTAGATTCGATCAGCTATTCGATCCATGCACTTGTACCGGTACTGGGAGCCCTTCTAGCACGCTCCAATAGTCTCCCGTTGACTCGCCAGAACGGCAACTTTCCTTGGCTATTAAATCCCATTTCAGATGGGGGACAAAACTAGTAATGGTGCCAGGCAGCTTCCGTTTCAGCTCGTTTTTGCCCATGCTCTGTGCCTGCCCACTGGAGCATTATTACAGACATCGTGGCAGCAACACGGAAGTGCTTTCATCTTTTATTGCTGTTACATGTGGACTACAATCCCCTAATGGATCATGGAGCTAACTAGCTAACTACTAGCTAGAGTAACAGCTTTGAGCCTTTCTCCTTTCGCTACTCAGAGTAACAGTCATTCAGTAATAATTTGATTACTGGAGTAGTTCACTAGAGGGTGAATCGAATGTTTCAGTCTCCCCGTGGCTGGTTTTTACTGGTAAGTATGAATTACATGTAGTTATAGATGTATGTGTTTGGCTAGCTAGAGCTCACCGGTAATAGTATACATCAGTCCAATTGATCGACCATCGAGCAAAATCCGGAAAGGCCAGTTGACGTTTATTTCTTTAGTGCTGCCTTTTCAATAGGTTTCGGTAGGTTTTGCTGACGAGGGAGGGAGGAGGGTTCACAGCTAGCTACGGAACTTACTCGAGTAGCTACTAGCTAGCCAGAGCTGGGCAGCAGCTTCAGTGGTAGAAGAGGTGAAGGATGAATATCATCATGATGCATGAATGCTCCCGAAAGGCGAACGAAAAAAGAAGCCGCCAGACCTGTCCCACGTGCATAGATTCCACACAGACATGAATCAGAGCATCACAGCAGCCACAAGTAACAAGTAGTGGGTTTTACATCGTCAGTTGGCTCGCGCTATGCAACAAGGAGAACGGTATGGTAGTACCTGGTACTTCTAGACAACAGCTCAGGCGACAAGAAAGCCATTGGAAGCAAGTTGGGAGGTGTGAAAACAATCAATCTCTCAGGCTGCATGGGAGGACTGAAACAGGCCTAGCTAGGACAACCAGAAGCAAGAGTTGCTGAAAGTTCAATTCAGAGTTCAGGGCAGAGCGGCCGGTGAGATCAAAACATCAGCACTGGCGCAGGAAAAAGAACCTGCCAGGCCTGTCTGCCACACGTCGCACGTGCACACCAGGAGCTCGCATGTACCGTATCAAAGCTGCAAACAACATCCGAAGCAACTGAGTGTATGATGCATACCGCAAGATAAGGGGAACCCAGAATTTCAAGAGGAGGCCAGGAGGAGGATCTTTTCTTGGCTTCCTTCCGCAGGATGTCAATGATCAAGTCGGATGTGCAGAATGCATGTTTCACAAATTTCTCCAGTCAATTCATCGGAAAAGGGGGAGCAAGAAGCTCACGAACCCCTCACGACTTGCGGCGCTTTGCTCATGCGATCCATTCACAGGACGTTAGCTAGCCAGCGGAAGTGGCACTCTTTTCTTTCTCACGCAGCTGGACAGCTGTGGCGACCACATGCGTCGAGTCGAGTCGAGTCCCGATCTTTTTGTGTCTCTAATGTTAACCCTACCGTTAATGTCCATCTGCTGGGACTGCTACTGCAGTCTTGATTTTTCGAGCACCTTCGTGGGACGAGCTCTAGATTCTTCGTTGCAACGGCAAAGTGGCTGTTGAATCGACAAAGAAATTTCTGGTGCGTTGTCTCCGTCGCCATCGGTGCACCCGAAATAGTCCTGCCACTCATTCATTCAGCACAAATCCCGGGAGCACCACTGCCATAATATGAAAGATTGGCATTGGCATTGGCATTCAGCTACACCGACGACGCAACAATGAAGACCACGACCATGTTCGACACGAGCACAATGCGCGACGTGTTTTCGAGTGCGCAGCATAATATGAAAGGATTGACAGCGAACATGTCACAAGGAATGGACGGCCTCGGAGCTCTAGGCATGACAGCTTTGGAACGAGTGCAGTCGGCCGGTGGAAGCTGCGGATTTAGCCGTAGCCATCCCAACAGTTACTGAACAAAAGCGAATTTCTGATCATGCAGCGAATGGTCCCTCTTCGACTTCCGTAACTACAGACGGGGCTCCAATATCCTCACGCAGTATTCGCACTGAGGAAGCTAGTGCAGCGAAAACCGACGATACCAAGAAGGATCTCCAGGTCAGTTGCACCAACGCGGACTTTCAATTCAAAGCGGGATCAAACCGTCCCCAACCTGCTCGTATCTGCAAAAAAGTTTCAGTTGGACTCAACAATGAGGGGGAAACAGAAGCTTGGATAGGCGACTCTGCTGCTCACGTAGAATGTCTACTACTGAAATCGCCGACCGGCGTCAACTCGCATCCTTTTTGTCAAGGCCAGGACCGGCTATGTCTCAAGCTACTGCGGGGTCACGGCCTGATCCAGGACGAAGACGACGACGAGAAAAGCCCCAAGTCACCGTCCACCGTTACGAACCTACAAATTGACTGCATGGATCATAGTACGCAGCAATGGAAGGTTCTTGCTCGTTTCGCGGTTCAAGCAGCGGATCCCATTTGGGGAGGACCGCTGTATACCTTTGATCTGTTAGCACACCCCCAGGACACGATACTGATCAGCCTACTGGATGCCAAAGAAGATGAGCTAGCCACTGTCCAAGTATCCGTAGAGCGCCTCTTGAACGCGCAGGGTACGACTCGTGTAAACCGGTGGCTCAACTTTGAAGGACTTGGCGCAAAGGATGATGCTCGGATACAGCTCCGATTGGCAGAGGTACATGACGCCACTCTGCGTCCACAAGAGGCGTGTCCTATTCTTGGTCCCGGTCCTTCATTGCCCTCCATGATGACGAGCTATGTCATTCGCAAGGAAATCCTATATGCGAGTGCCCCCGTTCTTCTCAACGTGTACGACGTGTCGCTCTCCGAGAATGTCGCCAAACTCAATGACTACCTCAAGCCCCTTGGCGCCGGTGGAATCTTTCATGGGGCTATTGAAATTCATGGAAAAGAGTACTCCTTTGGTGGGACACGAGACAGATGGTTTCGGGGGACCGGTGTCTTTTCGTGTGGGCCCAAACAATGTCCCATTCATCATTACAAGGAATCCGTTTATCTCGGCGATTGCGATTTGACTCCAGAACAAGTGCAAATGATCATTCTGCAGCTCGAACCAAAATGGCTCGCCAAGGACTACAATCTGTTTCGCAAGAATTGCTGTTTCTTCTCCCAAGAGCTAGCCATTGAACTGGGAGTGGGAGACTTACCCAAGTGGGTCTACTCCTTGGCAGAGAATACTCAAGGCATGGAGCCTCATTTGATCAAACTGAACAAGTTCATTATTGACTTTCAAAAACGACGAAATCAACAGCAGCAGGACACCAAAAAGGCGGGTGCCAATAGCAGACTCGGTGCTACTGACATACCCAAAAAGACACGCTCGAAGTCAAAAGCTCCAGAAGAAATGGCCACGGAAGTTATGCTGGATCATGCTATGGCAGCAAGGATTCAACGCAGTTACAGAAAATCTCATATACGGCCACAGAAATCGAGTTTGGCCCATTCTGGGCAGAAATCGAGTGTAGTAGCCAATTCTGGGCAGAAATCTGTTCGTCCTCGACAGAAATCGAGTTTGGTTCGCTCTATGAGGAAGGTTTTGTCTCGTTGAATCGTAAATGTGCTGATCACAAGTACAGGCGGATACTCATCCCCTCACTCTAGAAGAGTTGGTACAGCGTAGGCGATTAAAATCCTACTATTGGACAACTTGGTGGCATTGCAAGTTCATTCTTAGGAGAGTTTTTCTAGCATTCAGAGATTGACCATGGGAGCTATTCAGCCCACTGCCTCTCGGTACATGCAGCTGTACATGCTCCTTCTTGCTCAGACAGCACACTTCGCCAGCTCTGTGCAACACGTACCACTACTTCGCAGAGACTTTGTGATATGGGATAGGTTGGTCACAAGAAATGGCCCCTGCCTTTACAGCATCTTTTTGAACGAACTCGCTAGCCCTCTTGCTAATAAATGCTTGTTCATACCAAGAGACGTTTGGCTGGTTTTGGAATCGTCTGCCACAAAGGGACCTATATCATCAGTCTCTTTAAGACCATAGCGCAGCGGTACGTTTAGACCGGCCACTTCACAGCCAGGTATTTGTGGGGTGACATCAGCACGGGAAAGCAACAGAGTCAACTCAGAGATAGTAAACGAAAGCTGCATGTGTCTCGCTTCAATCACGTGAAGACTCGGGAGACGTTTTGACTGCCAAATTTCGCTTTCATCAGAAGCAGCTGCTTGAAACCATTTTTCGTGAGTTTGAAATAACTGAATAATGGCACGAAGTGAGAGCCGCGAACGAGTGACAGTCGACTCTCGGACCAGCCCCATGCTACATGTACCGGTACCAACAGCACGGAAATCTTAGAAGAGTGCACTTACTCATTCGTACAAAACTGGTCAAGGGGCTGAGAGCCATCATACTCAACAATTGGATAGTCTGGGTATTGAAGTGCTTCTTTCCCAATTATGCAGAACTGGTTTCGGTGTGCCATCAGGCAGATCCTCCGTAGAGTTTCTTTGTCCTTACCAACACCCACAAGCCCGGATCTCTCACGAAAGGACAACTCAACCTCGCCTTGATCTACAAACTCGCTGATGGGTTCTTCTATTGACAAGAGGTAGTGAAACAGAAGAATCTCGTCGTTATCAACGGCTGTGCCACTAGCATTGTCACAGCGAGAGGAAGCAGACGTTCGCTGTGGAGGTTCTGGGCATTGATCACGGCATTGACGCTGCCATTGGTGCTCTCGGGATTTCCGCGAGCGCTTCGTTGTGTTTGGGGAGTGGCTGCTTCTACTACTATTGTCCGAGTTTTCAATCTTTCTCTTCGACCTGCTTCCATGACGAGGTCCTGTCAGGTCGACAAAGTTGTGGAATGAAATGTTGATACGAGACCTGTTTTGCTCAGTGATAGGCATCCTGATACTTCCGTTGAACTGGTTTGCAGTTGTTCCCGCATCACTCAGGCTCAGTTTGCTTCTGGAAACTAAGTTGCTTGGGTCGATCGACTTAGCGGTGGCTTTCGCAATCTTGTTGGATAGACGTTTGAACGTATGGTAAACGTGGAAAAGACGAACCATGGTGTCTTCTCTGCCATCGGGTCTATACTACAGAGTGGGCGGAGGAGAGGGTGGGAAGGGGGCCGCGAACGCGATTGTAAGGCAAACTCGACTGCATGCAATGCTGGATGATGTGAAGCAACAATAGCACGAACCATTGTCCACATCACCCCTCCTTTGGTTCCGCAATATTCTTCTCTCCCCTCAGGGTAGCAGTACCTCTGCTGGAATTGGGATGCCGTCTTTGGATATTGAGGTCCACTCAGTCTCCAGTCACTCGGCTTTGTTGCTTCTGGCGAGGCCACGAGGTGTCTCAAATGCGAGGGGATCTCGGAGAAGTCGAGAGGACGGCGCGTCTTGTACAGAACATAGAGGCCATCTGTGAAAGCAAGAAACGAGATGCAAACTTTTTTAAGTCTAAGCGACGGTCTGGCGTTGACGTGCATGGTCATGCCAAATAGCCTTTACCTTCAAATTCAAAGGACGGAGGAGTCAACTTGAATGATGTTGGCCCCACGGGTACGATCTTTAATTGCAGCTCAGGAATTGGAGGCTTGTTGTGGTAGATGCACTCAAATACCGAGCTGATGATAGAGAAGGGGAGCCTCGCCGTGGCCATTGTCAACTTTTCGGCACTTGGGTAGAGAAGAGTGGATTGATGAAACTTCCAGGCAAACTCAGGTTATGGCCCACCCCATGCTGTTTTATGGCCAAATTCGCTCGATAACTCAACCCATTCAGACCACCGGTACGCTGAGTGGTGTTCGTGAAACTCGCCCGATTCCCGTCTGTCTCATTTAGCTATCGTGGGCATTCTTACGTGATAGAGTAGTTGCATCCATGCGAAACCCGACGTCACCGGAGTCGCAATGACTTCTTTGCGAGGTGTCAAGCTCAACGGGCCATACACAATGGGATTACTTGGGATTGAGGGATGTCTGTCTCAAGGCGTGAACGGAAGGCAGGAAAAACGTTCGGCGTTTTATAACTTCGAACCAAGCGATGAGTTGTCATTTGGAAAAGGAACGTCGCTACTGGTTAGCATATGGGTTGGTTGGTGCTTCTGCGAAACAACGATTTCTGCGCTTTACGTACCGGTACTCCATGGTGCCACGTGCAATGCAAGGCAATGCCTCCGGATTTTCGCCCGTACTACCTGTAGCTTCGGGGCAGGTACCGTACATGTGACACCTCCATAATTGGCAATCCTTGGTGGATCAATCAATGAGTATCTTAGAAAGTGACATGATCCTGATCCGAGTATCCAAGCTCTGCGAGACCTGGAATGCAGGCAAATTTGATCATTGGAGGGGGTCCGCACATGAAGAATTGTTGTTGACTGCCAGGAATGATAAGATGTTTTTCAATCATGTCCTTATTGATAAATCCCTCCGAGTACTTCCACCCGTCCGGTGCCTTGTCCAGAGTGTAATGCAATGAAAATCGATCGGGGAATTCCTTTTGCAAAGCCTCCAGTTCACGTTGTACCAAAATGTCTTTTTCGGCTGCCATAGAAAGAAATCGTACGTATTCGTGTGGAATGTCATTGGTTGGCAAGAAATCACAAACAGAAGAGAGAGAAATGTCTGTCAGAGGAAGCAACCCCGGAACATGATGCGCAAAGTTCAACAGTAAGGCGGGAATGCATGGCCATATATATTGAAACTTACTCTGGTTGGCATAAATCAGTTTTACCCTGGTCATGTCATTTGGGTTTCTGAAAATAGCATGCAAAATCTGTAGCATGGGTGTGATTCCAGTTCCTCCTGCCATCATTCCAATGGCATTGCAGGATCGCTCTTGCATCTTTTTCCCCAATGGCTTGACTTTGAATTTTCCATTGCCAAAGTATTCCATATGTCCCTTGGGCCCCTTCATCAGTATTTTGTCTCCAATGGACAGAGATTCCAAATGTTGACTCATTTGTCCACCATCGGGAAATTTAGGGTGGACACCTGCCTTGTATACCTTGATGACAAAGGATACCTTTCCAATGGAGTCGTTGTCGGTAACCGGAGTGTAGGATCGTTGAACTGACTGACCATCTTTGTTTGTGAATTTGAGTGTCATGTGCTGTCCCGTGGGAAGACCCAAGACGTATCCTTCTGGCAGGGCAAACGTGAATTTGCGCGTGTCGTGGGACAATTCTTGCTTTTCAATCAACGGGTATTTTTCAAAATCCTTGGCAATTTCCAGCACTTTGGGAGGTCCCTTGATGAGTGGGTTCACAGCCAAGATTACAAACATGGAGCCCAGAAAAATAGCCAAGGCCAGTGCCAGAGTTGGCAGCCATTCCCCAGCAGAAGAATCCACAGGCTCCATGATGAATAAAAAACCTTTTGGTTTCAGCTAAGAATAGTTCGATTGTCTCAACAAACCAAATCAAACAAGTACTATCCTATCAGCAACCCGGCAATGCGGCCACAGCTTGCGGCTTTCTTACAAGTTGGTAGTGGTACTAGCTAGTATGTGCTCTGTGCGATGCTGCAAGTTCGGCAATGGAGTTGTGTCCCCCAAAGCTCGTCGCACACGGTGACGCATGTCCACGGTGTGAAGCAACCCGGATCTGACTCACTCACTCAAACACACTTTGGGTCACGGATTGATTCGTCATACTTGTTTGTTTGCGTGGTCTAGCAAGCGCCGTGGAACTTTGGAAGGCGACAGGATGCTGCCACCCAAGACCGCAGCCAACAGAGACGGATGGAGGTTTAGTGTAGGGAAGTTATCTATGGAAGCCGGTGAGGGGCCAGGCTTAGGCAAAGAAGACGCGGAATTCGGGAGATAGAGACTGCTCCAAATGTCCTTCTAAACCTGATTGAATCATTCTGTCTTTTGACAAACCCGTGTTGGGCATCGCTTTGTCTAGAGTTACGGTAGGAGGCTCTTGTTAGCCAGTTTCGTTGCGCATTTGCCCACTGTTCCACTTTTTTACCAGCTAGCATTAGAACTAGATTCGATTCAGCTAGGAATTCTGACGATCAAGCAGATATCTACAGGTTTAACGTTGAACTTCCAGCGCGTGGAATAATAGCCACATAGCAGCCAACATGCAACTAATCAGCCCACCAGTCCCTGCCTTCCTTATCAATAGGAGGGCTGTCACTGCAGGGCACTTTGCTCGGCTTGTCCCGGTAATGGCAAGAGAACAGTGCTTCAGCAGAGCAACAAGTATCAACAGCTGTGCCTCCTGAAAGTGCTATTTCATCCAGTCTCTTGCTCACGCATTCCTCCTTCACATACCACTCTCCTATTTGCTTAAAAAACAGTAGTTTGTTGTCTTTGTTCAGGGTCCAGCCTTTGTCATTGAATCCACACATAAAGGCAAAAATGTGAGCGATTCTCGTTCATGCAAGCACAATCCAGGTTCTATCTTGTGGTGGTCACAACATACTCATATGAAAGATAATGGGATCCTTCTCCCCTGCAAAAAACTGTCGCATGTAGTTGTTCTTTCGACCTTGGTGAAAATGGATCCCACCCGGGAACTCATCATCGTCTTTGATCAATACCTTTGCTCTGAAGCCATGTAGAGACATTTGTTCTGATATTACTGCAATCATGGCTTGTTGATGAGAGAAACTTCTAGCAATCAGGTCTCCAGCAAGTACTAGCTGTGTCATGAAGTTTGTTGTTCTGTAGTTGTAACGGAGATAGTAGAACCTGTTTTATCAAGTGGCATGGCATGTGAGGATGGCAAGGGCACAGGAAACGAGAGTGACAGTGTGCAAGCAATACGCACCCTGAGTTGGCACTGTAAGGTGCATACCGCAGAGACCGGGCTCCGTCATCTTGAAAGTAGGCATCGTTGTTGTAGATTGTAGAGTTCTTATTGTGGAAGAACCTTTATAGAGAAAGCCAGAGGGACGAGCAATGAATAGACGTTAGAGTCTCATACCAAACCAAGGCAAGGCTCATCCTTTCCTTTGTCACTCACGGCAGTGGATCTTTGAACCAAATCTACAACAGCAACAAGTTGGCAACCAGACATAATTAGGTTCAAATGTCAGCAACAGCAACAACCAAAACACTCATTGAGGTCAAACAAGAGAGCGAGAGCTCTACTGACCACATCTACATCTTGGAAGAGAACATCAACACCAGTCAATATTGTCAAGTGAACACACAAGACCTGCAGCCAGAGAAGAAAGCATGTGAGTTGTTTGATGATCTTTTTGGATCTGTCTGCTTGAGAAAACGATGTCATTTCTCACCTTTGCTACCATGAGCTTGACAAACTTAAAGTCGCCATACTCTTTGGCAGCTTCCGCCGGCATATGCCCAAAGTTCTTGAACCACAAAGAGAGAAACATTTTGTCAATAGAAGATCAAACTCTGGACTGACTGAGTGAATTGATGCCACCTGTAAATGAATGAACGCACCTCTTCGTTGTAGTATGCTGTCAAGCCCATGCTCTCTGCCAGATCCTTGGTCTCTTTATCTGTGGCGAATACCAGCACATGTTGAATATCCAGACCCCTTTTTCGTGATGAGCACACAAAGTTCATGAGAAGTTCCGATTGACCATGGTTGCAAACCATAACCACTGCATGTATGTAATGCGAGCAATGCAAAGAATGAGAAACCCAAAGTAGATGATGGCAGACAATCACACAGTCAGTGTATTGTTGAAAATGTAAACACAATCCTTGTCAGACAGTTTTGGTTTTGCTCACCAACCGTATTCTTGTACTTGATGCGACTGACGATTTTGTTGAGTTCCGCCACAATCCCCTCGTATGTCTCTAAATACACTTTGAGCTGTTTCCACGATTGCCTGGTTTCCCGGTTCCACTTGGGGACTCCAAATTCATCTTGTCCGTCCCATTGCAATGTCCGGGGCACCAACCGGAGCGGATACGCACGGTCTCCTTTTCCTTTCTTCTCGGGCATTCGCATCCATGTCTGCAAATGATAGGATTCGTAGTTGGGCACCAATGCCAAACAGATATTCTTGGCACCCCCCCGATAGCGAAACGCCACGTGCATGATATCGCAGTTTTCGGTCAATTCCTCGGCCGTGACCAAGTCTATACTGCTGGACGATTGTTGCATTTTCGTGGGCATGGCGGATTTGCGACTGTAGACCATGAGGACATCTCGATCAAATTTGGTATCGGACGGATCCACGGGGACTCCCAGGTCGAATTTTTGGGCAAAGTCGGCTTTCGTGGCGGTGGCCATACCGGCGGCAATAGCATCCACTGATTTGGGCAGTCCATTGTCTTTGAATTCTGTTTCGTTTGAAGCAGGCATGAACGAAATGAGATGTCAAAATAGGTAGAATGAAATAAAAATGGCAAGATCAATGTGGTCTTACCTTGCTGTACAATTTGCTGTACAACTTTTGCCTCTTTGGCCTGACATGGAGGACAGAAGGGCTTGGGACAATTATTATGGTTAGGCTGGTTATTGTCTGCCTTCATTTTCCGTGCCATGGAAGCATTGACAAAGTTGGTCGTCCACGATGGACATTCTGGACACTGTTGTGGCTGTATGATCATTGGTGTTGTTGGAAGTGTCTGCATATTATGGTTGGATGCAAAAATGGATCCCGATAGAAACGTGATGGAGTGTGAAATCAGGAGAATCAGAATGTTGGAGGTAGACAGCAACACGGTCGATGACTGCTGCCGATGTTTGGTGGAAGTGGAAGATTGATGAATGGATGACGCATTGTTGCCACTGGACGACGGGCTTTTCAGGCCTCGTGCCATTGGCATGGTGCTACTATATATATACTAGTTAGTAGATCAATTGATCAGAGAGGTAAGCTAGCAACCATGCAATCTATTGGTGCCATGGACTCCTAGCTAGTTCAGTTCTTGCCGTTTGTGTTTGTGTTCTGTGGAAATGGCCGTTGCTTCAGAAATTTTGGCGTCAGTGATCAGGTTTCGCTGGCTTATTGAAACTTCAATCCTCCACTTCCAGTTTATTAGTTACACCGGAGGTGGCTTTGTAGGGATGTCTTCTACTTGCTACATTACAGTACCGGTAGCAAGAGTCTTCTAGCCAGCTATTATGAGTATTGGCATTTGACAGGGTGTTTTTGTCTGTTAGCCTAATGTATTTGGTAAAAAACGACGGTCTACGAATGGATCGTAGACTAGTTGGACCAACTTACATGTAGTTATTTTGCCCCGAGTTCGCTCTACTACATGTCATGTACGGCGCCGTTCTGACCTTTCAAATGCCCCAAGCACCAACACTTGCATGGTTCCTCCGGTACCGTACTGGTACTTTTTAGAAAACAGTGATTGGAGGTGCGCAGGTTGTTTGCCTCCAGCAACGATAAGTGCCCATTCTGGATTCGAAATCAAACTGAACGTACTGGTACCAGCACCAGCAGTTAGCCAGCTTGGTCTTCAGTCCAGCGCGCTTTATAAGAACTAAAGGCTTATTACCAGTATCTGTCAACTTTGGACTGTCACTCGTACTGCCTGCTGGACTAAATCTCAGTACCATAATTTATTAAAAAATTAGACTCTAGCCACTCGGTGAACCCATTTCCCCATTCCCAATTACATATTTTCCTCTTGCTAGCTAGCTACTAGACTACTCTAACGTGCTTATAGCTTTTAAAAAGCACGGTCAATGGTACTAAGGCCGCTCTCTACCCAAGCGACTAAAGTAGCGACTAAGCCATATTTCGTAGTTTAGTCGATAGTTTAGTCTCTGAGGGTGGTGTCTACCCAAGCGACTAAACGTCCCACGGACTAAAGGCTTTAGTCATTATGTTCCTCACCGACAACGGGAGGCTGGTTAGTCGGTGAGCGAACATAACGACTAAAGCCTCTTTAAGAACAGCTTTAAAAAAAGAACAGCACTTTGAAAAAAGAACAGCACCCTCATTGCACAGCCTCACTATCAGAGCATCGCGACAGAGCTGTAGAGTAGAGGTGCAACCGATCGAACGATCAAGAGGAGTATCGGCCGATAGTAGAGGAGTAGAGGTGCAACCGATCGAACGAACCATCGAAGAGGAGTATCGGCCGATCGGCCGATAGTAGAGGTGCGAACGATTGAATGATAGTAGAGGTGCATTGCAATGGTGTGTTTTGAGTCTTGTTATCTCAGTCTTGTTATCTCAAAAAAGTAATCCTTCTGTTAAGTCTTTGTTTGAGTCCTTTAATCCCTTCTGTTAAGTCTTTGTTTGAGTCCGTTACATCTTTTTTGAGTCCTTTAAGTCAGTAGTGTTCCGTTTAGTCTTTGTTTAGTCATTTGTTTAGTCGCGGTAGACAGGTCCAAATGACTAAAGAACTGACTAAATGTTTAGTCCGAGATTTAGTCATCTGCTGGTAGACACCACCATTACTAAAGGATAATGACTAAATCTTGAACTAAACAACCACCTAAAGGATTCCTTTAGTCGCTACTTTAGTCGCTCCGGTAGAGACCGGCCTAACGTACTAATTATTAGTCATTGAAGCCTTGATCAATTTAAAATTGTAATGTACCACTCAGAGTAACCTACTACATGTAGTACTACTCCTGGACTGCTGAACAATCGATAATCTTACATATATTTTCCTCTTACAGCTTACTCGTACTCAGAATACTAAAAAAATAGCTAGTAGTAATATTATTACAGGACGTCAATGGTACTAACGTACCTTTTGTACTTTTGTACTACTTGTGCAAAAGTCATTGAAGCTTTGATCGATGTACCGGTACACCGGTACTAACCTACTGTACTACTGTCATTTAAATACGATGTGAGAAGTCTTTGTCGGATGCCCGAGTCGAGTCATTTTTCAAAAGGACAACACACATATAAACCGGTCTTACTAGCTAGGTCTACTATTATTGAATCTTAGGACATAGGATCTGCGGTGTTTCTGTATTCTTGGCTGTACTCGAGTACTCGAGTACGTACCAGCGTGCCAGTACAATATCTACTATTACGTCTCATGGAGACGACGCACCTTTTGGTTACCCCCTCAGTTGCACTCTGAAATCGATTGGCTCGCGTTTACTGTGTAATTTAGTGTACCCGCACTTCAGTTGCAGAATCAACGGTCATGTGTATCCGTAAGTACAAAACCTGTACTTAACGTTTTTAACGTCTGTTACCGTAACTTTGATCGATTCGTGGATAAAAAGAACCATTGAAGTTACTAAGGTTAAGGCTAAACTGAATTACAGAGGATCCATCCAATCGTCCATCAAGTCTTTTTTGAAGGCACAGCGCTGACTTCTCTCCCTCATTGAATTGCTATGGCAAACAGGAGAGAAATCTGAGCTTGGCCGACAAGAGTGGAGTTGGATCGATCGAACGACTGGTACGGGGTAAGCCTATTATCAAGAGTGTTATTGAAGGTGTAGATTCGAAAGCCATCCCTCATTCAATTTCTATGGCCCACGGGAAGGCAGTCAGATCTCGGCCGTCAACAGGTGAGTTGTTTTATTTATTCGAGTCGATCGTTCGCACCTCTATTATCTCTATTATCAAGCTTCACTCAAGCCATCAGTCTCCGGTGCAGAATGGAAAGCCATCCCTCATTGAATCCTATGGTCGGTGGGATGGCAGTCAGTTCTCGGCCCATGACAGTCAAGAAAAACAAGGGTAAGTCGCCGGTTTTCTTCAGTGTCAGAATAGAAGAGAAAACCATAGCTATTTCTTACTTTCTCTTCTCTTACTGCTGACGGCCGGCAAACTACCATTGTCGAGTCCTTTTCGGTCGCTCCGAACAACAAGAGGAGAGGCTTCGATCGATCGCTACAAACAAGAGGATGCTCTGTTAACTCCAGCTCTATCACCAGCCTAAACATCGTCGAGTCATTGAATGGCAACAGTCGTCAACCGGAGGAGGAGGCTATACGACACACGACAACACACAAGGGAGTGGATCCTCCTACCGGATTCATCCCTTCTTATTATTTCCTACTGTTTTGGTGGTGATTCCTGTGTCGGTACCCATCAAGTCAAGTACTGTTGCCACTAGCTATACGGCAGCTGGCTACAATGGCTGGATTGACAATATTCGGTTGTGCTTGTATTCGTCATAAGGATCCAATGCAAGGTACCGGTAACGGAGTGTAGCCAGTAAAGCGGAACCTGAGTGTGTTCGGTACTGTTGCCACTGTCACCGATTGATGTAGCTATACCGCAGCCGGCTACAATGCCTGGATTCATAATGTTCGGTTGTGCATGTATTCGTCATAAGGATCCAATGCGAGTTACCGGTAACCGTAGCGAGCAAAGCCGAACTTTCGGTACTGTTGCCACTGTCGTTGATGTAGCTATACCGCAGCCAGCTACAATGGCTGGATTCATAATGTTCGGTTGTGCATGTAGTCTATTCGTCATAAGAATCCAATGCAAGATACCGGCAACCGAGTGTAGCCTGCAAAACGGAACCTGAGTGTGTTCGATACTGTTGACACTGTCGCCGATGTAACTGTACGGTAGCCGACTACAATGGCTGGATTAACAATAGTCGGTTTTGCGCATGTATTCGTCATAAGGATCCAATGCGAGGTACCAGTAATGGAGTGTAGCCAGTAAAGCGGAACCTGAGTGTGTTCGGTACTGTTGCCGCTGTCATGGATCGATGTAACTCTCTGCCTACGGTACGGTAGCTGGCTACCGGTACAATGGCTGGATTGCATGTATTCGTCATATGGATCCAAGTAGCGAGCAAACTGAGGAAACAGGAGACGAACGCTGAAAAAAAGCCGAATTTCTAACCATTGACCAATTTCGTCTCCCGGAGACGACTTGCTTTAGGGGTAAGGGTACTGTTGGGGGCAGAGGTTTGAATTATACCCGGCGTGCAATACTTAGAGGCCTCTGTAGAAGTCTACGTATTTGACTAGTATTGTATTGACGGGATACAGTCAACGCATGTACATGCACATGAAAGTCGCCTCGCTTTTCACACAAGTTTCGCATGAATGAGCTCGAGCTTCACATTTTTCGCATGAATGAGGGATCACATTTTTTGCATGAATGATGAGCGAGGGAGCTATTTCGGGGCGAAGCAGAGAAAGGGATGAGCGCGCGGAGCGCGCGAATACAGCTGTACTGTTTCAATAAAGCGAGTTAGGTGTTGGTAATAAAAGATTTATGGAAACGGAGACAAGCCAGGAGGCATATGAATCCTATAGTAAAAGAGTACCAGTAGGCTAGTGCTTTTTTATCACCAGTTTGTGATCAATCAAATCGTTTGGTTGTGGGTTGTGGGGACATAAACTTGATTGCTTGGGTGGAAGAAAACATCTTTTGAAACAATGAAGACCTTCCTTATTCAAACTCTCTTCGTTCTTGCTGGTGCTGTGGGCTTGTGCAAGGGTGGCGTGGGCCTTACTGGAAGCGTTCGATTCTTGCAAGAGTCGGTTCAGCCGCAAGAGCTTGATGCCAGCTGTGGAGAGCTGAAATATGCTCTGTTCATTGGAGTGATTGAAGGCCATGGAGGAATCTTTGCTCAGCCCACCAGAGATCTCTCTGAGGGTGGCGCTGATGAAATGTGTGGTCCTGTGTTCTTCCACCAAAAGGACCCTGCTACCAAGGAAGTTTTCACATCCAGCTTGGACAAGTTTGCTCCAAGTGCTCTCTACCCTCTCGGAGATCACAAACTCAGGGACATTGTGAAGGCATTTGATACTGTGCCAGTTTCAGATGCTGATTATGATGTTATCAAGCACCACTGTGGATTGTTGGTGCTCCACATGATGTGTGCTTTGGAGATTCCTTTTGTCCCAGAGATGAAAGATTGGGTTGGCGATGTGCTTATGCAAACGAACTCGGCCCGTGACTACATTGTTTCCCTTGCCCAAAACAGTATCAACTTTGGCTTGCTTGGAATTACACGCAACGAGTCTGCCACAACTTCGATTCGCACTTTAGTTGCCTACGATGCTGACATGTTTTACTGTGCTGCTACAGACAAGAAGCAGCAAGTTGAGTGCTCTGGTGCGAGCAACGTGTTTGGAATTCTTTCGGCTTTTGGTGTTCTTGCCGTTGTGATCGGATTGATTGCTTGAAGTGCTCTTATATGTCAGCTATAACAAGAATGAAAGTATGGAAGAATGATACATGTGCTGATGGTTTACAAGTGCAGGATGAAGTAAGGCAGACCTCATAGGTACCGGGTAGTTGTTAAAAAGAATTCTAAGTAAGCTAGCTACCTTTCTCTTTTTAAAGTACCGTACAGTAGCTTTGCCTACTAGTAGGTTTAGTTAGTTCCACGAAGGCGGTGTTTGAGTAAAGAAGTCTTTTAATGAAGTTTGTGTCGGAAGCTCATGCAACGCAAGCTACGGTAGCTAGTAGCTAGAGTACATGTACATGTAGCTTGCTAGTTGTCATTTGACAGGGTGTATTGTATTGTCTATCGGACTAGCTACCAGGTAGCTCTTGGGTGAAAAACGACGGCCAACGAAGGAATCTGAAGGGTTGGATCTAGCTAGACTACCAGGTATTTATATATATATATTGCCCCGAGTTGTACGATACCGGCCGGTACTAGCTAGTAGTATCGTTCGGAGCTTTTCGAACGCACCAACACTTACCTGGGTTCGGTCCTCTACGTACGGTATAGCAAATAAATCCGAAAAGGAGTACGATGCCGTAGTATGGTAGTAGTACACCCAGTCCATCCCCTTCCTTCAATGTCAAACCTAGCTAGTAGCTAGCTAGAAGAGTTTTCTAACTGAAAGTAGACCTAGCAGCTTGGTCTTCATTGCACCCAACCAAATGGATCCTTATTACCGTTCATGCTCTTGTACTGTGCAAGACAAGCACGCTACATGTTGGGTGTCAATCTTCGGCTAGCTAGCTAGTACATGAACTTGCTTCCTGTCTGCTTTGCGTGGCTTTGCTGCGACCAAGCAAGATAGAGTGCATGATCAGGTTACTCTGCAGGCTTTGTTGTTCATTTTGGTCATGTGTACCGGTTATCAGATGCAGGAAGGGTTAAATCTCTTGCTTGTTAGTTAAGTCATCAAGTCATTAGTGTCCTCAAAATCTTCCACCAAGTTTGTGGAAGCTCGACTGTTGTCGGTTGATGCATGGTCGATGGTTTTTCTCAATCGACCATTGCATCAAGCTATCAATCATCCTTCTATATCCACACCGTAACAACACATCACTCTCTGTCACCTAGCTAGACTAGACTGATCTCTACTTTCTCTAGTTAGTTAGATACAATAAGATGGGCGTCCTGGACGACAACGAGAGTGGTTCGATCTTTGGCAAGAAAGCTCCTCCTCCTCCTCCTCCTCCTCCTACTGGCGATGCTCCACCGGCCAAAGCGGAACGCCGTCCGTCGACGTTCATGACTCCCATGGCCCGCTTGAAAGCCGAAGAAGACAAGAAAGCCGCGGAATTGTACGACGATTTCTGTCAGTTTGCAGGAGATTGGTTGGAACCCAAAGACAGTGGATGCGTGCAAAAGCACATGGTCGTCTTGTACTTTCGCGACAATTTCGGAAACTCCAAGTATCGCTATTCGGATGCCGCCGAAGACAGTGCCATTGAAGATGCCTTTGTCAAGTGGAATTCTTCCGACGATGGACCGAAAGCAGAAATGAACGAATACGGCATGTTCGTGGGTGTCTGTATCAATACCAAGTTTGAACAACAACGCCGACAAGAAGAACAATTGGAACGTCGCAAAATGCAAGTCAAACTCATCATTGCCGAATCCAAACGGACGGGAGTCAAACCACCGTTGGAAGTTCTCAAAGAAGCCATGGAATTGGGAGTCATTGAAGTTCCCAAGCAAACACTCGAGAGTATGAATCTAGCGGGTGCTCGAGCGGCGCATCGACGATCACTTACGACAACAACGACCCGACCTCCATCGCAACCCCATCCGTCCATGAAACAGGCACGTATGGGCGCCAGTATGGGAAATTTGAATTACAAGCATGCGTCTTCATCATCTCCGAAAAAGGAAAAGAAATCACTCAAGAAATCCTCCAGTTCGTCCAAACTCCACAAGAGCATGGGAAATCTCGATTTGTCGGAACGATCTTCGTCTCGACGACGTCATAAAGATGGATCGTCACGACTGCAACGATCTGCAACGGCCGATGGAGTGTCCTCTTCGTCGTCGTCACTCCGTCGACACAAGACTTCTAGCTCTAGCAGCAGTAAGCGACCCTCATCCAGATTGGGCAAGAGCATGGGCGATTTGAAATTGGGTGATATCTCGGAACGATCCTCGTCACGACGACATCGTCGCACATCTACCAGTGAACACAAATCGTCCTCGTCGCGACGAGACAAGGATGATGAAAAGAAGAAGAAAAGTAGTAGTAGTAGTCACGACAAGGACAAGAAAAGTTCCTCGAAAGACAAAGACAAGGACAAGGATCGCAAGAAATCATCATCCCGCATGCACAAGAGCACGGGAGATCTCGATTACAAGGGAAGTTCCTCCAGTCGAAAATCAAAAGATAAAGACAAGGAAAAGAAATCATCTTCTAGAGATAAAGACAAGGACAAGGAAAAGAAATCCAGTTCCAGAGACAAGGACAAGGAAAAGAAATCGTCCTCCAGAGACAAAGACGACAAAGAGAAAAAGTCGAGTTCGCGAGACAAGGACAAGGACGATAAAGAAAAGAAATCCAGTTCCCGAAAATCAAGTCGCAGAAAGTCCGAACGATGAGAGTAATGACAATGATGGTATGTAATATGATGCGACGAAGATGAAACGAAACGAAATGAAAGCAACCGTGGAGCGTTGCTAGCTAGCTGGTGTGCTGATCGATCGACAACAATTTGCGTGTGGTGTGACAACAACAATTGATTTTATTTATTTGCGTACTGTACTGTGCGATGGATGGATGGATGGATGGTGCGGATGTTTTGTATTTGTACGGTGGAAATGTGGTGGTCTGGTTTGGCGTGGTCGGATGGTTGGTTGGATGCGTGCATGCTTGGTTCGATTCGATTCGATTCAAAAAGTATTGGCATCTCTCGGTTTGGAACCGAGAGATGCCATGGTTTCATCATCCATGCAATGCAATCAATCAATCAGTAAATCAGACAGTGTGTGTGGAATGACGAAGGAGCGTCTCGTAGGCTTGTGCTTTTATGTTTTGGAAAAACGATTGAGACCGAAAGGGTGGAACGCGGTGGATCCAATCGCCTCCTTGTCGGTACGGTATGGACGAGATTTGACGGTTCGGTTGACCGTTCACGGTTGTGGACGTTGGTTCGAGCAATCCACCGATTCATTTATGCATGTATCCATTTCATACATTTCATTGCATGTTACTGCAGTGCCTGGTGGTTGTTTTACTCCACGACAATGGAAACAACTGTGGTCGAGTCAACATCCGTGCGGTCCGTGCGTACGTGTTCACGTCGGCATTGCTGCCCTGCCCATCCACTGGTCTAGCCAGCTATATAGGCAATCATCAAATCCTGTAGTAGTGTATGAGTATTTACTTGTGAGGACGTCTTTGGGGCATAAAAACGGGGTAATCGTACCAATTTAGCTATAGCGGGTTGACAGAGACAGCGTTTTGTACAAAAAATATCGACTGATTCGAATCTCCGGACCATGGTGGGCGTCCACTCGGGTGTCCGAGGCTGGGGCCAACGACGACAGCAAGAGACTAGCAACCACGGAGATATGAATCAATGAAGCTGATCCCAGTCTGTGGAAATACTACGTCTAACCGAGAGAAGCGCGATAAGAAGAGAGACAAAGCTAAACAGGTAATGCAATTTTCGTCGCCTAGACTCAAGTTTTTTCACAAACATAAGCCCTATTTTAAAGTGAAACTAATGAGCATCCTGCTACCGACACTCATCCATGAGCTGCACGATATCCTCTCTCCCATAATCCACAACCTCATTGTACGTTCCGTTGTCCCAAGGGCAGCCCTGGGCTAAAGCCCATTTCAGAATATTCCAATTTCAAAGTCAGTACAGCTAGCACATGTGTGCTCATCCCAGGGGCACCCGTTTTGATGAGCCCATTTCACAACATCCAAATGCCCTTCAAAAGCAGCAAATGCACACGTTTGCTCGTCCCAAGGACACTTGTTCGCATGGGCCCACTGTACAATCTGCAGGTGTCCATATGTAGCAGCAAAAGAACATGTTTTCACATCCCACTGATAGCCATTTTCCCGAGCCCACATGAGCACGTTCAAATGACCTTCACGGATGGCACCACGCCAACAGTTTCCTTCGTGCCACGGGCATTCATTTTCCCGAGCCCACTCGAGCACTTGCACGTGACCAGCTTCTGCGGCCCTGGCACAAGTTCTGTAATCCCAAGGGCATGGTCTCTCATGTTCACGAAGCCAGATGAGGATGTCCAGGTGCCCACCTGCGGCAGTGGCATATGTGCAAGCATTGATGCGACAGCCCTTGTCATTGACAAGCCACTTTAGAATATCCAGGTGGCCGCCTTCCGCAACGGCGGCGCAAATGTCGGCGCAAGTGTATTGATCGATTCGGCAGCCCTTTTTGATGACAAGCCACTCTAGAATATCCCGATGGCCACCTTTGATGGCACCAGCACATGCGGTCTCATTGATGGCACATCCCTGTTGCACGAGCCACTCGAGGACTTCGAAACGGCCACCTTCAGCAGCAGCGGGCACATACATTGCTAGCACCACAGGGAGTGCCGTTCCGGGGGCATCCATTCTCACGAGCCCATTTCAAAAGATCGAAATGACCATTCCCAGCAGCCTCCGTGCATGTATGCTCATCCCAATCACAGCCGTTTGCCCGAGAATACTGGAGCATTTCCAAATTTCCATGTTTGGCAGCGGTGGCACAGGTCTGTTTGTTCCACGGAAGCCCCTTGTTGCGGGCCCACTGGAGCACTCTGACATTCCCAAGTTCGGCAATTATTCCAGTGCTCCGCGCATGACAAGTTGTAGAAGGCAGCACTGAAAGAGGTGTCAAACCCACCCTCGGTGAAGCAATGACTTGCGTCCAGATTATGAGCCATCTGACTCCATAGCTTTTGGTTTGCCTCTAGCTAGAGTTCCGACATATGAGTTGGGAAGTTGTTGCTTGCTAGCTAGCTAGTCAGCTACATGTACGGTAGCTTCTAGCTAGCGGCTTGGATCGATCAAAGGGTTCCACGCTGTGGATATCTCCGTGGATGGCTGAACGTCATCTGCATGACTGGATTGATCGAATCAATCATTCGTTGAAAAGTTCTTGTGAAAAAGGGACACCAAGATAAAAAGAGATAAGATTGAGAACACCGAATTATCTTTTTTGTGAAAGTACAGACTGATCTACAGTACATGTCTCAGTGAACCTTTGGAGAATGCTAAATTAGTCGATGTTAAGGTGTGTTTTCATTGTGTGTTGATAAGCGACACATCATGAAGACTGGCCGGCTGTGTCCCGCCTGTTTGATTTTGGGGTTCTCCTGAGCGTGTCTGGCTGGCGAACCAAAGCAGCAAACAGCCAGAAGCACCAGCCGCAGAGACGAGACAGCAGCAGGCAACAACAACACAACGAAATTTCGTCGATTGAGTATCTATCTATCTATCTATTGTTGTTGACATCAAGATGAGTTTTTCCGCCGCGACCAGCCGCAGCAACAGCATAGAGATCACTGCGGAGACGACGTTGAATCAACTGCGTGGATTGGACTTTAGTGATGCGAGTGGAACAACGAGTAGTCGACGCCGTGCGCAGCAAGAAATGGGCAAGAGTTTGAATTTTTTGAATTTGGATCGTCGTACTTCTATCAACGATATTAGTAATAGTAAGAAGACGACAGTAGGAGGAGCGTCGCCTCGTCTCCGATTGATGCAGAATCGAATCCGTCGTTTGAAGAAGAACAACCACACCGTGGAACGACTGTACGCCAGTGACTCGGCGCTCTTTCGCAACACCAAGGGGGACGATACCGAAGTACAGCGCGATGTATGGTTCAAGAGTCTGTATCCCAAACAGGGGGCGCTCGAAAAACTAGACGAAGCCGAACAAGAGTACGAAGACTCACAGAACAATTCGGAAGCGGACGATCTGCACATGAGTGGAACCGACTTGTGGTTGTTTGAAGCCAACCAGAGTGCACCGGGATTTCTACCAGGCGAAGCACCCAAATTGGAGGAACTAGAAGACTCGGAAGATTCACAATCACACGTAAGACGGTAACCATCCATAGGGTATGCCCCAACAAACAAACAACAAAATAAAACAAAATCAACCATCAACAATTGACCTATTTTTCAATCAATCAATCAATCAAATCAATTCTAGTATGATATCTGGTAAATCAAAAAAGGGGAAATTATTTATACTAGCTAGTATTCTATTCATTCTAATCAGTAGCTAGCTAGCATAGTTTGTTCATGCAATTTAGGCGATCTCTCACTCATCTGGGGATCTATCAGTGGCAAGTACATGTAGCTATTTTTGGTCCTTTGATTGATGGATCATTTGCTTTGGAAGAGCACGGTCACTCCAAAGATTATAGTTTTGGGGTCCACCGGCAAAGAGGCTAAAGTGTACGGATTCATTCATTCAGAAAACTAGAAAAGAAAAACAAATTAGAGCAAACTAGACTCGTACCGGTAGACTTAGTCGGGGGCGACGACGCGATGATTGAAGATTCAACCAACCTAGAGATCTACCAAAAGTCTACTGCATCTCAAAGCAAGAACCGGTTCGTAGTTGCTGCATCCAAGGCATGACTAATTTGTTTCTATTAATAGCAGCATTGGTGCGTCAGATATCACACGTCGGAAGCAAATATTATTATTGCTGCCCAGCCCAACAGAAACGCAATGGTCCGAGTGATAGCACGTACGGTACCGTAGCAGTGACTTCACTCCATGGCTTACAAAAATGGGTACCTACTGTAGCATGCATTCGTGCTGGTTAGGCCAGCAACCTTCTGTTGTTGGAGAGATTGGCAAGAACGGAACCTCTTCACGAAGCATCCGAAACGAGCAATATGGTGCCCACGCGCCTCTGCTCAAGCACTGATGGCTGGATTGATTGACATCGTTCATTCTTCTTCCGACCTCTGACAGTTGTCGTGCGGCAGCAATGGAGCTTGCTAGAACCTCAACGATCAGTGGTTTCAGCTGTGACTGGCTAGCCAGATCATGACGACTCGACTAGCCAGCCAATACTGTGTTCGAGAATGCAGCAGTTGTGACTACTACCATCTTCATTCACAGGACCGCCGTGGTGGAATTTTCAACCAGCAACTAACTAACTACTTTGGTGAACTAGTAGGATCATTCGCCCAATCCAATCCTACTACCCTGGGCATCAACAGGTCACAGGTCATCTGCCCTTTGTCATCCCTCTTTTGTCCAGGATGGCTGGGCCTGGCTACTGGCTAGTCATGCACGTGGCAGACAACGGGAGATCGGCCCGACAGTGGGACGCACCGTACTACCGTACATACCAGGAGCCAGAGGCTATCGAGGACGAGTGCATGCAGTGGCTGTTGAAACATTGGGATACACGAGTTCGATATTCCCGCTACAGCAATCAAGTTTCCTCACCTGGCCTCAACTGGGCTTCTATTCGGGTATTCCCTCACCCGATTCGCGACGCCTCAAGCGGTTTTCAGCCAAGTTTCCATTGTAGATACTAGCTTGCTCTAGCTAGCTAGTAGAACCTTGTGGCACTCGTGTGCCTGGTGTCGATGCCTCGTGTGGGACAGGAGTCGAGTCGAGACCCAAAAGTGTCCGGGATTCGATCTGTTTACCGAACCATGTTCGAGAGAGATCCCAAGCATTCGTAGAATAAAAGCAAGCAACCTGAAAGGTAAGCGGGAGAGCCACCAGCGCAGCAGCTACTACCTCAATCAGCCTGGAGTAGTCTGACTCGGAGAAGAAGAAGGAGCCAACGACTTCCCCTTGGATATTTTTGCAAGGGCGAGTTCCCCTCTTGCTCCTCCGCAGCAATCCCTACCGGTACGGTATTTACCTTGGGTCGTACGGTGAGAGTAGACAAACAGTTGTTTCCTTGGAATTTTGTTTCTGGCGAACCTCCGAACTTAGTACTATATCATACGATTGATTGGGGGGACGGAGGAGGACCATAGAGAAAGGGCAAACAACTAGCAAGCTAGTAGTGGTCCCAATTGACTTCGCTCCAGCCACATTCCAAATTTTCAGCAACTGACCAATGACAAAGACCTCCGGTATACTATTCTCGAGAGTATCAATTACAGTAGAATGGTGAAGCTTGTGTCCAAGTGCTTCGTCGGTTGCCACCACAGCTAATAACAATGCAGTGCTTCTTGTACTACAAATCCAACTCTAATAAGCTCTCAAGAGATTCATGATTCCACACAGAGGAGACCTTCAGTCTTTCAGTAGCCATATTTTATAATTTATTTGATCGCGGCAGTTGCGTGTACGGTACTACGCTGTACGCTGTACTTAATTAACTAGATACCTACAGCTTTAAAGCTTGCTGGATCATTTCTTGCAGCTTCCGTAGAGTCGCTGATTCTCCCCTAATGACTGTATGATTTAAAGAGAATATTGTAGGATCTTGAACACATTATGACTCTGTTAATTAAGTCTTGCACAGCCTTGAATGTTTTCTTGTTGGTTGGTGTCACTAATAAATCACTGGACCCACCATCTAATGACACTGACAAAAGGCTTTACTAACCCCCAAGAGCTGCCCAAGAATCATCTAAGCCTCAAGTTTTCAGAACGAATTAAGCATGGAGTCATTGAATGTCAGTTTCGAAAGAGCACTCGTTGGATCCAGTTAATACTGGTTCCCTCTTGTCTTGCGGATGCTGAAACTAGGTTGTCGGCTCACATTTTGACTGGGATGCTATGGGACTTCGCGGGTCTCGCAGAAATAATAATAGTTGACCGTTTCGTGAGGGTATCCCTTTTGTTGTTCCGTTGCACACAAACACACACACACAACATCATCATTGCCAAACAGAAGAACTTGTCATAAAAAAACCAAAACTGCCAAGAAAAGACGAACGTAAAGTTTACAAAAACAAAGAAAAGATGAATCCCAACAACATGCTCAGTGCTGATGATACCACCATGACGATCCTGCCCTCGGAAGACGAGATCATGGATGGCAGCATTGGTAGACTTGGACTTGGACTTGGAGGAGGTTCTAGTAGTAGACGAAATGGAATGGAAGAGAGTTGGAATGGTTTGTTTTTGGCGTCAAGTTGTCTCTCTGACGATTCACTAGCAAACAACAACCACAATAACAACACAGGTGCTGCAACAAATAGTACCAACAAGAAGATGGGCCACGCCAGTTTCACAGACCTGGGCTTGTACGATGCAGCCAAGAATGGCAGTGCCACTTCCGTTCTTCCCAAATGTGTCGAAGAACAAACCAAGGCACAATTCATGAAGCTACGTCTGCATCGAATGCAACGAAAACCCAAAATGGCGCTGCTTAGTAGAAGCAATGACAGTAGTGACACTCAATTGGAGATGCAAACAAGACTGCACGAATCTGATTCCGCCTTGTTTTTGCGAAGAGATTCGGAAATGGATACGGCAGAGCTCGATGGAACCTGGTACCGAGCCAAGCATCCCCGGCATTGTCAGGCTTTGGAAAAGATGGCACATTCCACGGGATCCATTGCTCTGTAATGTAGCTACGGTAGTGATGCTATAAAAACCGAAGCGAACCGAAACCAAGACAAGACAAGACAAGACAAGAATAGATAATGCATAATCAATCAACAAGTACATGTGAGTGTGTGTGTGGCAATGTGACTTTACGTGTGGGAGAGAGTTAAGGTAACGATGAATACAGTACTGAAGCAACTTCATAACATAAATCATTTCATGGCATAACGTAAACTAGACTACTAGACTACTGAAGAAGCCTTGTTGGCTGGCTGAAGGAGCAAGCAATCGACCATACGGTACAATAGCAAGTGGCGAGCTGTATTGCTCAATCTTTAGCTAGCTAGAACAGAGTGAGCAGGAATGGTCACCATCGCCAAGGCAACGAAAATCTCGGTGGATGCATGGTCCATGCCAAGGAGGAAAGGCTGCCGCATTTGAGCTGGTTTCTTGCTAGCTAGCTAGTAGCTATAGCCACCGGTACCGATCACTACGGTACAAGTGTCCATATATAGAATCTGATGACAGACTAGACATGCATACCACTAATAGCAAAATTTAATGATGGCTGCGGGCATTCTCAACGGTAGCACATGTAGCTAGCATCCGAGTCTACATGTACCGGTATGTGGTTGCTATTTTCGATCGACGATCGAGTCACAGTCGAGCAAACAAGTTTGGACTCGACTCAGCTGGCCCAATTTGCTCTCTGTCCGGTCTTTCTGCTCTCTCTCGGAACGGGATCTTGCGTTTGATCCCTGTTCTGTTTGCAAGACAGCATCTGCTTATCAGCATCTGTCTACCGGTTGACTAGAAGCAACCCAAAACAACACTAGATAGAGAGTGGTCCGCGGCTGGAACGCAATCGATGTGGCGGGCATGATCGGAGCGACTTGTTGAAGCTTGAAGCGTTCTTTTGCCCGCCCTGTCACAAGTGGTTTCTGACATCGCGCTGAAGGGTGGCGGTGACTGGACCAACCCCATAGTGCAAGACATAGGGATGGCTACCAGTTGGGGCTCTCCTTCATACGATAGCAAGGCAGTACCGTACTAGAGTGAGGCGTATGCAGTCAGAGGGGTTACAGGGAGGGAGCTTCATTTCCCAAACCGAACCATGATCATGTCCGTGCAGTGTGCATTCGATTCGAGCCCTTTTTCGTTCACCAGCCAAGTGGCTGAGTCAAGGAGGATGCTTCCATAATATGATGTGAAAAGTCTCTGGCTGGACTGGGTGCTGTCTGCTCCGTGGTTGCATGATTGCATTCTCTCGAAACGAGAGGGGACCTAGCCAACCCGTCAATATACGGTACTAGCTAGTAGGCTAGCCAGCTACTGGTACTGTACCGTAGCTATTGGTTCAGAGCAGAGCAATACTGAGCGGGCTGCACAAAACCATTGGGATTGTTTACATGTAACCTAGCTAGTGCGATTGATGGTTGACTGACGAAACCCGGGCAATCAATACCTAGCTAGTAGACGATGGAAACTTCCTTCCAGCTTTTTGCCCCATCTATGCATAATCATGTCTTCAAACTTTTGACTGCCAGCCTCATGTTGCTGTTGCTGTACTTGTAGTAGTTTCCGGCGGTTCCCGTGGCCGTTGCGTCCATACATTGACGGCCAGTGTATATCTAGCACCACTGGTAATGGGTGTGACTCGATGCCATTGTGACACATTGAGAAAGACGAGTCGATTGTAGTGTGGGCGAATGCGTTCGACATGATGGGGTAGATCTGCCAACTCGGTAGGATCTGGAATTTGGTAGGGATCATACGACAGCACTTCTAGATATCCTTCGCCTGATGGTGCCATTTGATGCGGGTATCCGTACCAGACGGCACCCATGTAGGGCGTCTTGAGATTTGTCATTTCCGATAGTTCAAATTCGACTTCGTCCTTGTCGACGTGCCATTCGAGTGGATTGTGAGGGCGGATAATGTTGCACCAGTACTCGTACCCCGCCAGTTCTACCTTGGTATCGCTAGTATCGCTATCGCTATCTCTTTTTTTGGATAAGATGGTGGGATGACTGTTCCAAATTCGAATGGCCATTTCTTCCCACACTGACGATGGCGTGGCACCCAAATCCAGCCATTGGCATTGATTCTGTTGAGACTTGGACACACAGGATTCCCACAGTTGAGGATTTCGGAACTGCTCTAGCAAGTCTGGGTCTTGCACAAAATTGGATTGCACTAACAGACCACCACTACTAATAACATCTAAAGAAGATGAAGATGGAATCACTTGTCCTGATGCCAACAAATCGGTCAACGTGATACCATCATCATTCCCACTACTACTAGATCTACTAGTGGCAGTACCGGTAGAAGCATACCAATTCTTGATTTGGGCCTTGAAGATATTCCAACACAAACTCAACACTATCACTATTACCACAGGAGGAATCCGAAATCCAGTGCCATTGCCAACGTTCAATCCGTCATTGTTATTACTACGTCGGATCGTCGTTGCCATCTTATATCATGCAGTGTAACAACTCCAACAAGTCTTCAGAGGTGGCCGGGAAGGTAGGATGATGATCGGATTCGATTCGATTCGGGCTTCCCATTCATCCTCATTAGGGATGGGGAATTCCACGTTTCGGTTTTGGGCGTGGACAGCTCTGCTGGGTGGATCTTTGTTATCTCCCTTCGTCGGCCAACAACTTTGCGCCGTCGACCCCTACCGTACTGGTATTGCCAAGGACAGAGCTGAGAAGAACACAAATCTAAGACCACGAGAGCTGAGAAGAACACAAATCTAAGACTACGACTACAGTAGCACACGCTACCAGGTACCACCACCACAATGATGACACGCATTGATCTCAAGGAAGCCACCCAAAAGAAAGCCAAGCTAGAAGCCAAGCAAGCCACCAAGAAATCCGCCACATTCATGGATCTAGAGGATGACCTCTGGGTTGGCGGCGTTTTCCCTTTTCTTGGCATGGGCCACTATGCCTTTGCGGGACTCGTCAACAAACAATTCAACAAAAATTACAAAGCGTACTGTGCCACTGTGGAAGATCCTCCTGTCGTGCATTACAATGGAATTTTGCCAGGACCTTTCGAGCTCGATCTTTGCTCGGCAAAAATGACTGACACAATCTCCAGTGCGACATTCTACAATGAAGCATGTGCCGAGCATTGGCACAACGATAGTTCCACAGACAGACAAGGTTCCTCCTAATGATCGTGTATGCACAGCTATTGCCGGACATGGGAATGCCAGAGTTCTCAAGTGAGCCCGCAACAAGGGCTTTCCATGGGACGAAAGGACCTGTGCTAAAGCTGCCAAACATGGAAATTTGGAAACGCTCCAGTTTGCTCGGGCAAATGGCTGTGATTGGGATTATCATACATGCACGAAGGCTGCTGGGAATGGTCATTTCGATCTTTTGAAATGGGCACGGGCCAATGGATGTGACTGGCGCTCAACGGCGTGTCATGCTGCTGCCAAAGGTGGTCATTTTGACGTCCTGAAGTATTTGCATGAGAAAGGCTGCTACATGGATGTCGACTCCATTTGTGCTGCTGCTGCTCGTAGTGGCCATGTTGATGTCCTCAAGTGGCTTGTCCAAGAGGAATGTACCATCAATCAATACACTTGCGCCGCCGCTGCGGAAGGCGGGCACCTCCATATTCTCATCTGGCTCCGTGAACGTGCGACACCATGCCCTTGGGATGCCAGAACCTGTGCCATGGCCGTAATTGCTGGTCACGTGCAGGTGATCAAGTGGGCTCGAGAAAATGGGTGCCCGTGGAACCAAGAAGAATGTTGGCGTGCTGCCATCCGTAAAGGACATTTGAACATACTCAAATGGGCTCGTGAGAATGGCTATCAGTGGGGTGCAAAAACATGCTCCCTTGCTGCTGAATTGGGGCGATGGGAGATTCTGAAGTGGGCTCGTGCGAATAACTGTCCTTGGGATGAGCAAACGTGTGCATATGCTGCCAAAAAGGGGCCTTTGGATGCATTGAAATGGGCGCGTCAAAACGGATGCCCCTGGGATGAACGCACAACTTGTTGGGCCTATTTAGCATATCAGCATCAAATTCTGGAATGGGCGGTGGCCCAGGGCTGCCCGTTTGACGAAGAGGCAGCCATTGAGACTAGACGTCAAGAGGAGGAGCATCTGGAGCGATGGTTTGAAGATGTGAAGGCAATCGTCAGGCGTGGGTGTGGGCGTGGGCGTGGGCGTAGACGTAGACAAGTTTAGAGTAGGTGGGTGGATCATCTACTCAAGCCTGCTCTGGATCTTTACGCTTGACGGGAAATCCCTCGTATCCACCACAGCTCTAGTCGCCAAGATGTAGACTATAACAACGTAGTATTACGAAAGGAGACTGCAATCAAAAAGGTAGGTAGACGAGCCACTAAACGGCATCATGGGAAAATGATGTGCCCCAAACATTACTTCCACCAAACGCTTGCCGTCCAGCTTAGTTCCTCACTCCACTGGCCATGGCACTTGTATCATGCCCGGTATGAATAGGAATGCTCCGTTGGCACAAAATTTATTGCAAAACTGTTGATCAACCGCTGGATTTTATTGGTAGTGCTATCAAGGATCCTATTCGTGAGGTATTGCTTGTCGCATTAATTAAGATACAGCGTACACGACGGGACGATTATGATCAACTGCTGGATAAGATACCGGTACAGTACCGTATGATGTCCAGAGGTTCGAGTTGCACGAGCGGTCATGTCATCCGTGAAACTTCACCTCAACAGATGAGGCTATTCGACGAGGCATAACCACAGGAACAATCATATCTGCCATCGTAAAGAGGTGGTCAACGTCGCCCAGCAGTTTGACGACCTCGGCAATCGAAACGCGGCTCGATGGAGTGGCAAAGAGCTGTTGGGGGTCGAGTGCGACTACAGCAAAGGTAGAACTTCCCGCGATTGAAGCCGCAAATGCCACTCTTGACCACGAAGGCCATTCTTTCCCTTTTACCAGTTCGTCGAGCCACACGCCCCCCACACATTGCTGGGGAGATAGTAGGCTCGGCTCGTCGCTCTGCAAGGACTTCTTCTCGTCACCGACACGACAATCCTTCTCTTCAATGCCTAAATCTTCCAGCTGGAAGTGAAAGACTTGCCCCTTGGGAAGGGCTCGAATCACACCGTACAGTTTGTTCGAGTCATGATGAGGATCCGGTACCAGCACAGCTTCAGGAACAGAATTGCCGCGGAAAATGATGGCTGCAGAACGGTTGGAATGGGATAGTGAATGAAATTGGGTTTCGCTTCCGTCGCTGCTGACAAAGCCCATGTTGACTAACTGGTTGATATCGTCATCGACGCCCCTCAGGCGAGCCAATTTCTTGGCTGTTTCCGAATGATCTCTCATTTTATTGTCGCTCGAAAGCTGATGTTGAGATTTGTGAGCTCGAGGCTTCCACCCCTTCACCTCATCGCAGGGGTCGACTTTTGACTCTTGCGCGGTGCTCCTCTTTGCTTCTGTTCTTCATGCTTCTACTCACCGGTAAGCCTGTGAAGCAGGTACTGGTACCAGGCAGGTCCCGAGTTTTGCGAGGAAACTTGAAAGCCGTCATGATGGCTCTCGCAGAACGTGGATGCATCCAGGGGCTCCGTCTACGCGTACTATGGTACATGTAGTAGCTAGCTAGCTGGGTGCATCCAGCTAGAATAGTTGTTACATGGACTACCGTAGCTAGCTCTTCAGACTCTCTTGCGTTGGTCCATAGTAGATACGTAGATTGATACCGGTACCCTTGATTGGCCTTTTCGCAACCAGCCAACACCACGGTCGGCAGACATGCCCGGTTTTGGTTTCCAAGCAAGGCAATCAATACGAGCCAGAGGGCCCCGTAGACTACTGTTGGTGAGAGGTTGAAGCAATGCGAGAGCAACATCGTGCTTGCTACAACTCGAACTGTGTAACAACGCCAAAAGTTCCGTCTAGATATTTCCGTAGCCGCTGAATACTGAGTCGAGTCTGTCGCCATTGAGAATGCGACTGACTGCCAACGCGGTGGAGGAGACAAGCTGGAGTAGTGTAGTAGTTCGTAGGTAGGTCGCAATTTTAAAATGTGTACATGTTTGATTATTCGTTATTATTAGTGTGCAAGGTTACGTTATTGTGCTAGTAGCTAGGTTCGTGTCGACGAGTATGTAATGGTATTGATACGGTAGTGGGGGTGCGTGCGTTTTTGGTGCGATGTCGAGGAGTTGGCCACGAACGATGGAGGCACCTTTTTGATCGGTGCGTCTTTGGGTTGCATTGACGGCTCGATGACCGCACCGGAGTTTTGCCATGCTGCCCTTTCCGAGCCGCGTGTATTGTCGGTTCTATTGACCTCGTTTAATCAAGTTTCACTATATCATTCATCATTCATCCCTGTTGTTGTTTCTGTTGTTGTCGTTGTTGCAATTTCAATTGTTTGGCTTGTTCCTTGATTTGTTGTGCCTGTTGTTCCCAATCCTGTGCTTCCAATTCGAGTTGATGAATATCTTGTTGTAGTTTTTGGGCGACGTGTTGTTTGGTCCGTTCTTCGGTTTGTCGTAGAATATAGCGGACGCGTTCCGCCTGTTGTTGCAACTGCCATGCTTGATCATCCTCTCGCAATGCCGCATTCTTTTCCTCTTGAATGGCTTCAAATTGTGCCTGTTGCGATTGATAATTGTGTTGTTGCGCTTGTTCCAGTGCGAGTTGTGCGGCTGCCAACTTTTCTTGTGCCAATTGTTCTTTTCGAATGGCATCGGCGACTTGTTTTTGGGATTGTGTAACACGTCGTTCGGCATCTCGGTAATCTTTTTGAATTTGAGACAGCACGGTTTCAAACTCTTGCAGGACTTCAATTTCTCGTTCTTGTGTGGACACGGGGTGTGTGCCTTGCATGGTTGCGGTTGTTGGTTTGGCAGATGACGAAGCAGTGTTGGTGGTGCTGGTCATGAATTCCGTCTGTGTGTTGAATTTGTTGAGTAATTTGTTTGCTTCCGCGGCCGAGAGAGGCATTTCTAGGTTGTGCAGCACAGGTGCTTGTTTGTTGGATTGGGATTGGAGTTGACTCTGTAGTTTTTCGATTTTGGACTTGGCACTGAGTGATCTACAAAAACCATTTTAAAAAAGTAGAAAAGGAAGGCACAAGAAGAGAATTGAGAAACAAAATTGAGATGAAATGAAATAATTTTTGGAAGGGATCATGTGTTTTTTAAACTCACTTTTTGTGTATCTCTCTGTGTTCCTGTTCCAAATCATAAATGGCCATTTCTGTGGACATTCGTTTGGAAGCATCCAACATGGCTTGTTGTGATTGTTTGGAGACATCCGAGTAAATGGAAGCTCCCGTTTTAGCGGCTGCCATGGTGGTATTTGCGGTTTTGCGTAGAAATGGAATGGCCGTCTTGATTCCCGCATCCAATAGAATCTCGAATGTGTCGGCCAATTCTTGAGCTTGTAACGCTCGATCGTATTTCCGACGTTCCTTGGGATCACTCAACACGCCCCACGCCGCATTCACGTCACTCAGCTCGTACTTGTACTCAAATCTACTTCTACCTGTACCACTCGCTACCAAATTGTTGCCCAGAATATCCGTCTGATCCGACACTAACCCCACATTGGCATCGGGGTGAAGCTTGCGCGCCAAACTCTGCCATTTGCGTTTGATCTCCACATCACTGTCTTTGGGAGAAGCGCCCAAAATCTCGTACAGATTGGGAGGAGTGTCATCCACACCAGCATTACTACCAGTAGAGGAAACACCGACACTCACTGATCTTCTCTTACTAGTATCAACAAAACTTGAGGAACCTGAAGGACTGCTACTAGTACTGAGGAAGCACTCCACTGGCACCAACAGACTCAGAACACCCACACTCACACCAATAGCATACAACAGTCTTAACCTACTAGTAGTCATCTTGTTTCATAAGGTTTTAGCTTTGTGGTGTTGTGGAGTTGTGGTGTTGTGGTTGCGCCTCTCCTCCGAGTTATTGATGAGTGACAACAGCCGATCAGAACGAAATTTGAATTTCGCAGCTGTTTTGTAAAAGCTTCCTTTTGATTGGTGGATGCACTTCAACCCAATGACGTTCGTTGGGTAAAAGGAACGAGAGCGGTTGTGCTACCTTTTTTGGAATCGACCATGGGATGGCGAAGCAGTCACGGTTCGATGCATGGTACCAGTACCACCCAACCCTCTGTCACCATGCGTGGATGCACGCTATGCGATGAGAGACGTTCTCGACTGATGCAGAAGACGAGGATTACACACTGACGTCAATTGAACCGGTACACGTGTACTCCTCTGCACGCCTCCTGCGTGCGTTTCCAGTTCCACAGTCTTGGTGCGGGCAGAGAGCAAGAAGATACATCCATTTCCAGGAGAGCTACAGTACGAGTATACGAAGAACGCAGGGGCTTTTCAAAAGCTAAAGCTATATATCAAGACGAGCTTGAGCATAGGACGACTAAAGACAGAGTCTTTCTTCTTTTAAATATGCATACACGGGGGGTCTAGAGTATACATAGGGAAGTCGTTTACGGAAGTTATCCTCTGCTTGAAACATTGCCGTCGTCCAATCTTCAATTTGTTTTAGTTCAGCACCCAAATCTCAGCAGCTCCCAAATCTTGGGTCACCAAAACATCATCCACACAATCCTTGTACTCATTTCCATTGGTCAATGACTTGCAGGCATTCTTGGCTGCTTTCATGGACACCTTGGCTTCACCAAGACGGCGGCGAAGACGTAGGGACTGTTCCTTGTTGACACTGGGCAATTGGCATTGCTGAGGAGCCTGGGGACCTTCCACAGCATGGAACAAGTGCAGTTCATCCTCCTTCACTTGCCATTCTTGTCCAAAATCATTCGCGCTCTCAATCACAGTCACTCCATCACGGGCTACATGAGCTCCAGTGGGGAAACTTCCCATGAGACCAGTGGCACCCATGTAGTGGGCTGCATCCTTGTGGTTTACCTCCACATTCAAAATGTCATGATACGTCTGGATGGAAATGAGATCACCTTGCCCAAGGTGGATGTTCACATTCCTTTTGGCGGTGTTTGTCTGACGAAGACGGACTCTAAATCCAGACAGCTTGTGGTGATCCACCCATTGGCCCATTTCCAATGACTCTTCATTGCGCTTGCCATTGATCCAGAACCAGCCAGATGTATTGTCATCTACGGATGTGACCTCCAAGACATCATCACCAATCTTGACTGCCACACTCTCAACCGCGGACCACCAAGTTTGGATCTTGGTACGAATGTGGATGGTCATGCCTTGTCCTTGGTTAAAATCAGGATTTTTCAAGAAAACAAGATCACAGCCTCCATGGTAGTCATAGCTGCCACCTTCCCAAGTGCGGAAGTGTGGGTCACCACGAACAAAGGTTGGAGGGGAAGTGGGTACATTTCCTCCTCTCTTGGGACCAGTTGGTGGCGAAGTGGCTCTGAGTTTTGGACTTGGGGTCTGTGAAGGGGAAGAAGTGGGAGCGATGGTTGTCTCGGTAGGAGTCTGGCTGGGAGAAGTGCTAGGAGAAACAGTTTTGTCTGTGGGAGATTGACTAGGAGATGTGGTGGGAGCAATGGTTGTGTCTGTAGGAGACTGGCTGGGAGAAGTTGATGGAGAAGCTGAGGGAGAAGTAGTCGGTGCAGTAGTAGCATCTGTGGGGGCCTGGCTTGGGGTTTGTGAAGAGGAAGCACTGGGAGAATGTGTAGGGCTTTCTGTTGTGAGATTGTCAATGTAGCATTGTTTCCTCTTTTTCTTGTCCTTGATTGCAGCACAGGGATCTTTGCCTTGCTTCTGGAATCTGTCACACACCTGGGTTGCAATCATAGACTTCTGGCTTTTCTTTGACCTATAGGACTTGCAAGGATCATTGTGCTTGCTCTTGGGATTTGGCTTCTTGTGCTTGGTTGGAGCAGAGGTAGGTGTCTTGTCCTGGTGGTTATCAATGTAGCATTGTTTCTTCTGTTTCTTGTCTGTGATTGCAGCACAGGGATCTTTGCCCTCCTCTTGGAACCTATCACACACCTGGGTTGCAACCATAGACTTCTGACTTTTCTTTGACCTATACGACTTGCAAGGATCACGACTCCTTCCCGTCATCCCTCCCATCATCAGATAACGTTGCGGATTGGGGGTTTTGTGGTGGACAGTGTGTGGCTCAGTAAGGGATCCTTGAGGCTGTGCAACAACAGACAAGTCATGAGGTCAAAATTACCAATAAGGACGGTGGCACTAGAATCTTCTCCAAGCGCATGGTGATCTTACCGCAACTCTACCAACAGCTGAACTAGCCAAGTTGCAGGCCACAAATAAGGTAATGATACTTTGTTGAATCTTCATGTTGCTTCGGGAAATGATCGTGATATGTGCTTTGTTGCGTGGGTGTGCTTTCTCTGGTTCTTCTGTGCTGCTTTCTGTTTTTGCTTTTGCGTACCGGTAGCTTTCTTTTGTTCTTGTATTGCGTGCGTTTGTATCGCTTTTGCTTTTGTGATCCTTCGGATTTGTGAGACTATAGTTGGGAATTGGGGCAGTCAAAAGCTTCTTTTCAAGGGCGACGATCTCCTTTCTTGGAGAGCAAATCCAGATCGCAGTTGGTTGCATCCAGCATGGCTGATAGAGTCTCTATCTCGTTCAAAGGGGAAGTCGAATGGATTCCGTTCCAAGGAATAAGATCCCTTGAGCTCGAGGAGGTACTGTCAAATCGATACAATGAACGTGGATTGGAGTGGGGACGAGCCAAGTTGGAAGCTTGGATAAAAGGATGGGAGACCAGCATGTTTCGGCTACAGTCGCTCACTTGCCCTTCATTTTTCCACTCCCGTTGTGGATTGTGATTCTATTCCGGCGGTGCCATGCAAGAGGTCTGCCTAGATCAAACTGGATGTGTCTTTTTAGGTGGAGGTTGTTCGGTTCCATTGGCAGCCACACTGTAGTTCAATTGCGGATGACTGAATGAAAAAGATTTCCGGGATAAAAAAGATGCTGTGTTTGCGTGCTGTGTCTCAACACCAACATCTGTTCCGCAATTCCATAGGATTCGATTCCGTCTAGCTAGTAGCAACCATGCGCTGCTTCTGAGTCGATATTTGTCTCATTCATGGTTCAAAGCAAGCTCAACGATTTAAAGTATAGATCTGGAATCACATTTGATCCATGACGGCATTGGAATGAATTTTTTCCTTTGGTTGTTCTAGCACAAAGCAAGTCAGAAAGCGAAGTTACGAACAGTCCTGGAAAAAGTCATCATCAGCTAAGCTTTGATTTGCATGTTATGTTTCTTAGAAGGGTACCGGTAGGGTTCGACGAAGCTCGTGCATGTAACTAGCTCCCTTTCTGATGAGACTTGGTCGCTTGGATTGTTCATTTGGATTGATTTCCTTCACACTTCGCCAGAGGCCAAAGTGTTTCAGTTAGTTTTCCACGCCGTGGTGAGATTCGTGACCTGACTGCGCGCACGTCATCGGTGGCAAGCTTGAGTGAGCCGGGTTGCGTTGACACACGAGAAGCCGCCAATCAAGGCTCAAAAGATCTTTCGTTGGATCTTCCTCACATTTTGGCTCAGGAAGATAGCGAAAGCGCCAAGTCCAATCCCTTGTTCTCACAATTCACTCCTCTCAGTGAATGCGCTTTCAAAATAGTAGCGGTACTGTATCATGGGTTTCCCATCGTGCTTTGGAGGACTCTCTCTGGTGTTGGCTTTGCTGTTGCAGGAGCCAGCAAGTGGATTTACTACTTTGCCGTGGCTTCCTCGGAAAGCAACCTTTCAACTTTCGGCAGTTGCTCAAGAGACCAGTGCTCTGAAAGTCGAAGATCCAAGGTAAGTCTTACACAATTCAACATATCCATTGACAGCTCAGTTAGCTGAAGATGAACTGCTGGGTAGCATGGCTTCTGCTTCATTAAGATGAGATATCCTTTCTTACATCTCATCTTTTTCCCACGCTTCCTATTCCAAATCCTATTTTCAAGCCTGCTTCGCAATGTCGGCATTGTGGGTCACTCGCACCACGGCAAATCGACGCTGATGGAGTGGATGTTGTACGATGAAAACGTTTTGACCAAAACGCCCACGCGAGCTCATAGCAGCTTGGATGCAGATCCAGCCGAAGCGCAGAGAGGCAGCAGTGTCTTTAGCCATTACGGCAAGTGTCCTCACAATGGACACGTCTTGGCGCTCACCGATACACCCTGGGGCGATTTCCCCGCTGACGCTCAAGCCAGTGTCGATGGAACCGATGCTGCGGTACTGGTCGTGTCCGCGGCGGATTCCGTCCAGTCCGGGACTCTTTCGGCATGGCAGCACTGTGCCAGTCACCACATTCCAGCTATGGTGGCACTGACCAAGTTGGATAGACCCTTTTTGCAGCTTTCAAGAGTCCTGCAAGATATGGAAGACGCGTTTGGAATCAAACCGTTACCCTTGCAAGTCTTGTCGGGAGAACCAGATGATTACTCGGTGCTACCCTTGTTCCAGTTACAAGACGATTCAGGAGACTTGATCCAAAATGCACAAGTCGCCAACAACGAAGAGTTACAGCTAGCATGGACGGTTCTAGAGGAAGCCGTTGCCATGACGGATGATGACCTACTCGTGGATTATCTGGAGGATGGAGAACTCACGACAGGACAGGTTGTACGCGGCCTCCAAAAGGCTGTTCTACAGCACAAGATACTCCCATTGGTGTACACGTCTGCCGAATCCGATACGGGTGTGCGAGAACTCATGGATATCGTTGTGGGTGTCTTGCCCAGTCCCTTGGACACAAGAGATGAAGCCATCCGAATGGCATGTGAACAGGAAGCCGCCAAATGCGATTTGAAGCCCGGTATTGAAGCCGGATTCTGTGCGCGGGTATTGCACACCACCATCAACTCTTTTGGGAGCCTCAGTGTCCTGCGTGTCATTTCCAATTCGGTCCATGACACAAACGATGCGTTTGCTTCGCTCCCTCACGAAGTTGTCAATCTACGAAACGAAGAAACCATCAAAATGCCGTCCGTGGCCACGTCCTTTAGTCTCAGTGGCAAGGATCGAGTGTCCTTGCAAGATGGAATGGCCATCGTTCCCGGAGATGTCATTGCTGTGCCCAAATTACCAGAATCGGTACATACCAATGATATTCTCAGCATTCCAGAAGCACAGGACGATGAACTCTCCGAAATTCTATTGGAAACCCAAGCCAATGTACTGACACCGCTCAGTCGTCCCGTCGAACAGGTCGCACTCATGACGGCCGCCACCGTCACTTTTGCCAGTGGGGACACATCCTCATCTAAACAGAGCAAGAAAAAGAAGGGCGGAAATAAAAACAACAATAACGACGAAAAACTGGTCAATGCATTGCGCAGCTTGGCCCGTGAAGACTTGGCACTAAGGCTGGAACAAGATGCAGCATCCGGCAAACTCATGGTGCATTGTATGTCGGCGGAGCATTTGCAACTATTGGCACTGCGACTTGAGGATCGGTACGACTTGCATGTGGAATTTGGTCAGCCTCCGGTCGCTTACCGAGAGACATTGGTCAAACGCGTCGTCAAGGTGGAAGGCAAACACAAAAAGCAATCCGGAGGGAGTGGTCAATTTGGCGTTTGTTTTATTGATATGGAACCGTTGGAGGAAGGAGCGGGCATTGAGTTCGAGTCAAGAATTAAAGGAGGAGTCATTTCCAAGACATTCATTGCGTCCGTAGAAAAGGGAGTCCGAGAACAGTTGCAGGCAGGAGGTCCTTTGGGCGGATTCCCCGTGACAGATGTCAAAGTCACATTGGTGGATGGGAAAATGCACTCGGTGGATTCCAAGGACATTGCCTTTCAATCTGCTGGGAAACAGGCCGTGAAAGCAGCCTTGGAACGCGGCAAAACACGTCTCCTGCAACCCATGGAGAAGGTGACTTTTTCGATTGATACAAGCTTGCAAGGTGATGTCAATAGCATTGTTTCTCGCTTCGATGGATACGTCCTGAGCTCGACTCCTGGCGAAGTGGGATCGGAACTCGAAATGGAAGCCATTCTTTGCAGTGCGAGTATTGGTCAGGTATCCGACAGTTTGCGAGCTGCTTCCGCTGGCGAAGGTAGTTTCACGTCGGAGTTTTCCCATTACCAGCCGGTGCAGGACGATTTGGTCAAGGGCATCGTAGGAGAAAGCCATGACGACTGATTCTTCCGGGCCCAGTGCAGCTATATCGTTGAACGAACGCGCTTCCGTTGTGAAAACAACCTAACACACGCATTATCTACTGTTGTAACAAAAGAAGAAACTAAACATGCAAACATGAATCCAACAAGTCGTTCCAGTGCAGGCCCCGCCACCTCGTAGTCATCAACAAAACTCGGATACGGTCTTGTAGATGCATGGCTACCGTATGGCCAGAGTTCAGCCTTTAGCAAAGAATCCTGGAAGTGGGTGGGGCCCTGGGTTGGGGCTCTTGTTGAGTAGGTTCCGTCCTCCCCGGGGATTCAAAGCCTTCAAGTGGCGCTCATCAAGATTGGCATGGTTTAGCCCAGCTGGGATCCATCTGCTTGGGTTTCAAACTTGATCACTTCACATGGCCTTTTGTCTCCTTCAAAAAGTGCCGCAGCCATTCCTCGGCAATAGTCCACTCCCAGTCCTTCAAAGCCTGGAAGATCACGGACACCACAGCGTACAACTTTCCGTTTCAGGATGACTTGCATGGAGTCATTCAGCGCGTTATCCTCTCGACTATTGGAGATGACACCAACTGAATTGGAAAACACCACCCCGGTGGTCCCTTGTTATAGAGTTGAGTGTATCACGCGGAACAGTGGCGCCAAGGGTACTTTCATAGAGTCTCCCAAGTTGCCAGCGACAGTGAGTGCCCTCTGAAAGATATCTTTGTAAGCTTCCCCAAAGACACTTGTTTTGGAAAGAACAGGGCCTTGCTTCGAGTGATATTGTGATACTCAGCAACAAGAAGTGCCTCCAAGACGCTATTGACCAAATCATGGAAGAAAGGATCATCGTCTCTGGGGGCCATGGCAAGAGGGCCCCTGCTAAAGTAAGATTCAGACACCTCAAAGTCTCCTTCATAGCCCAAATACGCAGTAACATCTTTGGACCGTTCTCTCGCGACGAAGTTGCATGAACCGTTGGCCAACATCGTCAGGGATCCTGCCATGGTTTCCCAGGGGACAAGATATTGACAGAGAGAAGCCTTCAGGCTGGAGTACGAGGACGTTCGCTTTGTATCGTTGAAGCATCAGAATGGTGAATGTAGGTATTAACGACAGACAAAGAGGAGAAGAGGAGGCGTCTGCACAATTTGGCTGGGTCTTCATTTTGTTCCAAGCAATCAATCGAATAAATCTCGCGGTACAGTCGTACCGGCAAAGCCGCAAACATTGTAGTTATATTAACAAGGAAAGTTTCTTCCCATGCATATTAACTTAGGAATAACGAAGTCCCCGGAGGCTCGGAGGGATTAAGTTCTATAATTAGATTTGAAAACGGAAAGTTTCTTCCCATGCAGCACTTTCCCTCTGGACGTTACTTGTGGCTGCCAGTCGACTTGTTGCCATCTGTCTCGTCCTACCGGTACTGTATCAAAGTGAAGGGGGAGGGTGGACCATCATAGCAGATACCGTGGCGGATGGGTGTAACGGCGGCAGCACCCTACTGTATGGTTTGTTGCGTTGATTTATCGTCAATTGCTTCCACGTTCCACGACAAACAATCGATTCAAATCCACGTCTCGGGTCTGGCTTTTTTACAGCGTTCTCTTTGAGATCGAAGAAGAATGATGGGAACTGACATTCAGTTTTGCACTCTCGTGAAACTGCTCTTGTCACAACTCCGAAGTTGCTCTTATTGGCACACCTCCGACGCAACTCGAAAGCAATCCGACCAACATGTCCATCGTGAACCCCACCGGCATTATCCATATTGATATTTGGTACTATTTTCTGATCTTGGCGCTTGGTCCTGGCAGTGTTTTGTATCTCGTGTTGTTCCGTGCGAGACGCCAACGGTTGATCACTGCGTACCATGAAACTGGAGTGAAAGTGTTGGGGATGGTGACACATCGCAAGCTGATCGTCAAACGTGGAGTCGTTACAGGCATCGAGCAGTCGAGGACCCATCATATCCGCTACGCGTACAAGCCACCGGGATCTGACATGATTCACATCAAGAACTACGTGCAGGTGGGCCGGGAACATTTGCGGCGGCGCGTCATGGTCGTTGTGGTTCTACCCGGACAGCCCGAATCAGGAGTTCCCAAGTTTCTGCTCCCCAGTGGAGCGTCGTGTCTGGAATCATGGCCTGGGTATCTGGGTTGTTGGGCCATGTCACTAGCGTTCTTGGCGTATTCCGTGCTGGTGTTCGGCCTGCTCATTGCCTTTGAGCTACAAACATCTACACAATGCAAGGAAACCAATCACAGTCAAAAGCAATATACATGCAACGTCACCATTGCCGATTATTGGGAGGGATTGCTGGCTGTGCTCGTGTTGGGGGCACTTGGAGCCTACATTCAATTCCGATGCCAACAATCTGTCATTCCGGGCACTGTGTGGCGCAAAGAAGTCTGTTCTGTCACACCAGTAGTCGCCACTGCCACGCCAGTGGACTCGTCGTCGTCGTCGTCCTGGCGGCGATACACGAGGATGGACAATCGAGCTGAAATACCATTGGCAGAAGCAGCCGCGGTCCTCACTTCGGACGAGGCGGCACATGCCACCATTACTGTTCAATCTAGCGATGCAGTAGCGGTGCCCCGTTGCGTCCAACAAAGCGACGACGTCGAACTGGTCTCTCCCGGTACTATTACTGCTGCCGCCGTCTCAACAATATCCACAACAACGGGACAAGAGACCCCTGATGACAAGGAGGCGTTCATTGTGTAATACTGTTGTGGTTGTAAAAAGTGTCGATTGGCTTCAAAACTGGTCTCGACGGCGGCACTCGCAAAAGACATCCTATAACTACTAATATGATACTCATATATATACCGAACTGAATGTCTGCATGCCTGACATTGTCAATTGTATGGCCATCGGATACTTCTATGGTTCATCCTCCGCAACGAATCCTGGAAGTGGGTTGAGTACGGTAGGTTCCAACCAACTCCACGATACGAAGCTTCCAGAGGCCCCCCAGCGGTCCAAACGTGATACAACTTGTAGCATAGTTGGAAGTTGAGTGAATGACCACACGCTTGAATGAATTTGCATGTATATACGACCCGCAGCGACCTGGACTTCTCGTACTGGAACATAGTCTAGTTTTAGCAAGGGTGGGCCGGGCAGTCTGCAGTCGCTTTGGAACAGTGTGGTTCGATTCGATTCGATTCGATTCGATTCGATTTGCTTCGATGATTATTCGATGATTTCGAACCATGCGACCGTTGCGGTGCAGATGGCTATGGGGGCACCCCTGAAATGAAAGGGGGTGGGTATCTTTTGTGAGGTCACTCGCCAAAGGTACCGGAGTGCCAAAATTTCGTCGCCGTTTCATCATCTGGACTTTTATCTATCTGCCAGCCAACAAACTCAACTCGATCAACAAACTCCATGGGCATCCATTCGTCTTTTTGATGAGGGCATAGTACCAGGTACGGTAGATACGGTAGCTCTACCGGTACAGACTAGTACATGGTACATAGGCTATAGGCAATGAAGGAATCCAAAGCTGACCAAGATCCCAGCCTGAAGCAGGCTGCTACCACTAGTACCACTACTACCGAGTCTTCTTCCACAGCTGATAATGGCAATGATACCGGTACTCCACCCAAAGCCAAAGCCAAGACCAAGGCCAAGAGTTTCTGGATGGACTTAAGGCAACCGCAGAATGTCACTCCAGTTCAAGCAGTTCAAGCTACCCTATCCCCTCACTCAGAAGAAGGTGCTGAAGAAGTAGTAGAACCCAAAGGCAAGGCTGATCAAGAGGGTGAAGATCAGACACGCCCACAGCAGAGTATTCATCTACCAATGAGAGAACCAAAGGCCAAAAATGAAAGCAGCAATCATGACCAGAAGCCAGTGGATGTGGATGTGGATGTGGATGTGGATGCTACCATTGCCCCTAAAGCTGTTCCCAGCTCTGAAGAAACTGGTGCTGAAGAAGAAGAAGAAGAAGCCAAAGACCAGGCGGATCAAGAGGAGGAACAAGAGGCGGCACAGCAGATCTCGAGTGTGAATCCTCCAATGAAGACAAAAAAGGGAAAAGGAAGAAATAGACTCAACAATCGACGCAGATGGAAAAAACTCAATGCTGGAACTGGAAAGGTGTGGAAAGGAAGACCATCTAGGCCTGTACATGCAAACAGCAACAGAGCCATTGATACTACATATAGTAGCAATCAGAAAGAAGATCCAACAAACAATCCACAGATAGAAAAAGAAGAGCCAAACAGAGTAGAAACAGATCCACAGGAGAAGAAGGATATGCAGGAGAAGAAGGAACCACAGGAGAAAAAGAAAGCAGTCCAACTCATTGACACAGAAAAGGATAAACCAACACCAGCACCAAAACAAACACAAAGACAAGTCTCATCCTCCTTCCCACGGTGTGCTCAACAGTACCTATGGAGGACTCTTCTACAAGGCAATACCGCTTCCACTTCCACCACCACCACCACTGATACCGGTAGAGCACATGTCAAGCAAAACAAACCCAAGAGAACTCTGTCGGCGAAAGCCAAAGAGTTCATTCCACCATCCCAACAACAGCAATCCTCCATTTACGCAATGACAACCCAAACATCCTCACGTATTGTAACCCCACAATCCTATCCAAGTCCAGCCCATGCTACAGATTCTATCCTTCTCAAGAAGAAAACAACAACAACAACAACAACAAACAAAATATCCAACACTGCAGCATATTTGGTTACCCCGTCACCGCAACCACAACAACCACCATCAAAACAATCGTCGTCCTCAGCAGTCGTTGACGAGCAAACCAATAGCCATCAAACGGTCATTAGCCCACACGATCACGATACGCCAGAAGGACCGGACTGGGCCGGAGTCTACGATCACCTTTATGCGTTCAGTGATGATGAAGAGGAACAGGAACTGCAGACCCCACGACGGCGGCGTCCACTAGCGTCGTTGGCGTATACACCCACCACCGCCGCCAGTAGCAGTCAAGCATCCACCACCGACATGATGGAACCGTTGTTGGATGCCGAACTCATGTACCGAAAGTTGGCGTCCTTTGAGGAACCCAGTCTCGTCACGGACAGTGGCAGTTGGGACTTTGACGACGATTATGACGATGATGCATTCCTGCAGATGGAGGAGGAGCAAGAAGAGGATGATGATGAGAACGGCGTCTACGATCATTTTGCCGAAATGGCCGAATCGGAAGACGAATTTTGGGATCGATTGGAGTCACTCTATTCTTATTATACCAACTGCGACGGCAACGGCAACGGCGACCATCACGAGGACCATCACGAGGACAAGACGACGATGGAATTGATTCGATATGCCTCTCAAAAGCTTCGCACCACGTACGGGGAGAATACTACGAGTGCACGTCGGCGTGTGGTAGCGACAGCCGCGACATGGATCCAATCGTCTCCTCCAAACGAGGAACAGGGGCAACAAGGGTGGTGGATGCGATCGGGGTTCCGAAAACACTTGTTGGGGATTTCGCAAGAGACACAACCAACACCAAATAATAATAATACGCCGCAACCAACAGTCCACAAAAAGCCATCTGGGGAACATTCCAAAGGGGGCACCCTCCAACCGGAAGAAGCTGCATGCCGAGTTCAACATTGGTGGCGTGGTCGAACACCAAAACATCCCAAGGAGCCACGATTGGAGCATACTCAAGCCACAAAGGAGGACGCAGAACGTGCGGCCGTTCAAAGGCGACATACTGTCAGCTATGCAACGTCTAAACCTGTTGAAGTGCCGTCGTCCCTCGATGAGTCCGCAGCGGCAACCGCAATCCAGCATTGGTGGGTCGTCCGTAGATATAGTGAAACCGCAGGCCGCATCATTGCCATTCATTCACCATCTGCAGAGGATACCACGTCTCCACCGAGCGAAATGATGGCGGCGGCACTTCTTCAACTCTGGTGGAGGAAGAAATGCTCTGTGTTGCGTCAGACTCTCGCCCTTTCAAGCGATGTTGGTGAAGTATTGTTGACACAAGAACGAAATGCCCTTTCCGAATCAAACGCGGCAAGTCGCCTTCAGTGTTGGTGGAAGAACATCAGATCCACCAGGGCCGCCAAAGTGCCAAACCAGCTTTCAACTTCTCCTGATTTCCTGCCTGAGCAGACCACAGCAGCCTTGATTCATTGTGATGAAGGCGACCACCCCCCTACAGAGCTCATCAATTCACCACTCGACCCGATAGATATACTTTCGCCGACAACTGCTGTAAGCGTGCTCCCTGAAGCCAGCGTGCTGAGTACTGCAGCTGCGCTAAAGCTTCAGCGTTGGTGGAATGCGACGAGAGGCAGCACAAAGAACATTCATGCATCACCACTTTTGGAATTCTCCCCTCCTGAATTGGATGAACAAGCAGATTCACGCCCACCAAGGGTGCCAAAGACTCCAGCAGAAAAATTCAACCTGAAGGAGTCCTTGTCCCTGCCGACTGCCGTGTTCCCAGAGGCAAGCGTGTTGAGTACGTTAGCTGCGCGAAAGCTTCAGCGCTGGTGGAAAGCTATGAAAGTCAGCACAATGCAAATTGAAGAAACTCTAATGCTGGGGCCCGTTGTTCTAGAATTCTCCGGGGAAAAGGACGAAAAAGAAGACTCACCAGACAAGACTTCAGGGGCCACAAAAATCAGGTGGGAAGGTATGCTGGCTGCTCTCGATGCTAACGTTGAAACGGGATCGGAGATCGGTCCAAATGAACAGAGTGACAAAGCGTGCTTCGCTCAGCCATTGTCATCCACTCGTGACAGTTTCGATGTACGGGTAGGAGCAGCCCGTTCCATACAGCTGTGCTGGCGGCGTTCTACCAGGCGTGGGAAGAGTCAGGTTGGATCTTTTGACCCGGGCGAATCTTCCGTTGCGGTTTCCCAGCTCCAGCAAGAAGAACAACAGGCGCGACAGCCTTTTGCCCCTGAGTCGCCTCGAGGCCAAACTGTAGAATCGAAATCAGCACGTCGGTTACAGCGATGGTGGAAGCATGTCACAATGCGTTGCGAGATCGATAGTACAGAGGAGCGACCGATGAATCAGCCTTGGTTTCGGAGCGAGAGAAATAACGATACTGCGTCGCTTGCGTTGTCTGAGAAATCTGCTGCTCGGCTTATTCAGAAGTGGTGGGCGCTGGTTTTGTCGACGCGACGCAACGATCTTGATGGCCACTCCAGCCAAGGTGGAAGCAAAATCGACCCTGTTCGTCAAGAGCATGCATCTCTGGAGCAGAACATGACCAGCGGCAAGGACGAGGCATTTCGTAGAAGCGAACCATCTGACGACGACGTTGTTTCAGAAAAGGAAGCAAGGTTGCAGATGCTTGCGGCCGCCTTGGAATATCGAACTCAAGTCATTGCTGCAATGGACAAGCAGTTGTGCTCGTTGCAGAGAAGCGTGGATGAATTCGCTGCTGCCATGCAGGTTCAACAGTGCCCGGATGGGTTGGTTCCTTCGAGTCAAATCCAAGGAGGGGCTGCGGACGGTGTCCCGTCGACCAGAGCTCTGCTGCAATCAATGCCTAAGGATGCACCCAAATCAGAATTTCGGAGTAAAGAAGCTTTTTCTTCTCTGAGCCTCGGCCAAGACAGCAGTTTTCCTGACCACACGAAACAACCATATTCACGCAACAGTGATGAAATTGAGGCATTGAAGCATGTCAAGTGTCTGGACGATCCAAATAATTCTGATGCTGCGCCATTTGCATCTTCTGCTGTTATGCAACAGCGGAAAGAGCTGCAAGAAAAGCAGTCGCTCCTGTGCAGCAGTGATCCAGTTGCCTCGGACGGCTCCTCTTCGGAAATGGATTATCAGGCACTGGTCGCTGAGCAGGGTGAAGTCGCCGATGATGAATCAGTTGTTATCCCACCGAGCTCAACAGACTTCAACGCAATCTTTCACTTGCAACCTGATTCGGTTGAACCCATTGCCAGAAAAAATGATCACAAGAGTGAGGCGCAAGAGCTTCAAGGCCCACCAATCCTGCAGCAACAGGCAGAAGTGGCTCCACCGACTAGAATCCAAGAAGATCAGTCATCTGTTTGCCATGAGGGTGTTTCCAATCTCGAAGTGCCAGGAGTAGCCCTGGTTGCATCTCCCGGCTCAACAGTCAAGCAAGCCTTTCCTCGGCAGTCAACACCCTTGGTTGCACTCAGCAGCGCGGAAGCAAACGCAGTGGAGCCCATCCAGCAAGCTCAATCAATCATCAGCACAGAGAGCGACAGCCCGATCCGACGGTATTCTCATAGCGACCGAAGCTTGACCCCAGTATCAGCCCACAACCGGTCTCACCCATCGACTGAGCAGAAATTGCCAGAGGGACAAGCCGAGCTCCTGCATGTCGAGTCCTCCGCTGCTTTACGCGATGAGAGCGCTATGGTCGTGGCTGTGCGAGAGGAAGAACAGTTCAATGCCGAAGCCGAAGCCAGAATGTTAGAAGGTGAAAGACCAACCGAAACTCCAGGCAAAGATCCAATGGCGACCAAGCTCCAAAGTTGGTGGAGAATGGTTGTAGTCCATAGAAACTTCAAGCGTCTTGTTGCAGTGGCAAGGCTGCTTCCAGAACGGACACGACACCTCATGCTGTCCAAGGTACATGGCCCAGAATGGGGTTTTCAGGTCCGTTCCTGGCAGCTACAAAGCAGGAGCAGGGACGGCGATGATGACGATTTCTGCGAGGGCTATGTTGCACCAGCCATTCAGCTCCAAGCTTGGTGGAGGATGCTAGTGACACAGAGAAACTATAGACGGCTGAAAGCGACCATCATGCTCCTTCCAGAGCGAACGCGACATCAAATGTGCTCAAAGATTCATCGCCCTATACAGTGGGGATCTCAGGTCCGCTCTTGGCAAGACCTGCAAAGCAAGAGAACGCCTGTTGAGGGGGAGAGTAGTGCCACATCTGCCATCCAGCTCCAATGCTGGTGGAGGAGGCTGGTTGCACAGAAGAACTATGGACATCTACAGGCTACAAAGAGGTTCCTCCCTGACAGAACGAAGAGCTGTATGCTCTCCAAGGTACAGGGCCCAATGGTTTGGGGGTCTCAGGTTCGGTCATATCTGGAGCGAAACAGATTCGTCGACGAGTTTCATGTTTAACAGTACGATTGTAGTACTACTTGTAAACTATCTGTCTCTGTTGGCAGGCCCTCCTGATTCGTGGAACCTTGGAACGAGTCGAGTCGAGTCCAGATCGATCTGGTGTCCACGCTAGTGCTGTGTAGAAGTCTCGCTGCGTTAGCTTCAAGCGGAAGCGTGGAAGACTGCAGAGCCACGCCAATCCCAAAATTTCATCCCCATGCGGTTGCAAGTACTAGTAAAGAGCCAACGGCGTCTTCAAGACACAATACAGGTTGCGCTTCAACACTCCGAAGTGAACGAAAAGCACAACGTGCAATGCCATGAACAGCAAGAAGGATAGGTACCGTCCTACTCATCGGGTTCAAGTGGATGTTGTGCAAATCCACCTGAATGGGTGGAAAAGTGCAATAATTCGAACAAATCTTTCATCGACAAAAATCGCAAGTTCAGTTAATCTGCCGTGTAACGGAGACGGCGTTGCGATTCCAAAGAGAATCCAAGTGGCGGAAGGCAGCGAAGTCATCTGCAAGGTAATTCGAAACAACAACCCCAAGAAAGCCAAGCGTCAGCCTTGGTTTGCCGTTTTCTGTGAGCCCAAAGCAAGAATTCAGGCACCATCCTGGTCCTCTTGGCAAGGTGGAAAAGATGCGTTGATCTTGAAGCTTCCATCGACAAAACCCGGTTCTGCTCATCATGGGATCATACTAGCATGTTGGAAATGTGGCGAGAAGCTTGTGGAACCCGACGAAATCTCTTGCATTAGGAACGCTTGCGTTTGGACCAGGACAAGTTACTGTCCACAGCTTCGCTTGGACGCCAACAAGGACCGCAATAACGTCAAAGAGTGTGTTGTTCAGAAAGTTCGCTGTGCCTGCCAGAACATCGTGGGCTCGTACTACCCGTGCAGGTACAAGGAACCTGCTAACGAGAGCCACGAAGGACAAGCGTTCCCATGCTTCAAGCTCGTTACGGTGCGGGAGAGAAGGAATTGGAAAGGGAGCGAACCATCTTTTGCAACGGTTCTTCTGGGTGAAAAGGCAGTAATCGAAAGGAGCATAGCAAACCTTAATGTCAGTGTAGAATGGGAGATCGAAAAGCACTTCCACGCTGGCGGTCGGATCGATAAAGCAACCATGGAGAAGGCAAAGAAAGCTATTCAAGCTCAGGAGATGGCCGACGAGCGTGTGCAGAAAGCTAAGAAAGCAGCCAACGCAATGGTGGCGGAAGCAGAAAGGCAAGCCAAAAGCCGCTGAAGCGGAACTACTGCGACGGGCTCAAGAAGCCGAGTCTCTCGCAGCAGCCAAGGCAGCAGAGGCAAAGGCAGCGGAAAAGCGTGCAAGGAAAGCTAAGCAAGCCGCCGATGCAACGGTGGCGGAAGCAGAAAAGCAAGCCAAAGCCGCTAAAGCGGAACTACTGCGACGGGCTCAAGAAGCCGAGTCTCTCGCAACAGCCAAGGCAGCAGAGGCAGAGGCAGCGGAAAAGCGAGCAAAGGAAGCGGAGAAACAGATGGTTGATTCCAACACTGCTGCGAATCCCCAATCAAAACGAATTGTGTGGGAATGTAAAGTGGAAGGCGTATGGATTCCGTACTCATTGGATGTAACTGCTGCTCTTGAGTCGAGTTTCTCAAATGGAATGAAGGCTGCTTTTGCAATGCACAGTGGGAACTACGAAGTTGACTTTTCCACGATGCGGCAGCGGAACGTTGCAACGAGCTTTGAGCGAGAAGTACGCCGGGGAGAACTAGAAAGAGATGGACGCACTCCACGGATATCGTGGGAGTGCAAGATTGATGGCGGTTGGATTCAGTACCCAGTTGACGTTGCACAAATCTTGCAAACCAACTATGAGAAAAAATCGAAGGCGAGATTCCACCTCAACAATAGTCAATATGAGATTGACTTCCAGGTGGACAAGTTGGAGCAAGTGAATACCATATCTGGCTTCAAACGTCGGGTTCGCCGTTCTGTGGACTCCACAGCGACCGAAGCTCCCAGTACGAGAAATGTTCCGAAAACTTGGGCGAAGAACGCCACTGGTCAAAACTGCGAGTTGGTCCCGGTATTAGAAAGTTCAGATGAATGGCGAAACGTTGAAGAGGAGCTGACTGCAACGCTCCCACAAGCCAAGCTGTACCAAGTCTTGCGGGTCCAGAACGAGATGCTCTGGGAGTACTTTTGTTTTAGGAAGGATAGAGCGACGAAGCTATCTGGAGGAGGGGACCCCAACGTTGTCCGAGTCTGGCACGGTACTCGCCAGACTGACCCCCAGGTCATCTGCAAGGACAAAGCCGACGGTTTCATGATGCAGCACAGCCGATGCGGAATGTGGGGAAAAGGCATCTATTTCGCCGCAAGGGCTAGTTACAGCCACGACTATGCGCGAGAAGAGAGTCGCGTGGTGGAGAACACGGGCTTTCTTTCGCGCTTTTTCAATCAAAGGAAACTGACAGTTCGGACCCTGATTCTGGCCAAGTTGGTTGCCGGTGAAGAAGTTGCACTCCAACCAGACAACTCCCTTCGTCTCTGCCCAGAAAAACGCGGTGGGAACGGAAGGTATGACACCGTCACAGGTACCACCAATGGCAGCAAGGTGTACGTAGTCTATGAAAATGGTCGAGCTTATCCCGAGTATCTTGTGACGTACACGAGCTGAATTGACGATGTCTGAACGGGTCGATAGATGAAAGAATGGGTCAACTGGAGCTCAAGTTGAGCCACCGAATTTATATTATATCTGCGATAGTATGAGTTATTGTGCTTGCAACTCCTGTGGCCAGGTCAGGATCACGAGGGCTGGGACTTTTTAGCCTTCACAACTGGTTCTAAAAGAGCCCTAAACCCCCGTAATCCAAGCCACTCGAACTACGTAATGAAAGAGAGTTTTTGTGATGGAACTTTCATAAAAATACAGGAATTATATATATGTGCCACAAATCATATTCACGAGCCACGCACATCAATCGGAACTTGAGAGAAGAAATAAATTGGCATATTAGTCTAGCTAGGAGGCAGCCACGGTAGATCTGGAGATATCTGACTTTCGAAACGAGAAACCCTTTTTGAACATGCTCCTGCCACTGGAACGAGTACTCTCGTCGATTTCAAAAGCCTGAGAATCGTAGTCACATTCTTGGGCATGTCGCCAGAGAGATTGTCTCGATCTCATGGCACGTTTCTTGTTGTTGTTGGTTCGTTGTCGCTTGCCAAACCAAGAGGCTCTTGAGGGCTTTCCTTCCACGGGGGGATTGCTGCTGTTTGCAGCTGCTGCAATAATGCGTTCGTCGTCTTCTGCTTCTGCTAATGGTATAGGAACTTCAATGGTGTTGTTGCCGACGGCGGTATCCTCTTCCTCGTCCCGACTTGCAGCCGTGCCAGTATCAGAGTCCTTTGCAGACTTGATCTCCTCCTCCTTCTTCTCCTCCTTCATATCCTCCTCCTTATCATCATGCGCCTCGACTGATTTCGCTTGCTCTTCCACTTGCACTGACTCTTGCACTTGACTGCGATCGGCTTCTTTCTCGTCCGAGAAGCAAAATGCCCGTTCCAAGATCTTCAATTCCATTTCGCCGCCACAAGGCACATCGGTAAAGCACAAGATTCGCTCCATCTCGGTCGTTGCCTTTTGAATCATCGCAATGGTAGGCAGGTTTGACAATGGAGGTTCTGTTCGTAATAAGAGCGGTTCCTTCCCTTGACAAGCAGGTGCACGTTGACGCAGCTTCCCCAACGACATGGAATTGGGCGAATGTTGCCCGCAACGGCTCTTGATTGCCAGAAATAGAAAAAGTGACCAAAAATTTGGTTCATCCGTGGATACTTTTGAGTCGAGTCAAGTCCTCAGTCATGGATGGCGGCAAGTTGTGATCGCTATCAAGCGTCTCCAGCAGATCTTTTCCAGTGAGATCCAAGCTTTTGAATTCCCGCCCAGGCTGGCGTGGTCCATTTTCGAAATTGTGATCATTCGAGCCAACAAAAAGAAGAAAGGCACAATACATGTAATAATATACCCACCATACTAGTAGTCTACCAACAGCTCTACCAACCAGTCAGCCACCATGATGAGACAGCTCTACATGTTTTCCCAGTCAGTCATCAGCATCTCTGCCATCAAGATTCTCAGCATGAAAAAGCGCCAAGGAAACGAAGTAACTGCCCGTGGATGGAGTGGTCTGTGACCATGAAAAAAGGGGCACGAAAAGTACCAATGGTGGTTTGTTTCCAACTGCTGTCAACGACCGTGGAAAGATGTCCAAATGCACCCATGCTGGCCAGAAGCTTTTCCTCGATTCGAAAGAGCCGCTTTTGGGCTAATATTTGACTGTACATGTACTAGCAGGGAAGATGTTTGTTTGCTCCCCTACCGTACAGAAGAAAGGTAGAAGGTGGCTTATTGTGGGGAGGAAAAGAGGACAGAGATCTTGTCTTTTTGGCGGTGAGCACGCTTGGCTTCCCTGTTTTCATCCATGGCAACAAGGGGAGTACCACTATGATAGCTCTCTAATACTTTAGTTCGTAATATCTGAAGATTTAAGCATTTTACTTAGCAAAGTGCTTTATGACACCAGCCTTGCAACTCGCGTCAAAGTGGTGTGGAAACCCCACGGATTGATCATGTAACTGCTCGGTTGCTACATGTATAGTGTAGCTAGCAGAGCCGCTAGCACCCAGATGTTTGGCGAACTTCAATTGAGTCGTTTGCACACAGAGTTAGATTGTTGCAAAGCAAAGAGTAAACTGGAATAGGTGACGTTGCGGAGGAGGTTGATCAGATCCCCAAGCGAAAGATTGCTGATCAGATAAATGTTATGGCTAAAGGGCTAATACAGGAAAGAAGCTAACCTCGAGCTCGATGTTGCCAGAAATGGTTGGGATTTGCTACGGAAGGCCAAGCCGACGCAATATTCGCTGCTGTAGAAACATGCAAATTGATCTTTATTTTGCTTAATGCATAGCTGGCTGGTCAATGACCTGGAGTTCCCCCATCCACCAAGGAACTTCTGTGGAAACAGTCCGTAAGAGTGCAGCCTAAGAGCGCATCCTAATCCTTGCTGCTGCGGCGGCAGATTGGGTCTGGCTCAGGAGCCAAGCATAGGACAATGCTACATCCAAAATACAGAATGACTGCAGCTGTCATAAACCCAGAGGCATCGTTGAAGGAGCACTCCTTGTCATCCACAGTACAGAGATCTGACCCATAAAAGAGGAAGGAAATTCCACCAAAAGCCCATGCTAGGAAGAAGGCAATGCCCTCCAAAACTCGAGCACAGCAAATCTCACAGCACAGCCATTCAAAAGTGACCATGACTCCGGCAATGAATCCAGCACAAATGGATACGATCAAGCATGTTCTTCCTGCCAAAATCATCTCATCTTCGGTACTGAAGACCGTGTCTTGGCAGGTCCCCCCATTAGTAATACTGTCTTGAAAGAAGAATCCCCAGGTGGATCCACTTGCTTCATCATCAACTTTGACGAGCTCGCAAGACATTGCAGTTAGAATTGACAAGGCAAGCTGTTGTTGGAATGAAAGAAGATGGAGGGAGTGTGTGTGAGAGGGTGAAAGATACAGATCCACTGCATTCGAAATATCAAGAAATAGAATGACTTGACTCACCGCAATGGTTGTTGCACCAACAATTAGGAGGCGAGAAATGTTTCCAAGGGCTTGGCACAATCCCATGATTATTGATTGGGTTTGGTAGAACGTGGAGCGTAGAAAATGAAGCTTGAGCTGATGAAATTGAAATGTGGACCCGTGAGATTTGCCACAGAAGAAGATTTGTGGGAAAAGGATCGATTGATAATTGATGCGGATGCTTCCAAAAAGTGTGTGTTGTTTTGGCTTTGTTTTTTGGCTTTGGAGTTTGTGAGAAGGTGATCAGGCTTGAAAACCCCACAACAGTGCATGGTTTGGTACCGGTACACGCTTTCTGGATTCCTGCATGTTCGCTGGTGCTCGCCATCGTGGTGTAAAGTCACCTTCCGTGAAAGCCTGCTAAACTAACTGGGGTGCAAAGATCCAGTTCAGTCGGGGATACTGTACTTGGAATGGTGTGCTTTATCCCGCACCAAAGTTTATTCCGGATACCGCACATCACCCTCACAAAAGATCGGCCATAGCATACAAAAGATCGGCCATAATAGATAGTCGTACTCCTGTATCACAGAGCACAGCCATGCATGAATCGCAATGACTACCAGCGAGAAGGACCGTGATTTTGATCCATTGGACGGCTGCGTGTGGCCTGATCCCAATCCTGTTTCCCATGGCAATTGTCAGAATGGATTGCTGTTGAACGATGTGTCTGGGCTGAGTGAGACTTTGGTGAGCCGCATTTTCTTTCCCAAGACGACCGCAGACGTGGAGAGTGTTCTGAAGCAAGCTCTAGATGACGACAAGCGAATTGGCATTCGAGGAACTCAGCACAGCATGGGTGGACAGTCGTTGCAGCGAGATGGGTATATCTTGGATATGAAGTACTTGGATCACTACCAATATTCCGCACAACCAGAACAAGAAGAAGAAGACGTCATCACGGTCGGTACTGGATGCACCTGGGCCACTGTCATTCGAGCACTCAATCCGCACGGAAAGTCTCCGTGTGTCCTACAGAGCTACTGCAACTTTAGTGTGGGTGGAACTTTGAGTGTCAATGCACACGGGATTACCTCGGACGACACCATGGCATCCTGTGTCAGATCCTTTGTCTTGGTACACTATGATGACGCGCAAGAAGGAATGGTACGCACTACCCTTTGCACACCCCAACATGAATTGTTCTCGCTCGCATTGGGGGGATACGGACTCTTTGGAGTCATTACCGAAGTGACCTTGGCCGTCACGGACAATAGCGATTTGATTCTGGATTCTCTCAAGAGTCTCAAAGTCACACCACCAGAGGCATCTAATGCAGATCCAGACGACCCACGTTCCGAATTTGAGCGAATTTGGGATGCGTGTCGAGAGGATCCCTCGGTAGATATTAAATTGGCACGGCTCAATATCCTCACGCTCGAGACCGCGTCCTTGTATGTATTTCGCAAAGACGGATTGCCCGTGGCGTCTCGACTGCCCATGCGGCCCAAGGAAATATCCGCCGTGGGGCGACTTCTCTACAAGTGGGCATTGCCACTGCTCAAAGACTACCGGCAGTACCGAGAAGAAACCCAAGGACAAGCCATCGACATGCCACCTCACAACCACGAGACGACACGAAATGAAGTTTTGTGGGAGAGTGCCACGCCCTTGTCCAAATTGTACACTCCGTTCATGGTGGCACACGACAGTTTTGTACTCCAAGAATTCTTTGTGCCGCAGGATCAATTCCAGCCGTGGATCCAACAAGCACGGCCCATTTTTCAAGAGATAGATGCCTACCAAAAACAGGGAACGGACCAAGTTCCTCCGCAGTCTTTGGTATTGCTGAATACGACAATTCGCTACGTCAACCAGGATGCCATCACTGCCCTGCCCTACAGTTATTCTCATCATCATCATCATCATCAAAAAGGCTGCTATGCCTTTGTCTTGTACTATCGCATCCGCAAAACTCCCCCGGTGGAACTGGATCTGGGAAACTTTCACAATCGTCTGGCGGAAATTGCAGTTGGCATGGGTGGAACCTTTTATCTGCCGTATCGGAAATGCTACGACAGCAATCTTCTGAGGCAAGCGTATCCCCAAATTGAAGCATTTGCCAAGAAAAAGGAACTACATGATCCTAGGGGAATCTTTAGCAACGCTTGGTTTGAACACTATTTGCTGCCCATGTGCAGTGCAGAGTTCCAAGCGAAATGGACACAAGACACAAGCAAGGAGAATACTCCGGAGCAGCCGGACAATAACGTGGTCACTACCGATGCCATGGCAGAGGAAGATTTCGTGAAGGCCTTGCCTCGAAACGACGACCCCGACCTGACGCGCCGCAGCAACTCGTTTCGCAAGCTACTTCGGAACCGTAGCTTGCTCAAACAGTTTGAGCAGGAGTTCCTGGTCCATGTGTTCCACATTGCCAGCCCGGCTGATGTCACACGCATCATGGCGCATGCTGCGGCGGATCCTCGAAACCGTGATGATGCCGATATCTACAAAGTTGTTTACGATTACTTCCAGAAAGAATCATCCCCGGTGACAAAGGCGCAGCGTGGGTGGCGAGGAATTCGGCAATTGTGTCGTCAAAAGGCAGAATTGACGCACCAAACGGCTGCCATGCTCCATCGTCTCGGATTGTTGGGTTGTATTCGAAGCTACGTGTCTTTGGGTGATCATGGCAAGACTGTCAGGTCGTTCCAGGAAGCGCAAGTATTTGCAAGTGATTATCAAGTGTGGATTGCGCACAAGTTCGAGCCTGACGATGAAACTTCGTTAAACGTTGTCCTGGAGAGATGTGGCATGGATCCTGTAGGAGAGAAAGTCCCATTTGACTATCTGGAAGACGAACCCAGCGAGAAACTGAGCGTCATTCCCTCTGGAGTAGTGGACTTGGTAACCATCAATCAAGGCCTCCACCACATGCCACCATCCAAGCTGTACGGAGTCCTCTCGGAAGTTTACCGAATGCTGGCTCCAGGCGGGTTGTTTATTTTTCGAGAACACGATCTACGGCTAGAGCCATCTTCGACCTCGGGCACAAATACTGATGTTGCGATGTTGGACATGGCTCACAGCATATTCAATGCTGTCACGGGTGTTTCTCCGGATGATGAAGCCTCGGAAATCAGGGCCTTCAGGCCATTGACTGAGTGGCGCGATCTTTGTAGAAGGACGGGCTTTGTCGATACTATGCTATACGGTCTAGAAGTAGGAGATTGTACGTACGATTTTATGCTGTGTTTCCGCAAAGAAGGCAACCCAGAAACCATCCAGCGCCCAGCAGATTTCTTTTCCTCCCAGACCAAACGGATGGATCCTCCCGAGCTGCCGATCTTTGGCGCTGTTCGCACCTTGCTCTCTCAAGTACCGGCCTTCGTGGGCATATATGCCGCTGACGGGGTCAACCTGCTTCTGGCCAATCTGCCGAGGCTCCGAAGCGCTATAGATCAGTTCATTCTTTGCGATTTGCCAGAGGCTCTGCAAGCTGATGCTCGATGCCAGGAATTCTTGGAAACAGAACAGTTTCTTGAGATTCCCAAAAAGATCCACGGGCTCTTTGTGTTGTTCGTCAATAAGCTACAAGAGTTGGGAACTGGAGCCAAGTCGCTTCTCGATGCCGGACAAGTTCGTCAGATATCAAATATTGCGGGACTCCTGTCAATGAAAGAAGTGTGGCTCATTCTCCCGACGATAAAGCGCCGATCCGTTCAAACACCGGAGGCTGTCGAACGCGTGGAGCAGATGGTTCTAGAGTTCGTTGAGGAAAACATACCAATGCTACTTCAAGTTGGGGAAAGCAAGCAAGAACCTGACGCCCCGGCAAACGAGAATGCTGCGTCTCCCGGCTCGCCTGAAGCCGACGAATCCGTCACGGCGGAAGAGGTTATGCTTATGATTGAAACTCTTCAATCGGAAATACCAGGCATTTTGGATCCCAAAGTCGTCCTTCCGAACAGCGGTTTCACGCTGACCCAACAATCTGCCTTGGTGGGAGCTTCGGCCTCATCTGACCTGCATGCGTTTGCGGAGAGGGTGGCTTGGCTGCATGACAGGTCTTCCTTTACTGAGCTTCGCGACGCCCTCGTAGGACCGAATCAAAGCGTGCTTCAGACCAAGCATTTGCCGACCAAGGATCGGCTCTTGTCGCCTCAGCATCCGTGGCATCGGTCTATGATCGCATTTTTCAAAGGACCGAGAGTTATCCTCAACCAATCCACATTGTTCGGTGTTCGTATGGTGGGACTTTCCGACTTCATTGATGTATACAACGAAGCCAAAACTCTTGCGCAGCGAGAACAAGCCCGCCGGGCAGAAAATGCATCCGGTCTTTCATCTGATGCTGTCGCTGTATTGCAATTCCTCACCAAGGAAGTCTCCTCGGATGAGCACATCAAGGAAGTATCTATTCGGTTTGATGCCGGTGGATCACATGGCTCACGCGACCTGTTTGATGTTGGTGAAATCCTTTTTGCCTCGTTTGGGTACAGCAGCCTCACGAGCAAGCCAAGCGACGTTACGAATGAACTAAAGGATCTCCAGCGGTCACTCGCTCTGGGGCGGCGATCTGCAAGTGGTGCCGGGAATCCAATTGTGACGAGCTTGATGGAGGAACCCCATGCCGGTCGTCCAGGTTGGCTGCCGGTGCGAGAAGAGATACTCAAGGGATTTCGAAACCGTGGAAATGCCACCCAGGCGGGAGACTCGGCGAGAAGGTTCGTTGTTAAAGCCGGTACGCTTGGCATGGCTGGATCCAACAATCTCAAGGTGCAGTACCGCCCATTGTGGACATCTGTCCCAGCCGGCGATGTGGCCAATCTGTGTCAGTTTGCACAAGGAGCCAACTTGGTGGATCCCACTTTCCACGCCAATGACGGACACTACATGTGGTTCAAGCTTCCGGAATGGATGCAGGTCGAAGTCATTTCCAAGTTGGCAACGAGTCTTGATCATACTCCTTGGTACTACTTTCCTTTCTCGGAGTTCATGGCAAACTACTTTCGCGTCTTGCTGCAGGTCTGCCTCATTGTCTCCAAGGAGTACGGTCTTGTGACGGCATATGCAAGCGTCCCGTTCTTCTACGACCTTGTTCCAGGCATCATCATGTCGGCCTTGTTTGCGCAGCTTCAGGCACTTGCCGTTCCCATCACAAAAGCACTAGAACCACCGAATGAGGCCGTCATGGTGGAAGAAATTCTGTTCCTGATGCCCTTCGACAGTTCTTCTCATCTTCATGAGAGTCCGCAGTCACTGCTCAAGAGGTTGGTGGATAGCCGGATCCGCAGCGCTCATCTCATCTGTAAACCCATCAGCAATAAGGGTGGAATGGGACTTTATCGAATGGTGGTTCCAACGTACAAGGCCATGGGTGAGATTCTGGTCCAAATGGCACTTGCATTGCCTTCTGCGCGTTTGTTGCAAATCAGCAACCAGCAAGTCGTTCAAGTCCTGTTGGCAGTGTCCTTGGAAGAAGAAGAAGAAGAAGGAAGACCACTAGCAGCAGGGAACAACGACACTGTGGATTCGACAGTCCGCAAGATCAACAACGTGGAAGGATTGGAGGTTGTGATGCGCTTCCAGTACCCCGCCGACAACATTGCTCGACGTCTCGAGGGCGAAACCAAGGCACGAGAAGTGCACTTGGCAGTCAAGGCACAGGTCTGCCAGTTGCTGACCCTGCTTCACATGGTGTCGTGGAACGACCGCATTACCGTGAAGCAAATCTACGATTTTTGGGCTTAGCTACGACAAGCTCACTATAGCCCAGTGAGTACAACAGTACAACCTATGGACTTAGTTCATTCACTTTTGCAACGATCGTAGTGCACTAGCTAGCCATATGTTGCCTCCAATCATGCGGTTGGACCAGCTCGAGCATTGCTCCTGTCCTTGCTTGGCTCAACTTGAATAACCAAGATGCTATGCTGAAATAACCTCGGCAGTCTTGCTGCCAGAGCCCTCACCCCCTTTAATTACCTCGGCAGTCTATCTGCCTGAGCCCTCTACCCCTTTAATGGCAAATAACCTCGGCAGTCTATCTGCCTGAGCCCTCTACCCCTTTAATGGCAAATATTCTGTCTGTGGGATCCCCTTGTTTTGTGTCTGTGGGACCCCCCTCATTTCCTGTCTTTGGGATCCCCTATTCCGGTGAAGCCAGGGTATAAGGATAGAGATAATATAAGCTGGCAAAACTGGAAATTGAAGGTTCAATAAAAATTTAGGGGTAGGAATATATCAATGTAATTTAAGGTTAGTGCACTCAGCACAAAAACACAATAAGCCAGCAAGTGTTGTAAATCTAGAGTTACACGATCGAATGATAGCTGTAAACTATGGGTTAGCCCATGGCAACGCCAAGACTAGCTTAATATAAAACAGAAGGTTACAATGAGGGAATGATAGTGGGCGGCAACACCCGACGTGTCGTCAGGGCTAGCTTAAATAAAAAAGAAGGTTATAATGAGGGAATGCAATACACGGCTCTTAGCCTTATTCGCGACTCGATCCTAGATAGGGTCTGAGTTCGACTCATGACGTAGTCCTTCGCGAATAGTCATTGGAGACAGAATTCTCAATGACCGCTCTAGTCATATACCACGGCTCTTAGCCTTATTCGCGACTCGATCCTAGATAGGGTCTGAGTTCGACTCATGACGTAGTCCTTCGCGAATAGTCATTGAGACAGATTCTCAATGACCGCTCTCTAGTCATACTATGGTTGACGATGAAACATCGCTCTAGATATTTAGCCAGCGTGGAGTACTTCCACGCTACTAGAGAAATGCTAGACGAATCTTCACGCGTTCCGTTTTTTGGATCGTGGAGTAGAGTAGATTTGCTACCGCAACCTACTCTATCTCACTATCTCTCTATTTTTTT